GCCCGCCTCTGCTCCAGCCCACTCCCCCCCATCCAGCACTTTGCTCACATTTTGCGGGTTCAAAGCAGAGAGACGACGACAAACAGGAAATATTTAACGTGCCAACAACAAAAGTGAAATATAAATAAAAATAATAATAATAATGGGCAGAAACGTAGGGAACCAGCGAGAGTGAGAGCGAGTTCCGAGGGTTGCTTCCACAGAGAGAGAGAGAGAGCCAAAAGAGAGGTGCATGTTTGTGGGTGCAGTTCCGAAGTTGCTCGGGTCTTGTGGCAGCAACTTCGGCTGCAGTTGCCGTTAGAATGCCATACAGTGGGGGAAATTGGTTAAGTACTGAATGAAAAAAATACATTTGTATATATGTATTAAAAAAAAATAAAGAGTTATTTGTCAATATTTGAACACTGTTATTAAAATTCTTCAAAGGAGAGGTCATATCTTGCGTGTCGTGTAGCTTCACCTCTCGAACAAGTAAATACTCATTGAAGACTGACTTGCTAGATCGACTCGGCTGTTGATGCTGACGAAGAATATATGCACTTTATAGGGTCAAAGAGGTCTCCTTCACTGCGATAACTTCTGACTGAAATTATAATACCCTGCAAGGGTATAAAAAGGTCCTACATTTGCCCTCTGGATATCCAGATGCGCCCATTGTGCAGCGAGCCCTTTTTATATACAGGGAATTTCTCAGTGCTGCGAGAGAAAGAGAGCCAGAGAGCGGACAAATCCTGTTTGCTCTCTTGAAAATTGTTCGGGTGGTTTTCCCGTTGTTTCCCTTTGGAAAAGGCAGGTTTTTTCGGATTCTATAAATCAGTCGGACCATATTCTCTCCAACGTTGAAACGCGACGGACGCGCCTGGAAGCGGACAGCGGTATCAAAATTCAAGTCCAAGATACGGATCGGTCTGTTCTGGTCGCCTCGCTTCGGTGTGCTGATGGGAATTTCTTCTGCCGCCTCTTTTTGGATACATGGAATTTATGCTTCGCGTGCCCGTAAACGTCGGTGTGTGCCTGTGTTTGTGTGTTTGTGATAGTGCCAGTGTCTGTGCGGATAATTAAACCAGCAGCATAGAAGTCGGCAAAGTCCGAACTCAAAATGCTCCAAGACCGAGATTAAAGTTGAAGGTCGGTCGGTGTTTATATGTGGAAAATCGTAGAGCAAGGAACGAAAAAAGGAACGCCGCGCTTTGGATACACGGATTAAATGTTAGTATACCAACCCAAGCCGCTGGCCAAGAATACGTTGAGCCAGCCAGCAAAATAAAAGTAATCGAGCAGAAGTCGCGTGCAGTGGCTCCTCTGCTGCTGCGCATGTTTCTCGGCCGCTCTGCCCTGCATTTTTAGTTTCGCTCCAACTATTACAGCATGCTTTACATTCCGTTTACATCACGTGTTAAATAACTGCTGGCTGTCACTGTTCGCGGCTTGTATGTGTCTGTGTACATTACATATATGTATGTACATTTGTTGTTGTTTGCCCAAGCAAATATGCAATGATTTTTTTGCCCCTTCTCTCTTCATTCATGCCTTGCAAATGAAGCGTAAGAGTGTTTGTGTGTGGGTGGTTGGGTGGCGGCGGATAACGCACCCATGCTCACACACACACACACACACACACACACGACAAAGGCAACTTCTGGCGGAAGTGGAAGTTGCCGTTGCCTTCAGTATGTGCGAGTGCGAGTGTGTGCGCGTGTATCTAATGGGATTTTCTAATAAAATTTAAATTGTTGCCATTTTTGCTGCTGGGCGGCGTTCTATGAATTTAATATGACCCCAGTGTGCGAGTGCAAGTGTGTTTTGTGTGTGAATAGGGGCCATAAAGCTTTGCTTATGGCTGGAAAATTAAATAGAGTGCATAATTCAGGCAACAACTTTGCGTTGAATGCATAATGAACTGCTGCAATTGAAAGAACACATCCACCAAATGCCCAAGGAAACAATTTAAAATTCACAAGGAAGCCCTACAAAATGTGTTCGAAATTACATTTGAGGCATTGTCCTGCTTTTAGTTGTGCGGCAATTTTTATTCCAATAACAAAAATAAACTATAACCGGATATTTACACAATACATTTATATGCATGGATATCAGTATTCATATAAACATATGTATATCTATGTACTTCCTGGTACAATGGGTTTTGTGATTATGTTAACTAAATAAATATGTATGTATGTATGTATGAAGAAGACAAAAATGAAAATAACTGTAAACGCGAGGTGAAAATGCCGTCGGAATACCGAACAAATTATAAGTGGAAAAGTTTTTAGAATAAATTGATCCAAAAATCTTTAAAAAAAAACTACTCAATACAAATAATTAATGATGTCAATCATGAATAATAATAACTCATAGTGATTTCTTTTAAATAAAACAGCAAAACGTAATAAATAAATTCTGAGTCCCGATAAAAATCTATATGTTATTGTATTTTGACCGGCTGCATTTCAATTAGAAAATTTCAAAGTGTGTCAAAACCCTATTAAATTATTGATACTTCAGAAATTCTAGGCTTTTTTGGTAGCCTTACCGGAATGGGTCCTGGATAAGGACAATTCAATTTAAAAAAATTAAATTTGAGCTGAAATTCTCCGAATTTTCTTTAAAATTCGTTGATCAGAACCCGTTGGAGGGGTCAAACGGAAAGAGAACTTTCTATGGCTGTGTAATTTAAAAATTCTTTTAATCTTCAAACTGTTTTTCATATGTATGTTTTTTTTAATTGTTCCATTCGTGTTGGTGTTTGGTCACCGACAGGATGTGATCTTGGTGAAATACAATCTCTTAAAAGGCAGAATAAATACCGCAAGCTCAAGATACCTTCTTTGAGATTTGGGAATGCAAACATCATATGCGTGTTTCTGTTGGATGTACATTTATAGTCATTTGATTTTTATTGATAGAACAAAAGGAACAGTTCAGTACCATGTAACAATTTATGGATGTATTTCATTTCAACTCAACTATGTAAATATATTTACCGTTAAAGATCATATTAGCTTATTCGATAGTAAATACCATTTTAGTCATATAGAAATGGTAAAGTAGAATCTTTTCCAAGTTTACTACATTTCTTTAAATAACCGGAATCCAGTAAGGCAGATGGACTCAAATTTGTACATATTTTCTGTCCGCCGTAATAGGCTTATCACATAAAAGCGTAATCTGTGGGATCTCCTAGGTAGACAAACATAAAATATAAAGTGTTTCCATTTTATATGTTCGTTGTATTTTCTTTTATTTCTTTTCTCTCATTTTCATCAGCCGAGTGATATGTGTGTGTTTTGAAGGTCTGTAACTTCAGTAGGTAGAACGGTGCAGTCCTAAAACCTGAGAAACCTGGGTGTGGAATCCAGGCTTAGACATTATGTCCGTATTTAACGATTCGTTAAGCAAGCGTTGTCAGGTGGAAAGCCAATCCGAACACTGCATACCAACGAAATTATAAAAATACATATGTATACACTTACAACAAATACATAGATAGTACCAACATTTCATCAATCACCTTCAGTGAAACTTAAGATACTAAATTATATATTTTAGAAAAATGAAAGTGCTTGTTAATATTATTATTTTACTATGAAAATTACTTGAATTTTGATTTAACTCATTTGATTAAATGTTAGAATTTCCAATTTTTTTTTAAATATTTAATTACATTTTGTACATACTTATACATTTCTTGAAATTGCAAGATTGGGAATGCATTTGTGAGCGAAGAGAGCGTTTGCTTAATGCAATTTATTAAAGGATTAATTCGCCTGACAGCAGTTAAGGAATTAAATAAAAAAGCTCCTGAATGGTCGAATACAAAAATACCCCTTTCTGCGAGCAGAGGATATTTTTGTAGTCAAACGTAAATATGTACATTTGTATGTACATTCTTACATACATATGTACATATATGTATGTACGTCCGTTCATCCCGTTCGTTTCCTCTGCTCCTTACCCATCTCGCTCTCCTTTCGAGAGAGTGTGTGTGTGTGTGTGTGTATACACACGCAAACACACAAGCGCGACTTGGCTACCTGAAACTGAAATTTTCCCGTATTTTAGATTGCGCCCCTTTTCTACTGCTCCTCTTGTACTTCTTCTCACTGTTGTTGTTGCTGTTCTTATGTTGCACGCGGACAGACAATCAGAACGAACGAAGAAGATAGAATGGAAGAGAAGCATTTTTTGTTTACTTTTATGCTTTCGTTTATCGACCCCGTTGTGTGTGTGTTTGTGTGCTACATATGCGAGGTGCTCTCTCTCTCTCTCTCAGCTCTCTCTCTCTCGCTCTCTCTCTCTCTCCCTCTCTTTTGCACTCGCCCAATGCTATTCGTTCTTTTGCAGCATAAATTTCAGTTCTTTTATTTAACATTTCTCTTGTACCTTTACCTTGTCCGGTCAATATTGTACATTTTTAAGTTTACAGGTATATTTTAAAGTTTTTCAAAAGTTTTTTTTTTTTTTAATTGCCTATAAATAAAATATAATATTTTAAAATCTTTTTCAAAAATGTTTTTCTCGGCCACACTGTTCTTTCCCGCGCTGTTTTCTCAGTCGATAACACACCTGGGCAGTGCTCTTAGCTGGGTTATCGATAAGTCTTAGCGGCTTTCCAACACTGCCAGGCAAATAAACAACCAAAGAAAAGAGAAAAACAGAAGAAAAAACAAGCAAAGCGTGTAAAAAAAGACCAAAGGCATACATATATAAACACAAACAAATTCGAGGTGTGGAGGCCATGTAATTGACGAATTAATGAATTAAAATCAGGAAGCCCGCGTGCCCCGAAAAGCGATGCACTTTTTATTGGTTTCCTAGCTTTCCTCGAAGGTGTGGCTAAATCTGAGCCATGTCGGGATCTAGGAGCAACTATAACTATAACTGTAGCCCCTGCCAGCGAGCAAACCCTTTGAAATGAGCTCATTCGTCCCTTGACGAATGCAATGTCAATGTGATAAGAGATTCGTGCTTATGGATTATTTTTCTCCTTTTTTCAGCGGCGTTGCCACCTCGCTGAGCTGCGCGGACTCCAGCACGGGCTCCAGTGAGGATGCGTCCGATCCCGGCTCCCCGTATAGCGCGCACTCGCAACTGAGCGACCCGCCAGATCCGCTGACCAAGATGCCACCCCAAATTCTCGGCAGCAACTCCAGCGGCAGCAGTTCCGCCGGCGGCGGCACCACAGCTTCCTCTTCCCCGCCATCCGGTGCCACCAGCCAGGCTCCGCCGCCAGCCATTCACAGCCACAGTCATCTCGGGCCCGGCCACGGCCATCATGGCGCCGGAAACAGCGCCTCCAAGACGACGACACCCCTGCGCCAAACAAATCCTAGCAATGCCAGCCTGCTGCCCACGCTTCAGTGGCCGTGGAACACCAGCCTGGGCAGCACATCCACCGCTGTGCCGGCAGCCACGGCCAACAAGAACAAGCGTACGGCGGGCGGAGCAGGAGCGGGAATGGGCTTGAGTGTGGGCAGCGCTGGTAGCGACAACGGATCCCACACGGGGAACGGAGCGGCTGCGGCCAAGAAAGCGCGCAATGAACTGCCTGGCGGCTCGGACGCTAGCAAAAGACTGAAGGCAGCCGCTCTGGAGGAGTCACAGACCAAGATCACCGGCTTCTTTAAATCGCAGATGAAGCCCTCGCCGGGTGGAGGCAAGCTGTCGCCACAGCCCGGCAGCCAGCAAAGCAATCCTGCTAACACATTGACCATGAGCACGCCCGCCACCACAGCCTCACTAAACAAGTACTTCAACATCCTGTCGCAGTTGAAGGAGCAGAAGGCGCAGCAACAGGCGGCCAAAGCGTCGGCCACTCCCACTTCCGCAGCCGTTACAACAGCCACTCCTGTTGCCCCCGCCGCCTCTGTCGCTCCTGTTGCTCCGCCGTTGCCGACTGCCACTCCAAGTCCCAGTCTACCCGTGCCGGCGCTAAAGAAGATCGAGCGCAGCACCAAGCAACCGGCCAAAATAGCCCAGGTGGCGCCCAATCTGCGAAAGACACCCAGCAGTGGCTCCTCCGGCAGCTCCTCATCCTCATCGTCCAGCTCTTCAAATGGCTCGAGCACTGGGAAATCGCCGGCCAAGAAGCACGTGGCCATCGCTCCAAGAACGCCGGAGATGAAGCAGCAGCAGCAACAGCATCAGAGCAAGGCGACTATGGTCTACCGACCGCCGGGAACGGGCACCGCTCTGAAGCAGAAACCGATCTCACCGCCCGCTCCCGTGGTAGCCACCGCTCTGGCGCCCGTTCCAGCGCCAACACCCACTCCCACGCCCGCCCCCGCAAATCCAACGCTCTACCAATTGCCGGTACAGCTGCCCAACCTAGTCCAGCTGCCGCCCCAGCTGGCGGCCGCAGCCAATATTATGCAGCTGAACAACGTGGCCAAGGCTGCGGTGGCTGCTGCGGCCAACAACAATGCGGCTGCACAGGCAGCGCAGGCGGCACAGGCGGCCGCCGCTCAGTATTTCCTCAACGGAACCGTCTTCAAACTGCAACAGGTTACAACGGCCACCACGACGACGGCTACCACGGCCACAGCCGCCGCCGCTACGGCTGGCAACTTTGGACTGCTCAGCGCCAACGAGCTGCAGGAATTCCTGATAAAGCAGCAGCAGCAGCAATTGCAACTGCAGCAACAGCAGCAACAGGCTGCTGTGGCGGCGGCAGCTAAGGCGCCGGGAAATGCACAAAACTTCCAGGAGCTGTTTCAGCAGCAGATGGCCGCGATTGCCGCCCAGCAGCAACAGCAACAGCAGCAGCAGCAGGTGATGAGCCAGCAGCAGCAGCAGTTGCAGCGCTTGGTTCAGGGAGGAGCAGCCGCCGCTGCCGCCCAGCCAGTTTTTATGGCCACGCCAGCGGGATTGCTGCTGAATGCTGCCACCCTGCCAGCAATGTTGGCTGCTGCCTTTGCAGCCAACAGTCAGCAGCAGCAGCAGCAACAACAACAGCAGCAGCAGCAACAGAAAGTGGCCGCTTCCTTAGCAATGCATCAGCAGCAGCAACAAACGCTGCCCGCTCTGCAGCCAATTCCAGCCCTGAGCTCCATCTTCGAGCCGTCGACGGAGCAACAGCAGCAGCAGCAGCAGTTGCAAATGCAGCAACAACAATTGGCCCAGCTGCTGATGTCACATCAGCAGCAATCGCAACATCAACAGCAACAAATCATCACTGCCACGCAGCCGCCGCCATTGGCTGCTGCGAACAACAACAACAATACAAACACTGCCAACAACTCTACTGCCAGCAACAGTAACAATAACCAAAATGCCTCGAATAATTTAAGCAACATCAGCAACACCACTGCCATACAGCCACAGCCACTGCCACAGGCGCAGGCACAGCGAGCGATAGTAAAGCCGCCGATGCACAGCTCTACGCAGCCCCCGCCGCTGGTGACCATATCGTCGCTGCCCACTGGTTCCTCGGCTGTCACATCTGCGCCACCGCCCAAGCGGGCACTGCCAGCCGCCAAGCCTTATCAAAAGCGACTGGCTACCAAGGGAAGCGGCAAGTTCCAGGGTGGCGTTGGTACAGCGCCCATCATTGCCACTCCCACCACGCCGCCACCACTGGTGCCAACGTCGGCTACCAAGGAGCTGGGTCAGTTGCGCAAGAGCACTGGCACTACGGGAACATCCGTAGCAACTAACGCACCCACGCCCACGCCGCCTCTGGTAAGTATCGCGCCCTCAAAGCTGACGCCTACACTGAGTATGGCAAAGCAAGGAGCCGCGATGAAGCTGGCCAACAGCTCACCCGATCTCTTCGACCTGGTCAAAAACTCAAACGGGGCCATCAGTCTGGTGGCCAAGGCCGCGCAGCCGCTGACACCGCTGCCCTTCAGCTCGCCGAGCAGCAGCAGCAATGGCAGTCACTGCCTCCGCTCCTCACCGGCGCTGTCAAGCTCCAATTCGTGCACCCTTTCGGCCTTCAGTAAGATAAAGGCGGAACCCTCGGAGCTGGCCTCTCAGTCCAGCTCCGTCCCGTCTTCGGTCATGTTCCCCATCTCACCGAAACCCCAGAGCTTTGCCGGACAGCTGCCCAAGAGGGAGCTGCAGGATCTGGAGTCGGAGGCAGATGTGGAAGCTAACGCCGAGGCGTTGAAGCACGAACTCTTGCCAGACTGCAGCAACAGCAACTCAAACTCGAATTCGTGCAGTAGCAACTCTAGCTTTTCGCACTCGGTCAGCTCGGCGGCGGATCTCTCGCTGGAGGCATCTACGCCGGCGCACTCACCATCCCCATCGTCTGCCTCGCCATCCGGTTTGGGCTCTCCCTCACCGGCGGCCAGCAACATGAGCGGTAGCAGCCGAAGGGCGGCCAGCCAGACTGACATGCTCAGCGAACTGGTCACCTCGTCTTGCATCTCCAGTGGCGGCGATGACTGCTCCCAGGCCACCGACTCGCCACCACCACCATCACTTCCCCTGCCAGATCAGTTGAGCAAAAACGAAAACGCAGCGCCTAGGGCCAGCGGAGGAAGCAGTAGTAGTAGTAGCAACTACGACGAGGAGGACGACAAATCGGTGGCCTCGCTGGAGACACAACAGACACACAAGCGGCTTAGGGACCTGCCGACACCGGAGTCTGGAATCGGAGGAAGCCTGAGCAACAGCGAGAGCAGCAACTCGATAGCAGATGCCATGTGAGTATAGCTTGAAGGATATTTAGAGGGAGTCAAATATCATAAACTAATCCGCAATCTTTAATAATTTCAGCTCATCAAAGTCCGCCTCCGTGGGTCCACCCACTACTGCAGCTAGTGGCAGCAGAGCCTCGTCCGCCGTCTCCGTCTCCGACAGCAACTCATTGGCCAGCAATGCACCATCTCCCGCATCGCCAGACGACAACACCGCTGTAGCTTCGCCCGCCTCTTCCGCTTCTTCAGCTTGCACTTCCGCCACTCCCAATGCGCCCAGCACACGGACAGTGGTTGACATTGCCTTGGCCGAGGCGACTAGTAAAGGCCTGCCAAAGAGCGCCATCTCGCCCATCCTTTCGCAGCCAAAGACCATCCGCTTTCCGGCCGGAGCGGGGGCAGGCGGCAAGGGTGGGAAGCGGCACGATGGCGTCTGCTACTGGGACAAGTGCAACAAGAAGCACGAGAGCAACTCCAAGCTGCTGGACCATATGCAGACGCATCACGTCAATACGCAGACGGGCCCCTTCGCCTGCCTGTGGGTGGGATGCAAGGTGTACAACAAGGAGTCCTGCTCTCGCCGCTGGCTGGAGCGTCACGTGCTGTCGCACGGCGGTTCCAAGCAGTTCAAGTGCATTGTCGAAGGCTGCGGCCTGAGGTTCGGCTCACAGGTGAGATCATCATTTGTCTATTATTTCCTGACTGCTGCTAACTCTACCTCCTCATTCAGCTGGCTTTACAAAAGCACGTGAATAACCACTTCAATGCCACGGACAATGCCAAGGAGAGCACCAGCAAGCGCACATCCGATCCGCCCGTGCCGAAGCAGCTGCGCAAGAACGGCAAGAAGCTGCGCTATCGGCGCCAACCCTTTTCAGGTGTGTATCTATCTTAAGATAATGTGCCAGGATGTGGCAAATCCAAAGCAATATTGACCATATTCTTTTCGATTACAGCCCGCATGTTTGACTTCTTTGACACGGGCATTATGGAGGGGCTGCAGCATCGCCTGCGACAAATCAGCACGCTTACCAACGGCGCCCAGGCCATTGAGTTTCAGGGACAGTGCTTGATGAGGCGCCGCAACAGCCAGGGTGCCCACGAGTGCTTCGTGCGCTGGTCGCCACGCGAAATGTAAGTTTTCAGAACATTCTTCGCTCAGCCAAATGCTCATCTTTACACTTTTCCCCCTCTAGCATTTCCGACGAGTGGCTGCCTGAGTGTCCGAACCAAACGCGCCGGCACACCAAGGTGCTGCACATCAAACAGATGCGTCCGGCGGAAAAGACGCGCGTGGACAGCCTGCTCAGCACAGCTTTTCGGCTGCGATATGATGCCCAGCTCTTTGCCGATGATTACAATGTCAACGAGCACCAGGGTTTTGGCGCCGAGTTGAGCGGCAGTGATTACGAAGAGGATGGGGAGCAGGAGGAAGATGACGACAACGAGGACGACGATGAGGAAGACGACGGTATAAGCTCGCGCAGTGCTAGTTGCGAGACGGTGTCCAGCTATCAGCAGGTGCTTAGCATTGCCAAGTTGCAGATGCAGCAACGCCGCAAGCATCCGCGAAAGCCGCCCAAGATGGCGCCGATGACCAGAAAGGATGAGCTGGTGCCCACGGACGCCCTGGTGCCCATCTAGATGGGCGCATTAAGAATTCAAGTATTTTCTAAGTAATTAAACCGGAACACAAGCGACAAACGAGTAAACAGTGACAACTAGACTAGTTAGCGTACGAACTAAGTAAGGTACCACCTACGCGTACATTATCCACTTATATATATACATAGAGACTACGTGTAAATGCCCCCGCTTTGTTCATTTATGTTTTTTTTTTTTAGTTTAGTGAATTGTTCTTAGCCACCATTGTACATACATATAAGAATGCAGTCGGAGTCAGAGTCAGAGGAGCAAAGAGTGGCCACCTCGTATCTCAACCCACCCGCGTGTTCTGCATAGAACAAATGTCCTCATTTTCTAGCGTTATATTTCTAGTTTACTTTTAAAAATGTAAATTGAATAGAGATCCTCCGAGTGGACAAGACTTTATTTTGCAAGCCCCATTTTTTTATGTTTAATGTTTTTATTTTGTTTTCTGTTTGGTTGCCCCATTTATACACTTAGAAAACTGGCCAAAACTTGTACTACTAAACTAGCAGAAGATGAAGAAGATCAACGCACACAACTGAGCAGTTAAAGTTAGTAAATAGTTGTAGATGAAAGTTGAAGAACACAAGACTTGAAGCATTTACCGCTACAAAAAAAATAAATTAAAATACAAAACAAAAATTTGTAAGCAAATTTTGTACTCAACTCGAACGAACGAACAGCAATGCAAACAGTTTTAAGCCCAAGTTAGACCCAAAACGATTGATTATCCATTAATTTAGTGTAAATTAAATGCAACTTTCGCCAATAAATCAGCGTTTCTAGTTCGTTTTTGCAACAATTACACACTTAAGTAGACGGAGAGAGCAGAGAGCTTAATGCAATGTACATATTATATAATATAAAGTAATAAGTTTCGCTCCCTAAACTTACATTTAAACGAAATTCATTTAGAACTTGGCCAAGGCTAAACCAAAGAGTTGTAATAACAAGATGAGTAACGGCATACGAGAAATAGAGGTGCCCATTATTTATCTTGTCATTATAAGATCTTTGGCTAAACTCAAGTAAACTATGCTTAATAAAGTTATTGAGAGGAGAAATCAGCAATCAACACGTCAAAAATAAAACAAACCACAAAATGTTACATATTTCATTTTCATTTAATTTATGATTTCACAGAGGACGAAACAGATGACAATTTATGTGACTTTTCCTTCTGTTTTGTGTACATATCTGAATGGCAAACACTCGTGTAAGCAAAATTCGCCTTAAACAATAACCGTAGATTATGATTTTCTATGCCAATGAATTTATACGTGTCTAAAAGTAATACAAAGAGTACTCAACACTGCCAAAAAGAATGTAATGGAACAACAACACGAATCCAGTTGTTAAGAACGACTGATTATTTTAGTATGCGAACGCTGCTGCCCATCGCCGATTCCATTCCCAACTTGAGTATTTTCCCTATGTTGCAACAATAACCACTCGGCAAGAGATGAATGTATACCTATGTCTAATATGTGTATCTGGATGTTGTCTAACGTATAAGCGCCTCCCTGCCCCGTAATTAGTTATAGCCGATAAGGAAGTATATAATCTAGAGAGGAGATTCGGGCAAAGAGAGGATTTTATATGCCCCTCAATCGCATATATAAATGATTTAAAGCAATACTTTTACGATAATCGCCGATCAAGCTTTGTGGTGGACTCTTCTTCCATTCGGTCTTTCGTCTTTCGATGCCTTTCGCCCATATTGTTCAACGCTTTGTACTGCAACAAAAAAAAAAAGACATTAATGAAAATAATGAAATCTAAAGTAAAACGAAGTAAGGATCAAACCAAGTAAGGGAAGAAGTAGAGGAAAATAAATTCAAATAAAATAAAACTACCTCAAATTTTGCAAGCATAGAAGAACACACTAAAGAATTTTTCGAGAAACGTTTTCTAAAGCGAACAGAGTATATACATACGTAGTGCAGCGTTATATTTTATCAGAAGGGTAAATCAGAGGCGGCAGAAAATTATAGCGAGTTCCGAAACAGCCGAGTCGAAAAACAAGGGACAGTACGATTATACACGAGAAGTACACACAACAAACAAAACAAACAAACAAGGGGAAACCAGCTAGGCTAATTCCATATTTTGCTAATATTGCATACAATATTATACATATAAGAACTACTATATATGTTCACCTTCCCCACATTTTCCAATTCATTTTCCTCCCGACAGGATCACCCAGAAGTATACATTTGCCTTTAGCCCCGGTGCTCAGTTTTGAGCCTGTACATAGAGAGAGAAAGGAGTTTATCTAGTATGAGATATATATTCGATATCATAACCATAATGTTAATATTACAACCGCTTTAATGAATTGCAGAGGGAAATCAATTAGGCATCCATAATCTTGGCAAATTTATGGCAATTAACAGGCGTACATACATACATATACATACATATACACTTGTATACACAGGAGAGCTATTTCCAGTTTTGATTTTGGATTCAGTTCTGGCCAAATCCAAAGCTACTTGGATGGAAACACAACCCCAACACCAACACCAGCGATGTTGTTGTCTCGATTGTAACTAATATAATCAAAAGAAGTATATACACAAATATATATATATTATTGAAACTCTATATACACAACATAGTATGTACAAGTGGACTCAAAACCAGATACTAAACCCGAAAAGCATGTAACGCGCTGAGAAATGACAAGAAAATATATATGGAAAACAAGTACTAAGTCAGTCTGGCCTTTTCATTTGGGTTCTAGTCAGGTCATTAATTGAACCATCTTCCTGTCGGAGCTTGAATTTGCTTTCAGGTAACATAGAAGAGCTCACAATGCTGTAACCACAAGGTTCTCAATATCCACAGTAAGTATCTTTTTTAAAATTTTATAAGGAGGTTAGGTATAAAATTGTCACAAATTCAACAAAGTTCATTTATTGAATTTTAAAATAAATAAGATGGCTTGTTGACTTAATTGAAACAAGCTCAGAAAAGCTTTCCGAATAAATACATTTTTGACTTTGACCAAAAGTTTGTATACCCGTGCAGGTAACAATTAAAAGATATCATAACTAAGACAAAAATGCATTAATTTCGATTCGGAAAGCAGTTTTGTGTTAGTTTTTATTAGATTAAAAAAACTGCATACCAAATTTAAAGTTTTAAGAAATCAAAATTTTTGGGCATTTTTGCGAATTTTAATGATGTAACCCCTTATCAAATTTCTCAAAATTGGCCAAAAAATCGATTTCTTCCGGACATGTCAAGAAAGATTCGCATGTTAATGCTGATCAAGAATATATATGGTTTATGGGGTCGGAAATGATTCCTTGACTTAGAAAAATATTATTTTGTATTATAAAATCGAATTTTTTATATTAAAAAACTTCTTGATTTTTTATAAATTAAAAATATCATAACTCGGCCAAAAGAGCATTAATTTTAAATCGGAAAACAGTTCTGTGCAAGATTTTCTACAGTTAATAAATCTGCATACTTCATTTAAAAATTTTGAAAATTCAATTTTTTATCAAAATCAAAAATTTTAATGATGTAACCCCTTATAAAATGTTGCAAAAATGGCCAAAAAATCGATTTCTTCCGGACATATCTAGAAAGATTCCCCTGTTGATGCTGATCAAGAATATATATGGTTTATAGGGTCGGAATCGTCTTCTTCACTGCGTTGCAAGCTTCTGACTGAAATTATAATACCCTGCAAGGGTATAAAAAAATATAGATTTATTTCACGTATTCTAAGCTGCTAAAAAATTGTAAAAAAAAGCCAGTGATTGCAAAAAAATCAATATTTAAAATTGGTTTAGTAATATTGTATTTGTAAATATATTTTATTTATAAATTGCCTTTCAATTCTGCCCAAAAGATGCACCATTGTATGGCCAGTAAATTTGGCCAATTTTTCGTATTTCCTTGAGTTGCATTCTTTCGGGGGCCTCATTTTAAACTCTAGAATGTCTACTGACGTCTTCAATGCTTGTTTTGCCTCAAACAACAATAACCTATTAAAACAATAACAATTATGGTAACAAAATTTAAATTAAATATACTTTTATTTAATTTTATTTTTTGTAAATTTATCGCCAAATGTGAATTTGGGAATTTGGTATATAGAATCTAAAAAGTTTAACTTTGGTGCGTAAACGGTCTTGCAACAAAGTTAATTCCCCTACTACCTTCTGTGTAGTTGAAATCGAGTAATTGATGAATTTGTACTGAAAATGTAAAGTTTGAAGCCTTGATTTGCCTACAACAATAAATATATTATTTTTAAAACTACATTTTTGCTTAATAAATCTCACAAAATCGTTGAACTTATTTCCTCCGTTTCTCCAAAAAGTCCCCGTGCCTCGTCATCCCATTTGTTCATCCAGTGCCTTCTGGTTATATCTGAGAAGTCGAAGACGGAAGTTGGACCGTTGATCCGTCTACGCCAGCTATTACATCCATTTTAAAATAAGTTCCCCTTGCTAGAAAAATAATCAATTTCCCCCCAAAATTCAAATCGACGAAAATTTTTTTTTTTTTTTTGGAAATTAGAAATTACAATTTATTTCATACAATGTCTGTTGTTGTTGGTTGTTTTTGCTTGCTTTAGGTGTTGTTTCGAATACACAGTTACAGTTTTCTAAAACCTTGTCATCGATTGCACAGATGTATAGGAATATTTCTTTTATGGGGGTGCATGCATCTTAAACAAATAACAATAAGAATTCGTTACACAATCAAGGTTCTATTTCGTTTCACAAAAAGAATGGATTTACCAAAAAGGTTACTCATAAAACTGGGTTTCTTGAATCAATACCAATGTAGTTCGTGCCGAATCTGTAGCCCACCTTCCCACCTTTGTCGACTCCCCAAAGCCAAATCACAAGATGAACGCAACACGGGCGCTGCAGTCTTGCGGTGACAAAGGGGAATGACTAGAGATGGATGGATGGACAGCGATTGGCAGCGAGGACACTTTTTATATACAAATGCCTTATTGTGTAGATCGGGTGTACAAGTCGTCTTTTTGTTGTGCATTTCGGTTGTGTTCTCTCAATTTGTGTGTGTTCGGGCGGCGCAGGCCGAATGCCACCAACGCCCCCACAAAGTCGGCGCCCCCGCAGGGTTGAGCTCCTCCGCATTCTCAGCATCACGAATGCATCGGGGTTCAACGGGCGGGAGGAGGATGCCAGCTTCAAGGGGATGACAATGGAATCCGGAACTGATCCCTAAACAAATTAATCTTGTTATTTGCCTAAATCCACTATACATATCGATCTGGTTTTCGTTTTTGCTGCTTGCTTATAACTTCTAATTTGTTGGGATTTTACAATTTTTTTTTATCAGTTTTTTTCCGGTAGATTTCGTGCTGCTAATGCGGTTGTTTTTGTTGTTGTTGGTATGAGTTTTCATTTGCAACATTCCATCTACACTTTTTTGTTGGGTTCTGCTTGCACGACTTTGTTGTTGTTGGTATTTCTCTTGTTTGTTTATAATTTTGCTACTACAATTTCTTGTTAATATTTTATACATAATATATATTTTATATATATATAATATTTTCTTTACTATACAATAACAGCGGAAAAATTGTGTATGTGTGTGTTGGTTGTTGTTTTTGCAGTATTCCTCTCAGTTTTCACTTGATTTGTATTGTTTCTTCGTACGTTTTATAACAACTTTCTCATGTTAATATGTATAATTGTTGTATGATTTCTTGTTCTCGTTTAAATATATATATATATTCTTGTATATATTATGTATATCAATACCGTAATTGTTTTGTATTACCATCTTGTTCTTATCACAAAAAATCATAATTATATATATATAATTTATTATTATTAATTTTTAATATATTATTCTTAGAATTGAACAATAATTAAAAATAAACATAGGACTTAGTTACATTTTGTATGTGTGTGTGTGTGTGTGTGAATGATTGCATGTAGTTGGTTTTCGCAGATGACGTTGAAGTATTGCCAAGCATTCAGCCACCACCCACCCCCACCGCGCACAACAACCGCCATGCGATCACTGCTGTGGTGAGCTTCCACTCCGGCCCCGCCGAAAACGTAGGGGACAAAGCGCGCCCAAACAGCCAGGCGAGTGCCGTCGGTTGTTATGCCAATGGGCTGGGGGTGAAGAAGTGGCTAGTTGGTGGTTGCTGCTTGCTTGTTTGTTTGTTATTTTGGCCCTTTTCGCTAAACTTGTTGATCTGATTTGTTGCAGCCGCGCGTCAGGCTCAATGCAAATGTACAAAGTTTTTCTGACAATTGTTGTTGGTTGATTTCTTTACAGTTTTTTTTTTTGTTTAACGAACTTTACATATACACTAAACATTATTTAATAATAATAATGGAAAAAACAAATAACAAAGAGCACACAAAATTGTGGAGCGAAAAATAATAAGTAAAGGGAGAAGGTTTTCTTGATATATAGCGAAAATCATAATTATTACAACTTTATGAACTTAACTGCAAATTGTTTCCTCGTGTTTAAAAAGACTGATTTTGAACGGAAAATAACTAAGCTAAACCACGCGCACCAGCATATCGAATACAAGAGTGAGAGCTAAAAGTTGCAATTGAGGCACCGCCATCGGGCAGAGCCAGCGCGTGCGGGAATCCTGCAACACCCGGCAGGACCAACAACTAGTTGTTGTCGTTCTTGCTATGTACAACGGCCGCCACCAGGGCTGCCACCGCACACGCGCTGCTGGATCTTGAATGTCGCTCGTTGGGGGGACACAATGTTACCTGCTCCTCTCTAGCAGCTCCTGATGTTGATGTCGATGTTGTTGTTGTGGCTGTTTGTTGATTGATTGCTGGGCGCGCCGTTTGTCTATTTGTTGTTGTTGTGTGTTGTTTGCATTGATTGATTTATTTCGTGTACAGGTAAATGGCCACAATCAAACCATAGAGACCCAACACCTCGGCGAAGATGAGAATCAGGATCATGCCGACGAACAACCTAGGCTGTTGTGCTGTGCCACGGACACCGGCGTCTCCCACGATTCCGATCGCGAAACCGGCTGCCAGGCCAGAGAAGCCCACCGCCAGACCGGCTCCCAAGTGAATGAAGCCTCTGTAGACAACAAGAATAGATATAAGTCATTTGAATTTAAACTTTTAGGAGATTGCATTTATGTATTTACCTGTATAGTGTGTACTTTGAAGGCTCTTCCAGCGAGCCGGCAATAAGCACAGCCACGACCAGGCCGTAAATGGCAATGATACCCGCCATGACCACAGGAATGATGGATTTCATGATCAGTTCAGGACGCATCACTGACATGGCAGCAATACCGGTACCAGACTTAGCAGTGCCATAAGCAGCGCCCAGAGCTGTAGAAGAGATTTAAGAAATAGAAATAAAATATTATATTCATTGTGTATCCAATTTTGTGGATTTATGCATTTATGCAATGAATAACGACGAGGTAACCAAACCAAAAAAAAAGTTAATTCTTTTCTATAAGCCGTAAGTACAAATTTTAATTGAAGATCTCTAGTATTTAAGGCAATTTCATTACCAAAACATTAATCTTAGCAATTACATAAGTTTTAATTGTTATTGAATTTCTGTTTAATAATAATGGCATGCCCATTCTTCTGGTTAATATTAGTAAATAACATAAAACAAAAGGTTTTCAGCCAGGCAATCTAATGTTTCTGTCATAAAATCGATTCATATTCTCAAACTCTGATGGCGGGCGTAACAGTTAACAGTCACATGATCGCCCATAACCGACGTCGTTCGAAGAAAAATCCCCCCGCCACCCCCCTTTAGCCACTTGTGCAGCCGCAAAAGTGCCACTCATTTGCTTCGCTGGAGAGTCAATGAGAGCTGACTCGCATTCCGTCACTCTCCGTGAAATCAGCGAGTGGGAATGAGTAATGTTCGCTCTCTCGACAAGTTGAAATCGAAAAGTCAGGCGAATTTTGATAAGGCCAAGCTAAACTTTACCCAACACAACTAAGCAGATGGGACTAGAAAGAGAGATAGAGAGAGAGGGGGCACCTGATCTGTGTCAATTGAACAGGTAAACCACCTAATATACATGTACATATGTATGTATGTATTTTCAGGCATTAATTGAAGTACAAAACCAGTTTCAGATGACGGAGAGCGTGAGTGTCTCTGTGCTTTTATGGGAGAAAGAGAATTGATAAATCGAATTAAAACACACACACACTCATACCAACTAATAAACTCATATTCGTACATATGGGTGTATTCAAAGTTAACGGACGAAGAGAGCGAAACCCCCTCCGTCATGTGACTTTATGTTAATTATCGTATTTCCGTCCTAAAGTAACTCATTTTTTATAGCCGCCTTAAAATGTATGCAGAAAATATTTAACAAATTTGACGTTAGAAACTGACCTAAATCGGCTAGAAACAATTTGACGTCACAGAGCGGAGGAAAATAGTGGGAAAGCCATTTCGTATACCCCACAAGAGATATCCACGCGTCTGGCGCACAAACAAACACACAGATATGTATCTATGAGGTCGAGGCTGTCGTCATAAATACAGCTACAATATTAGAGGGCAATTCCGAGACACCCGCATGCATATGTATAGGCTTTTGTATCTACAGTTCAATTACAATTAGTAGCTGTAGAATTTACTCGGGAATGCACACATAATTCAAAGGAAATGTTGAGGATTTAGGCTATTGACCCAGTGCTCTCTTGTGTTGGGTACAATATGCCGACCCACGACTGTGGCAGTGATTTGTGCTTGCAACGCAGCTTCATCAGCTGGCAGACAGGCAGGTGTGTACACACCTCACAAAAACCACGTCTGTATAACATTTTGACATTGAAGAATATTCAGCTGTATTTGCGCTGCATTCAAATGAACCGATAATTTTAAAAAATACTCAATGGCATTGCCTTTCAGCGCTTTTTAACTGGTGCTGCTGCTACTGATATGAATTTTTAAATACCCCACGCATACTCATGCGTTTATCAAGCGACAGACGGCATCGCAGACGTTTCTGTGGGCGTTGAAAACAGAATAAGAATAAGAGTCAACAATTGCCAGCACATCCGAAGATAATTATAAAATTGGGGGAGATAGCAAGAGCCAGGCAAAACACAGCACCGAACTAATAGAACAAAAACAATTTTGCAGCTTCACAGTTGAGTGAACAGAATGAATAAACACATGTAGGGAGAGAAACTACGAAAAGAACAGGTAGGAGAGAGCCAAGTTAAAGTCAAAGAGGAATGCACGATGGATGATTTAGAGCTGCAGGTGTTTTTGCTTTTATAATCTTTTTGGGACCATTAACAAACGGATACGAGATAAGATAAATCCAGAGATAATTCCAACCTGTACTCTCAATACAGGGTGCCCCACCAGCAAAGTATGCACTCGCTTGTCAAAGTTCATTGATTAAAATGCAATACAACCGAAAACAGACATGCGCCCGCTCTCACAGCAGCATCCAAATAAATTTTGTTTGGCTGTATATTCGTGTGAGACTACAATAGTTTTGAACCAGCAGAGCGAACTGAAGAGGGGTTAACAATAATAAGATGGGTATCTATTGATGGGTTTTATATTCAATTTGTACATCATTAGTACTAGACATTTTCGGCTACTACTCTGTTTTGTATATCTACCGCTATTCCAGCTACTGCGATTGCGCGGGCAGGCGTAGGAGGTGGCGTTCGTGAGTATGCTGCTGGAGCTGAATGTCATTGTGTGAAGGATGTTCGTGGCACTCTTGGGTATTTTTAGCCCACGAGGATGTGGGCCAGGCACTAAGTGGCAAGTGGCAAGTGGGCAGTGGAAAATGCTGATAAGCCACCGTTCAAAGCAACGCCCATTGTTCGCAGTGGGCTAATGAGTCAGTGCTACCGTCAGCGGAAAATTAACTGCAGTTTCCAGCTGCCAGAGAGCGAAACCAGGGAGAGCAATTAATCGAAACTCGAACTCGCTGGAACGCCCGCCCGCCCGCTCATGTGATCTTGGTTCGGCGTTGCCAGATCAGGAGGCAGTTACTGTTGATAAAAGCTAAAAATTGATTTACGCTGTTGACTCTAATTGCATAAGCAGTCAGGTAGCTATTCAGCCACCGAGCGGTGATAATAGGCCGGGTAAACACGGCACGGAACCTTCCTGATTATCAAATCAGAACGGTGGAAGGTGTTGGGAGCAGGTGGAAATCACAAGACGAGTTCCAAGGCATGACATAAGGCTTGCGTCAGAAACTGGTGGAAAGCGTTCGGGAGCGAGTTGAGTCGGCTTGAGTTTCCCCAAACGCAGCGCGTGCTTGCTACTCTTTTGTCTTGCGCCACTCGCTTCATCAGTTCAGCATTCGCTATCTTATCTCGACCAAGTCAATTGGTAAATAAGCCACTTATCAGCCGCGATAAGCCGTTTGAAAAGATCGTCAGCCAGCCATGTGATGTAGAATGGAATTCAATTGATCATGCAGTTGGCGATTTCGGCATGTGATTACCGAAGCCGAGCAAGGGATCTACAAGTATTTGGAAAATTAGACCACTCGTCAGCTGATTGGGCTTCGAAAAGGGGGAAGACAAATCCTAGTGTAAAGTCCCGCTTTTCCATAATATGTTTCATCAATTTTCTGCCCTAACCAAAGAGTAAAAACCATTTTTGTATATGGCAACACTGCCAGTGGGTCTTGTGACTGTTGTGGGAAAGGGAAAGCGAGTTCCATAAACTCCGATAAAAACAGTAACTCTTCTCGCACTCACACACTCACGCGCGCTCAATGCCACAGAGAGCGAGAGCGCGCAGCCCCCGAGAGAGAGAGAGAGCGAAATGGCTCTCGTTGGGTTCTGTATGTATGTGAACATGAGTAATGCAAATTTTATTTCTAGTTTGGCCACCGCAAAAAATAAGAGTAATTAAAATTTCCAATTTCTACATGCTGTAAATATTTCGGATTAGTTCGTTTTAGCATAGAGTTCCCAGTCCTAAATGCTAGATTTTCTGCTCGTCACGCGCACTACTGCCAGCCGCTATTTTGCGCCACCACCACCTACAAAGACCCGCACACCCACATGTGCGCCTCTTCCTCTTCCACCCTTTACGCCACACAAAATGTTCGATTTTTCCCAGCACGGCATGGCATTCTTAACTGTAGGAAAACTTACCCGAGAAGATGATGGCGGAGGCGGCGCCCATAACTCCGAAGAAGGGGCCATAGATGGGGTTGTCGCTGCTCACTTCAGAAGACATTTTGCTTTGTTTGTTGTGTTTGTTTTAGGCTACAAATGATGGAAAAATCAAGACTTTAGTTCGTTTCTGCTGCACTCGGCGTTTTGCACGGCGAAATGTTATGCGCGTTTATATGTATGCGAGTTGAAACAAAGTATTTTTATTATATGTACAATATATCTGGTGTATATGTAAGGTATTTTTACGCTGTTCTGCGGACCACAAGCTGCTGCGACGACGATTTCTTTGCGAGTGCGAGCGCAAATCGAAAGAGACGGGCAGTGACTGAGCACCAGACCAGCGAGAGCGAGAGAGAGGCCAACTCGCTCGTTGCTGTATTCGCTCGTGTCATGTGCCTGTGTGCGTGAGAGAGTGAGCGCATGACAAACGCTCACATGAACGAAAGTCCGAATTGGCAATGACACGGGCTGGAAAATTACACACGCACACACAATCACATGGGAGTTTGCTGAAAACTTCTTTTTCTTTTCCGCCAGGTGCAAACGCTGCTTATTTAACGTTTTCGACTCCCTTTGTCACTTTTTTTTCCGCAGGCTCGCACTTGCCTGCTCACAAAACGCACACACACAACCACCTCGTTGTGTGCGTGTGTGTGTCGTGGCAGAAAATGTTGTATGTATATGTTTCTTCTGATTGGCTTTAGCTCTGTTAAAATAGGAGTTGTCGCAGCAGCATTGTTTTCCGCAGGCAAAACTTTTCCGCTCACATGACGACTAACTATGCTATTGTTGACTCTTCTTCACTCACGTGATTAGAAATCTAATTAAAGCAATTGCTGCTCTGCGGCTCTTCGGTCTGCTGGCTTGAAGCTTGAAGCTGATACGGCACTGAACACCAGGGAGTTATTCTGATTGGCTTTTATAAACTTAAGTCACGGGGCTAGAGATGACAAATCGAAGAGTAAAGAAGAACTGCGAAAAAAATCGATACTATCGATTTTTGTTTGATCGATAATCGATTTGGTTTTGAAAGAATCGATGCATGTGTATCGATATTTTTAGGAATTACTAAAAATTATTTATAATTTCTGTCAGAAAATAAATAATAATAAATAAAGTATCTGCAGTTTTAAATTTTTTTTTCCACCCTTGCATTTTTGTTAATTCTTGCATTTTTTAAACATTTATTTATAACTAATATCCGAGTAACAGATTTTTGCTAATAAATTAAACAAAATTTAAAAATTTTTCTGTTTTCCGACCGATTTTGGCGTAATCAAACTTTCTATTTGGGAAAAAAAGGTTCATTTAATGTTTACAACTATTTCAACACGGTCATTACGGGCTAATTATACAAATTAATATTACTAGTGCTTCTCCAGGGCCCGCGACAGCAGAGTGTTCATGTTGGTCAGGAGCATGCGAGGATCCTCCGCCAAACCAGCGCCCACCATGGCGTTGGCGAAGAGCTGCTTTGTGATCAGTTGGGCCAGCTCCTTGTCGCTTTCGCGCAACTTATTCAGCTTCTTGATAATGGGGTGCCTGAATAAAAGTAGAATGACGTTAAGTGCTGAAGATGCAACCAGGATCGACAATACTCACTTTGGGTTAATCTCCAGCTCCGGCTGCAGCAGTGCAAAACGGTTCTGCTCTGGGACCTGATGGCTCTGAGTGCGAATGAAGTGGCGAGCCGCCGCCATCTCCTCCACGGTGATAACGCACGGGTGCGTGTCCAAGCGAGTTGTGGCCTTCACCTTGATCACCTGTCCCTTAAGTTCCTCTTCGAGCCAGGGAATCAGCTTATCGAGCTCTGAGCGCAGCAGGCTGCCCTCGCCAAAGTCAGTGCTTGCCGTCGTTTCCTTAGACTCCTCGCGCATTTCCTTCTCCACAGAGACGAGATTTTTGCTTTTAAACTTGCCCAGTTGCATTAGTACAAGCTCATCATAGGGCTCGTAGCAGAACAGCACCAGTTCGTTGCGCTTCTTCAGGCTCTCGTAATAGGGCGAGGATTCCGCTAGGACGCGGTTAGGGGCTGCCAGGTAGTATATGTTTTGTTGGTCAGCGGGAACAGCGTTATAGTATTCCTCCAGTGACATGCGCCCACTGGACGTCTCGGATTTGGACGAGTCAAACCGCAGTAGCTTGGCAATATCCTCCTTCTCGGCAGGATCACTTGAGGTGACGATGCCCTCCTTCAGGAAGAGCCCGTAATCACGGTAGAAGGTCTCATAGTCCTCCGGCTGCTTCTTGGCGCGTTCCTGCAGGAATCGGATTACGCGCGTGGATATCACGCTCGATAATTTCCGGATCAGACTGCTGTTCTGCAGAAGCTCGCGGCTCAGGTTGAGCGGAATGTCCTCAGAGTCGACCACGCCCTTAACAAAGCGCAGCCACTTGGGCAGGAGGTTCTCAGTCTTCGACTGGATGAGAACCTTGCGCGTGTACAGAGCGACGCCAGTGCTTCCGTCTCGCGACATTTCGAACATGCCCGGCTTGCCCTCGGGGAAGTACAGAAGCGCATGAATGCTCAAGGGAACGTCAGCCTTGTAGTGCAGCGTGAAACGCGGTACATCAAAGCTGTTGCTGATGAAGCGATAGAAGTCGTGGTGCTGCTCCTGGCTGATGCTCTGCGGGTCCAGCAGCCACAGCGGCTTTATCTCGTTGGCCTGCTTTCCGTTCAGCAGAATGGGCGAGCCCACAAAGTTGCTGTACTTCTTAATCACAGCCTTGATGCGATCCTCATCCGCATACTCCCGGCAATCAGTCTTCAGGTGCAACACGATCTTTGTACCCAGCTCCACGTCCGGCACCTCCTCGATTTCGTAGGTCCCGCTGCCATCAGTGGACCAACGCAAACCAACTGCGTCAGGCGTAGCCGCCCGCGTATACACCTCCACTTTATTGGCCACGATAAAGGCCGAGTAGAAGCCGACACCAAACTGGCCAATTATGTTGGAGGAGGCCTCTGAGGTGCCATCCTGTTGGTTGCTCTTCATTTGCTCCAAGAAGTGTTTCGAACCGCTGCGCGCAATTGTGCCCAAGTTGCTAACTAGCTCCTCCCTGGTCATGCCAATGCCCGTGTCCTGTATGATGAGCTGCATCAGCGGCTTGTCTGTGGTGATGCGAATCTCCAGAGGCCGGTCCTTGCCAGCTAGATCCGTTCCGCTGTCGCTCAGCGAGGTGTAGCGAAACTTCTCCAGGGCATCGCTGGCATTGGAGATAAGTTCTCGCACAAAGACTTCGTGGTCAGAGTACAGGGAGCGAGCCACAATGTCCAGCAACTGTCGCGTCTCCGCTTGGAACTCGTGCTTGTCCACCTTTCCCTGCGGCGCCTCCTTGGTTTCAGTGGCGAAGCAACGAAGGGAGAGGCCTGCAAAAGGAGCGTAAATATAAGGTAGTTCCTTGGAGCATCCATAGAGACCTACCGGCATGCGATCGATGTAATCGCGGAGCGAAATTATGGACCGCTGCGACTGCAGGCAGGCGGCTCTGCCTCAGCACGCCCCCAAGGCGGGCCAGGTTTCGCGCCTGACAAAGCACTCCCATCGCACGGACCGACATGGTTTAAATATCTATTTATGTATAACTTTTGTTTTCGGAAATGTTATTTAACGACTAGAAGTTTACTTCAGCGCACACATGGATTATTAGTGTTACCGAAGCTTTGAAACATACCATTTCGGCTTACGGTATTTGTTGTCCCCACCAATTTCGTTTATACAAGAAAGATGCTGAATCCTGCTCAGATATTTATTATTATAGTACAATATATTGAAAAATATGTATTTATACATGCTCCTTAAAATTTTGGGTTCATTTAAAATAAATAAACCTGTTTTTCTTCATGTATGCGAAAAGTGGAAACGCACCATTACTCTGTTCGGTATATAAATACCATCGCGATATGTTGACAACCCTACTCGCGAAAGCAACTCTGCAATAGCGCGTCCGCGTCGCGTTGTAATTTTTTGTTGAATTTTTTAAGCTTGTTAAATACCGTGGCATGTCCTAAGTTAAGTCTTCCTTCCGCAAAAGATACTGATCTGACCATGAGCGCCTCTACCATCGACAACGTGCGGGTGTTACTGCAGTCGCTGCCCGCCGCCTCGAACAACATCAACACTGCAGTCGGCCTTGGTGAGCAGCAGACGCCGGGCAAGGGACTGGCAATGGCCCCAACTACTCCCTTGCGCGCCAGAAACCAGGGCCAGCAGCTCCAGCTGAATATGCCGTTTACTCCGGAGAAGGCTGAAGAGAAACCGATTTCGGCTCCCGAGGAGTTCTGGCGAGACCTGCAGCAGTTTCACGAACGGCGCGGGTGAGTGTTAAATACCAGGGTTAAGGTCTTTGGCTCACTTGGTCTCTATTTGGTCTATTCCACAGCACCCCGCTGACCCAGGCGGCCAAGATCAGTGGCAAGCACGTGGACCTGTACAAGCTGTACACCGAGGTCACCGAGCGCGGTGGCTTCAACAAGGTGAACATGCGGGACGAGTGGGACGAGGTATACAGTGCTATGGAGACTCTGCGGGAGCGGTGCGTCAATGGCACGGCGGGCATCAAACACATATATAGACGCTATCTGGACAAGTACGAGCGCCTGAATTTCTTTGGTGAAGATCCAGACAAGATGGAGGCTTTGGAGGCGGCCATTGAGAACGCAGAAATGGGCGGTGGACGCTCCCGATCGCGGGCTTTGGCTGGCGGCGGCGGAGGCGGTGGCGGCGGTGGTCTTGGCAGCATCTTTGGCTCAATGCACTCGACGCTGCCGGCGGTGCCCATGGCCTACAATCAGCGCCAGCATTCTGTAAACGTTGAGCGTCGACGGCAATATAAGATGTCCACACAGCTTCACCGACACAGCAGCTACGAGAAGCTGCTGCTATCTCTGCTCTCACCGCTGCCCAACGAGCAGGACTTTGCCATAAATGTGTGCACGCTTATGGCGAACGAAGTGCGCCACACGCTCCAGCTAACCGAGTGTCCCAAGCTGCTGGATGTGCTGTTGGCCCACCTGGGCGTCTATGCGGATTTCACCATGCGCCAACTGTTTCAGCACAGCTACGCGGAGGTGCGGCACCACTCACAGCTCAGCTTTTGGCGCGACCTGCTGCACGACAGACCACAGATCCTGGAGCTATACACTGACGAGCAGGCCTGGCTGGATAATGGTCTGATCAGCAAGGAGGATAGGGAGAACACGGCCGCTCGTAGCGAGCTGCTGGCGGCCTGCGATGAGTTGGATTTCCTTAACCTAAGGCGCAGCAACGGCACCGATGAACGGATGGGCCAGCGTGTTCTACAGATTGTCCAACTTGTGCGAACCCTCAGTTTCCATCAGGAGAATCACGCACTTCTCGCATCAAATCGCACATTGTGGCGTTATTTGGTCATGGGCGCCAACGTGCGATGGAGTAAGTGTTTTCCTATCCTATTAATTAAGAAAATTATTAATTTATACTAAAACATTGCTTCTCCTTCCGCCAGGTAACATCCACATTCAAGCTCTGGAGACAGCCGGCAACCTTGCCCACCAGTTTGAGCTGCAGGATCCCACTACGGACGAGCTGTCGCGGAATCTGCTGGCCACCCTTTGCGAGGGAGTCGACTCCAACGACCGGGCGGTGATCATCAGCTGCCTGGAGATACTTTACAAGCTGTGCGGCCGCGAGGGAAACTCCCAGCACATCAACCGCTGCCTGGGCTTGGATTTTTACCAACGGGCTATGCTTCTGCTTTCGCTGACGGATGTGATGCTGCTCATTTTTACTCTGGAGGCCGTTTACGCGCTGAGTTCCCTGGGAGCGCGACCGTGTTCGATGCTAATGCAAGTGCGAGGTCTGCTGGATCAGCTGGTGGCTCTGATCACCGTGGAGGCGCAGACCTACGGCGCAGACGGTTGCATACTCATGCGGGTGGTGGAGGTAGTACCGGGCAATATGATAGCCTCGCTGGCCCAGACAAATATGCCGGCCATGCAAGCCAATCCCGCGGCGGCTGCAGCATCTCTCACAACGCTGCCACCATCGCTGCAGGTGGCCATTAAACCGCCAGTCGCCTTGCCCACACCAACGGCCGCCCAGACACAAGTGCTCTTGCCCCAGGGAGGGGAGCAGGCAGTAGCTGCACCTGCTTTGCCATCGGTTCCAACGATTCCCAGTCTACCGATGCCTAGTCTGCCCCAGGTTCAGCTGCCGGTGCCCAGCCTGCCGCAGGTTCAGCTGCCCCCAATTGCGGCCACCGTGTCTCTGCCGAGTTTGCCTTCAGCAGGTCCAAGCTTCACCCACGAGGATGAGCAGTATGCTTTGGCCTGGCTGGGAGCCACCTACGAGCGGGGGGCAGGCATGGGCCACGAGCTGCGCGTGGAACAGGCGGAGCTATACAGAATCTATTTGTCGCACTGCCAAAAGGCGGGTAAGCTCTCCGTGGTGAATCACATGCAGTTTCCCCGACTCGTGCGGCTCATCTTCAATCAGACGGTGGGACCGGTAATTGTCCGACAGCTGGACGGTACCGAGTTGCCCGGCACATACTACGTTGGCATTCGAATGCGAGCTCAGCCGCTGATCATGCAGCAAAAGCCGGCCATTCAGAAGAAGGAGACTCCTGTCCTGCCCAAGCCGCAGCCAAGCGAAACTACTGCGGCAGAAGTGGCGCCTGAAGAAGCACCAACAACTGGTCAACTTCCGCCTTCGGCTGTCACGCCGCCTCCAAGCTCTTCGCTGATCAAGAGTCTCTTGGCCAACAAGGTCACCGAGCGTCAACAGAAGCAAAAGGCGCAGGCACAGTCGCCACAACCGCCAGCTCTGGTGGCCACTACGGCACCTTCGTCAACAAATTCGAGCACCCAACCCATCAAGGTCACCTCGACTGCCATTAGCGCCTTTGTGAATAACCCACTCATGCAGCACACGCCGGTAAAGGTGGGCCAGACTACCATCAAGCCGCTGCATCCCCAGATGGCCATGGAACAAAAAAAACCCATTACGGACTCGGCTCCCCCGCCGCTAGCACCACTGAGTGGGGCGAATGTGGTGAGCAAAGATGCCAGTGGACGCACCCTGATCATTGCAGCAGCTGCGGCGGCAGCCAAACGAAAATTGACCATTGACGAGGAGCAAAACAAGCGCCTGGCCTTGGACGGCGGCAGCTCGAGCTCCAGCTCTTCCGCCGGCAAGGATGAGCCGCAGGTGACACCCTCAAAGAATGCGGCCAATTTGTATGCAGACTTGGCGGCCTCCATACTGGAAGACGAGGACTTGGACGATGTTCCACCGCTGACCAAGCCCAATCAGGAGCAAGCCCAGCAATCGTCGCAACAGCAACAGCTCCAGCTTATTCCGGCGAAAGTGCAGCCAACACAGCGTCAGCTGGTATTCCCCTCCAGCAGCACAGTTGCCTCTCCTGGCCCACCGCCGCAACTGAAACTGGCCACTACGGCCACTATCAAGACGGATCAGGGTCTGCAGACCGTTCCAGTGATCTTGCAGCCCAAGAGCACAATAGAGCATGTTACGCCGGCGCCGCAGACTCAGTATGTTCTGGCCACCAATCAGCAGGGACAAACTTACTTGGTGGCGCAGCAAACTCAGCCAGCTATTCCGCCCGCTAATCAGTCCAATCCGCCCACGCTGCTGGTGACGCAAACCCCGCAGCAGCAGACTAAAACCATTATAATTCTTCAGCAACCTGGTGGAGGCGTGTCGGCTGCCAATGTGGCGGGCACGCAGAAGATGATCATGACAACGGCCCAGGGGCAGCAGGTTTTGGTTACCACCACTACTGCTCCGCAGTCAGCTCCACGTAATGCAACGCCCCAGCAGCAGCAGATCTTTATAGCACCTCAACGTCCCGTTCCAGCCTTGGGCGCGGCCGGACAAATGTCGCCTTCATTGCTGTCGCAGCTCAATCAAATCCCTGCCACTATCAAGCTTCATCAGCCGCAGCCACAGCCGCAGCAGCGCTTGGTGGCCACTAAAGCGGGCGCTGCTGTGCCCATTCCCCAGCTGCAGCAACACCAGTCTATCATTCAGCAGCACATCATCTCCGGCCCTTCTACACCAGGCTCCTCCACCTCAGTTGGCGAGAAGAGGCAGCTCATTCTGGGAGGCGGAATGAAGGAGACCACGCTCATCACCCAGACACCGGCTACAGCGGCTCCCCTACAGCAAAGCCAGCTCAACTCGCAGACGATCATTACCACACAGCCGCCGCCCATTACCACCACAGCAGGCACTGTTGGGGGCGTGACCCTTCAGCAGCAACAGCAGCAGCACATAAGGACTGTCTTGCTAGAGCAGCAGCAGCAGCAACAACAGCAACAACACCATCCATCGATCATTCAGCAAAAGATCACAATGCCTACAGTAAGTTTTTCCTTTACTTTAAAGCTCCCGATTTTGTTTACCTAAAACATTTGGATATTTCAGATCTCAGAGGCAGCGAAACCTAAAGCGGTTACCACCGTTTCAGCTCCAGGTACTCTGCCAGGCACTACTTCCGTCCTGGCCAAGAAGACTTTGCCACCGCCCATGAAGCCCTCAACAGTCACCCAGACTGTGGTGGTAACAACGGCTACTACCAGCGGTGAATCGGCAGCTGCTAAATCAGTTGTGGCAACAACAACAACAACCACCAGCGAATCCAAGGTAGCAGATCAGCCGTCAGTTACATCGAGTGTTGTGGTCACCACAGCTCCTACAACCACCAGCAGCAGCGGCGCTGTGGTGGTCAGTCAGAGCGTCTACGCTGCCTCACCTGCTCCCAGTGGCACTAGCACCACACCTGCCGCAGTGCCCGTAGACGTCAACTGGTTGTACATTTGCGATTGGCGCAACTGTCCGCGTAGAAAGTTCAAATCTCTGAACGAGCTCAAGTACCACGTGTGCAACGTACACTGTCCGGACCATCTGGACTCGGACGCCGACATCTACTGCCAGTGGGGCAGTGGACCCACATTCTGCGACAATAGAGCCCGCAAACGGTACTCACTGATGACGCATTTGATTGACCGCCACTTGACACCGGAGAATTTGCGAGCCGGAGTGCAGCGCCGCCTTACCACGGGCATTCATAATGTGGCCCCCGCTCAGCCGCCCGTGACCATAGTGCGGAATGAGGGTCATGCCCAGCGAGTGCTGCCGGGAAGCGGTCCTGTGGGTGCTTCAACAGCGGCGCCCGCCGCCACCACTGCGCCTCCAGTTGTGGGCAGCGCCGCAATGCAGGCCATGAACCGACACACCACGGATTACACCAACTCCAAGGAGCTGATGGATGAAAACGAGGGGCCGGTCACCAAGAGCATACGCTTGACAGCGGCTTTAATTCTGCGGAATCTGGTCACCTACTCGTCAACGGCCAAACGGAGCCTAAAGCGCTACGAGCCCCACTTGGCCAATATAGCACTAAGCAACGTTGAGGCCAGCGGAGTGCTCTCACATATTATGTACGAGCTGAGTCAGTAGGAGCAGCAGCTGCTTTACTGTATTTTGTGTATTACCTTTGCAGATTAACTAAAGAAGCGGCTTGTAATAACGACACTATTAAAATGTGAAAACTAAATTTGTAAATCTGGTATTTGTCATTTTTGATGTATGTAGTATCTTAAATTATGGTGTGGGGTTTTGACTTTCAATTTTGCCCCACATTTTTATTAAAAAGAGGCCTGTTTAGAACAGATTAAGGGAGCTGTTTGCTAAGCAACCACTATTCTCATTTCAGCTTCATTTTTTTTTTTATTTATTTAACATTGAAAATTAATTTGATTAATTCTTATTCTACGGCATTAAACATTTCTTAGGGAGTATATGGTATTTAACAGTTTGATGACTTATTTAGTGGCACCATGGGCTCTTAGGATTCGACTAACACACGTGCATTAAGTGAATTATGTGGGAACGACTTTGGTCAAATCATACAATAGCTTTTCCATTCTTCAGGAAATTTTCATTGTCTACGATCGTGTATTTGTTGCTTCTGTAGGAGTCTAGCTCGAAAATGTATTTTTTGCCACAGTCTTTCATCAGCTTATGAATGACAGGTTTGATGTTCTCGATGCCTGCTATCCTGGCCAGTTCATTGTAGTAAACAAACTGAAATGAAATAGAGTGTTCAGGGCAAAGAATCTTGGATTTTATAGTTGACATTTACCTGTCGTTCGCCCATTTGATGTGCTTTTTTGCGATTGTGGACACCACAGCCCCAACGCTCTCCTATCTCCTGCTCCAGCTCGGCGATCATCTCCTCGCGAGAAGGAAACTGGCGCTCGCCCGTAAAGAACTTGACTGTGAAGCGAACCTGCATGTCGAAGATATGGGTGGGGATAACGTTGAAGGGCAGCCCAATGAAGGCCATTGTGGGGTGATTGATGTTGATGCAGTGCTTCCACAGCGGTTGGACAAAGTTGTCGATAACCTGGATGCCAACGTCAGTGCTGAGGCAGGGAAATGTGTACTTGTAGCCGGTGCAGAACAGCACGTGACCGAAGCTCTCCTCGCTACCGTCCTTGAATACCGCCCCATTTGGCGTAAAGCGCTCCACATCCGGTTTTTGTGACACATTGCCCATGAAGGCTGTGTTGGGCGTTGTGGACAGGTGATGGCTCAGGAACACCTTCTTGGCGGCCGTGCGAATGTGATTACATATATCCATGCCGCTGGGTCCAGCACCGATGATTAAGACACTTTCGTCTACATTGAGAAAGGTGGTAAATAATATTTATTTAATTAATTTAAATTGATAGGGGAAAGGAGAATAATTTCGTGAAGCGGAAGTTGGTATACCCCTCAACTAGCTAAATATTTTTTGTTTGGAAAGCTCACATAAGCCTTTCGGGCTTCATATATGGTTAATTATATTTTTATAATAATATAATATTCAAAAATTCTTGATAAATCGATGTGTAAAACTATTTTGAAAACGTCTATCCAAAAACTTAAATGTTTTTAGTGTAAATAAATTTTTTTTTTATATTTCGAAAGAATTTTTTGCAGGAAACAATAGTAATTTCTGTAGCTCTCTTGATATTCTGTTTCCAAAGGACGTGATATTTCCTATTAATTGCATAAATTCCACATTTGATCAGTCCCCGCAATCACTACAAAAACACGTGCATTCAGAATTGGCACAGGCCCACCAACACTTATTATTATTATTATTATGTCACTCGGTCGGGCAGTCAACAGTGCTATCTGCTTCTGCTTCCGAGAGGGCTCCATTTATTTATGGGGGAATCAAGAGTGAGACTATGGCCAGACGGCGGGCTTGATAAGTCCGATTTGTGGGCCAGGCGCGATCAGAATGCTCTAGGATGCAGATGCGGAGTACTAAATGCTTATCTTACCTTTAAACGTATCTGCTTTGCGATACAAATGGCTGTGCATCTTCTTGCCCCTGTACAGCTCCAATCCCTCGATCTGCGGCAAGTCGGGTTCCGTATAGTGGCCATTACAGACGTAGACAAAGTCGTAGTAGACTGGATCGCAGGTATCCGTGCTGTGGTCCCACACATAGACCTGAAAGTGGATTTAGGAAGACCCAATGTCAATCGTAATTATTATATTATGCCAGCAACATTGTGTAAGCCCAACAACAAGTCGCAAAGGTTGAGACACAATCAAAACTGGTTCGGAAATACGTAATGTGACGTCGTTACCCACCTCCCAATCGTCCAATCGAGGACGCACTCTTATCACCTCGTGCTGAAGCTTGATGTGGGGTTCCAGCTTAAAGTGCTTGGCATAGGATCGCAGAAAGTTCAACACCTGTTGAGCAGTGATAAAGGACTCATCAATGTCATCGGGATAGGAGTAGTCGGGATAGCCCATGACCTCTTTGGGCAGATTGGTGCTGAAGTGGAGCAATGTCACTAAACTGTTTTTCTAATATTCTTTCCACACTTACCGCAGTCCCTCGTACATGCTGCTGTGCACTTCATCGTACTCGTCTTTAGGCATTTTGTCTGAGAAGATCCAAGTACCCCCGATCTCAGTTCCTCGCTCATACGCCACTGCATCCAAGCCCGCCTCCAGGGAGTTCTTCAGGGCACAGAGACCGGCGGTGCCAGCTAGAATAAGCATTTGAATTTAATAACCATAGACATCAGCTTTATCAGGTTACCTCCTATCACGCAAACCCTGCGCTTCTGGTCCTTCAAAGTCTTCATAATTTGTATTTGTATATTTCCCAAGGGGTCTGACTTCTGAGCTCTAATTATTTCCAAAAACACGTCGCTCCGCCTTGGCGACTGACCAACGACTAACTGCCGGGGGGCTCGTGCTCCCGCTGATATAGACCGGGAAAGGCGTTGCGATGTGCCCTACACTCGGCAAGCTCGGTGAGACTGATAAGTTGATTCCCGGATATGTACATATACTCGTAAATATTGTTTTTAGGGGGCAGGGGCTTTCACAGGGCGACTTCATCTTAATCCGAGGCACTTATCACTTGCGGTTGTCAGTGATATAACAGAGCGTCGGCAGTTCTGTAAGCGACTGGATTGAAATTTCAGACACATAATATTAAAAACTCAATGTATTTAAATATTAATTAACATATAAGCTGATCCACTGACACAATTAAGAGTATAATTTGCCTTCATAGTAAATATGTTTAAACATAATGCAACCTATACTCTTTCAGAGATAAGTAAGAAATTTTCGAGGAAGTTTCTAAATATTTGTTTTAAACGTTCAAGTTAGTCAAGTTTCACTGTAGGATTCGAACATCTGGCTGCTGATCATTACGCATAGAAAGCGATTATGGGTTGGGAGAAAAGTATACTTGATAACCCACACAATTAGTTAATATTTTCCCTAGAATTATACCCCTTATGCCCCGGAGTCACTGTGTCAATTCAGTTTAACAGCCTATTTGAGTTATTTTATATTTATTAATTATCAGCTGACACACCAGTGGCACAGAGTATTCGGAAATGTATTTGTGTGCGGATTGTCTCATCCGAGATAGGGAAGTGTAATTGTAATTCATTCAATTCATACAATGTAAACAGACCCCAGCGAAGACCCTCGAATGTTCTGAGATGGGTATGAGGAAGCCAAGCAAAGTATGTTGCTATGTATTGCTCAGATAGTGATAATGATTGCGCCTAGGCCTACTCTCAAGTGGAAAGCGAATCCCATATATTCCTGCTCTGACAGCTCCTTGATGTTAATTAAGATTATGCTTAGTTGTGTGCTGGAGTGCTCACACTTGACGCCCCGAGCCAAGGGCCCCGCCTTGATCATTCTACAGATAATATTATAGCTTGTTATTTTCCACTACGTATGGAACTAAGACATTAAATATTTACTATAAGCGAATTTATTTGAAACTGTTGTGAATATATTTCTAGACACTCAGGAGGTTTCCAGAAATCTAGTGAATATTCTGAAATTATTAGATATGTTTAAGACTTAGCTGGATTTTACAAGGCTTATCAAAAAAGCATTTTCCTCTTTTGTTTTCTTTAAATTTACTTTTAAATCTATGTCCTGCCTTAGACTATGTATTATAACTAATTTATTTATTACTGAAGGAAATACATGAGACATGACCGCTTGCCTGCCAGTTGCTACGCGGACTGGTCTTTTAAATCTGAAACTCGTGCTATAAACTTATTGAATCTTTCCAGATTGTCTTATCTCTTTTAAAGGTATTATACGTATTAATATACATATGTACATATATGTTTGTACATATGTGAGTTTAAATCGGAAAACATTGTTTTATAGCTGCAATCGAAACGATCTAAAGAAATTATCTTGATCAATTAAAGATTAGAAAAAAATTTATAGTTAAAATAATATTTGTTTTTGTCAGTGGGTAAAATCTTACTAAATATATATAAATATATTTTTTTTACGACCCTATAAAATATGTTTATATACTAATACATATATTATTGATCAATATCAACAGTCGAATCGATTTGTTATGTGAGTTTCTCTTTGAGTTTTTAAAATAATTCAATAAAACTTTAAAGACAGCGGACATAGCTGACATAAAATCAATAGAGAATTAATTAATTATTTTTATCTACTTCAAGATATTGACCTTTTTATTATCTTAGACCTTAGGTTTTATTTTATAAAACTAATTTTAAAATTAAAAGAAAGCTATGTAAATCCTACTGCACAGTTTTTCGTCTTCGCCGCGCACTTTGTCTGGCCTAATGCAAAATTCAAAGATTTGGCTGCTGTTTTTTTAGCGGGCTCACATTTTGAGCTTTTCAAAATCAGCATTTAGCTAGTGGTGGTAGTCGGGAACGATCACATATCGATAAACCTAATTTATTAATAGATTATCGGTGGTTCCATCCGACGAACTGATCCCACGAACCAGTTCAGAACGAAGACGAGCGAACCAGAGTGACCAAGGAGAAAATACCGAAAAATATCAAGCAAATATATCGCGATTTCGATATTTGGGCAAACAAATTTCACGATATCGATATATTGATATTTTGCTATACTTTTTACATTCTACATGAGAATTCGACCCCAAAAACGAGAATTCGACCCCATGCATGTAAAATGTAAGTTCAGAGTGACCAAGGAGAAAATACCGAAAAATATCGGAGATCGGAGAACGAGAGCTGGAAGAACGAAGAACGGGACGGAAGAACCGGACAGTGGCGATCAATCGTTTTCCCACTTGCTCCAAGCCCCAAGCCCCAAGACTCTCGGTTAAAGGTTCAAAGTGATGTGAGGCGAAAAGCGACAAATCGAGCAAACAGGCGCGCACAGCGGAGCGAAAAAGAAAGCAAAGGCAGCAGCAGCAGCAGCAACAAGTTTTAGTGGTTTTCCTTTGTGCGTCTCGTTCGTGTTTGTGCTCCGCTCTGCTCTGCGCTCTGCTCCCCCCGATCGAGAGCGACTTTTATTTTGTTTTGCCCATTTTATCAGAACACAATCCAATCCCGACCGCCTCCAAAAAAGCGGAAAGCGAGCTGTGGAGGTGATCCGATCCCAGTGCATAGTGCATGCAAGGCTGCGCTTTCAAAATTACACAACACACACATGAGCGAGGGGACGGAGGGCAGGGCCTACAACAAAAGCAGAAGCACCAACAAAAGCGGGGCAGCCAAGCATTTCTGCCCCTGATGCCCTCGGCGACCATGGCCCCCACCACCAGCCCGCCCGGTCCGGCACCGAAGCTATCAGCCAAGTTCAAGTCCTCTTCGCTGGACCATGAGATCTACACCGCAAACCGGCGTGGCACGATCGCTACGGCTTCCAGCGACTGGAAGGCGCTCCGCGGTGGGACCACTAATGGGCGCTCCCTTCCCGCCGGTGGCGCCGCCCTGGGCTTGTCACCCATGACAAGGGCCGCCTCCACATCATCCCTCGCTAGCAGTACACGCACCATGACCAACTACCAGGAGTACAAAATGGAGATTATCAATCAGGTAAACTGTTTTACATAGCTTCATCGTTTTCACTATAAAAACTGCTATATTTATAATGTGCAAATATGCCTTTAAAAGGGGAAACCTAGTGTAAATTCCTTTCTTTTTGAAGTATCACAATTTTTTTTTTATTTAAAATATTAAAACATGTAAGAGAGTACCGATGGTCTTAATCGCGTATTTATGTGTCTATCTATTATCAAAAATTCTTAATTTGTAAATAAAAAGTGTACTTGTTAGCTAATTCAAGTATTCTGAATAAACAAGTTATAACGAAAACGAATATAACAGCTGTTTGACAACAAGCTACATTTTGAAATGTTGATTTTGTTGATTAATTTTGATCAAGATCCCATTTATAAGCTTTTGGGAAACCTAAAAAATTACATAAACTTTCATAAATGTTCCTTGAAATTAATAATTTAAAATATATTCAAATAAAAAACGAGAACTAATTTAATGGAGAAAAATCAATGTTGCAGTTATAAATTTACTATTTAAAATTTCGTTAAGTACAAATGGAAAAATGTAACAGCCTAATTATTATTTGAAAACTTTAGTCTCCCTTCAAAATCTTCGGTTCAGATGCCAAAAAACGATCAACAAACTGAACAAAAAAAAGCTGTTCAAATAAATAGCCATATTTTGTGAAGATATTTTTTAAACTACGGCGAACACAACAAAATAGAAGACAGATCCGCAAACAGAGAAAACCTCGATTCCTATGTTTGCATTGCAAAAATGTTTGCGAAACTTCCATTTTGAGTCGTCTGTTAACAAGGACGATTGATATATCTATATCTATTGATATATGTACATCAGTGGGTCGTCGTGACTGTCTTAATTTAATTGATAAGGCAAATATTTTTTGTTTCGGTCATTCGTTTATCTTCGGCCCGATAAAAAGCTCGAATGCCCGCACGGATTTCTTCATTTTGCTATGTAAAATATTTACTTAACTTCCCGCCGTAGGTGAGCGAAATGTAAAGTGTTTATTTAATATATATATATTGCTTTGTAGTTGCTTACATTCGCCTGATAATTTGTTGAAGAATTTTAGTAAGCGCATTGCGGATGCCTGTTTTTTTTTTATTTTTTGTTGGCCACTTTGATAAATTCAGTTTCCACAGAAAAAAAAACAGCAAATAAACAAGTATTCCAAAAATAAATTGCCCCCCATACACACAAGATTATTCCCTACAGGCTAAAATGATGAATTCATCGAACCCAATGTGGTGATTTTTATGTTACTTTGGTCTGTCCAATGTTAACAAATGGAGCGCCATAGCCACATATGTATTTTACAATCACATAAACAAAAAACCCGGTGATAAATTTGATGGGAGGCTAAACGGGTTCGGAGTACCTTCCAATAGAATTGTCAAGCCACGAGCCGCAAGGTCAGCGATTTGCCATGGGTTCGAGATCTCTTTATGTGATATTGGTACCTAAGAAGATAATTGCCGAAACGTTGAACTGCTCAATAAAAATCGATAGAACTAAGCCCCAAGAAGAGGCAGGATTTTCTTTCAATTACTCTTAACTCTGCAGTCTATCTGTGTAGCATGTTCCGATCGTTTATACTTATTTGTTTAGAACGCATGTCATTGTTTATGATCGCTCTGGGTACTCTCTACAAAGGCTGCAGTCGACAGACTCTGTAAGAGGTGCGAATGATATTGCACAGGTGTCCACGAAATTCTCCTGTAAAACGTTTCAACGATACGTAAATAAGTGTTCCAGGGCCGCCGACACTCACCGGATATTTTGAGGCAATCAATTGATGTGGTGGCGCGCTGATAGACCAATCAACGCAACAAGGCAATAATTTAATTTCGATTGAACTTTTCTTTGCAGGGCAAATGCCTATGTGGACAGTACATCAGAGCCCGTTTGCGGAGGGCTGGAGTCCTTAACCGGAAGGTGACTCAGCGGCTGCGAAACATCCTGGATACTGGCTCTTCACACGTCGTATATGAGGTCTTCCCCGCGCTGAACAGCGTAAGTAGTTTCCCACTTTTATACCTTTTACTAAAATAATTGTAACTCCTTAGATGGGCGAAGAACTGGAGCGCATGCATCCTCGTGTGTACACAAACATATCCAGACAGCTTTCGAGAGCACCGTTCGGTGAGCTGGAGGACAGCGACATGGCACCAATGCTGCTCAACCTAGTGGCCAAGGACCTATTCCGTTCGAGCATCACTTGGGGCAAGATAATCTCGATCTTTGCCGTCTGCGGTGGCTTTGCCATCGACTGTGTACGCCAGGGCCACTTTGACTATCTGCAGTGCCTGATTAACGGCCTGGCTGAGATAATCGAGGATGATCTTGTTTATTGGCTGATAGACAACGGCGGTTGGCTGGGCCTGTCGCAGCACATCCGGCCGCGAGTGGGCGAGTTCACGTTCCTTGGCTGGCTGACGCTTTTCGTGACCATTTCGGCGAGCGCCTACATGGTGTCCAACGTATGCAAGCGTATCGGCTGTCAACTATATTCGATGATATTCCGTTAGTCCCCCGGACCGCATTGCAATTGCTGTTATACGTTACGTGTACGATTTAGTCAGTGAAAACTTCGAATCATTCCTGCTCCTGTGGCACCCGAGCCGTATAAGTAGTCCGTAGTTGATATTGTTTTACGCATATAATATTGTTATCTGTTTCTTCTTTTTGTACATACACACACACAATGCTAATCCTAGTACCAAGCGCAATAAAGTGTGCATTTTAATCATTCGATTTGAGCTTGCCGCCAGAGAAGGTTGCCAGATATGTGAAATAGTTGTCTTTCAATTGATATCGATTTTTCGATTGCTTATCGATGTCTTATCATCTGTTGACAGTGTTGTACAGCGGAAAAAGGCAGTGACTAGACATGTGTTGGTAAAGACCCAGGCGTAAATAAAAACAATACCCATCGTGTATTTTCATTTACCAAAAAATGTCAAGAATTGGAGGCCTTACTAGTCTGTCTTTAATAACGTAATGCCATGTCAAGTTAGTGTTCAGTATCCAACATAAAGGACTAGGATAGATACACAACAACCTTCTTTTTACAGCGCACAACGAGCCCGAGGAGATTCAGCCCAACATCCATGTGGAGGACGGACTTTGTGGAACAACCCAGTCGCCCCTTTTTTACTGCGAGAGCTGCGGGAACATTTACGGAGACAATGAGTCCTACGCCAAGGACCACAGTCACCAATCTGGTTGTTGTGTCGGTGGGATCAAGAAAGAGCTTGAGTTTGTAGAGGAGTTCATTTCAGAGGAACAGACCGAGGTTCCAGCAAGTTTAGCCGAGGAGGATAATGAAGAGGAGATCCACGAGGCTGACGTTCCGCTCTGGGAGGTGGTAGATGACCCCATTAAAGCAGACGAGAACGAGACTGACCCCACCCATTCAGATCGTTACTTTTGCTATGACTGCCACAGCATTTTCGAAAACAGGAGCAGTGCAGAGGACCATGTTTGTCCGCAGGCAGACACCGGCGGTGGCTCTATACAGCATGCAGACGAGATTCCCGCCGGCACAGCTAAACCACCGACACGTCGGAAGTTGCCCAGCGTGGCAGCTAGGACAGACTCCAAGGGTAGTTCACAATCATCTGTCATTAGCTGTGAAATATGCAACACAGTTTTTAGTTCTGCCAAGTTTCTTAAGTTCCATATGCGCATTCATGAAAAGGTGGCTCCCAAGAGCATTCAAGACGCCCTTCCCGTGGGCGCCCACCAGCAGTACAGTAAGCTGGATCAGTTTTACTGCGAGATCTGCAACAAGAGGTATTTAGAATCTCATAAATCCTATAAAGCCTTCTCAATTCAGCAATTTGTTTGTTTGTACTCCTTCAGTTTCGACGAAAACCTCCTCACGGTGCACAAGCAAATGCACCAGGAGACCGCCAAAGAGTTCATGTGTGGCGTTTGTAACAGGCAATTCTTTAACTCAATAGACTATGACATGCACCTCAAGATTCACCAGAAGCCGCGCGACTTGGAAGCCACAAGAATGCCCGAACACCGCAGCACTGCTGGCGATAAGGAGAAGCCGGGCTTTCCCTGCCAGTACTGCGAGCGTGTGTTCTCTCGCCCTTATGAAAAGGTTAAGCACGAACGGGTGCACACGGGCGAGAAGCCATACTCTTGCGAGGTGTGCGGCAAGACCTTCCGTGTCTCGTACTCGCTCACTCTCCATTTACGGACGCATACAAACATACGGCCATATGTCTGCACGGTATGCAATAAGCGGTGGGTTTGGAATATCAAAATAAAACTAGTCCAAGTCAAACTACTTTATAATTGTTATTTTAAATTTCAGGTTCAAGTCCCACCAGGTGTACTCTCACCACCTGCGTATACACAGCACAGAGCGCCAGTTTGCCTGCGACGTATGCTCAAAATCCTTCCGCACCTCGGTCCAACTATATGCCCATAAGAATACCCACACCAAGCCATACCAGTGTGTTGTATGCAACCGCCCCTTCTCGTCAATGTACGCCGTAAGAATTCACATGCAAACGCATGAAGACGAGAAGAGTAAAGGAAATGGAAAAGGCGTACAGGCTTCTACCAAGAGCCAACCTTCAGCTGGGAAATTCTGGTGCAGTTCCTGTGGAGCAGAGTATGCACGTATGTTTGCCCTGCGAATGCATATGAAGACGGCTCACGGCCTGACAGAGGAAGTCATACAGCAGGAGGAGAACTCGTCGACCGCCCTAGAGGATGTCCTTCCTACCGTAGTAGACTCCGAGACAGCGGTGCTCATAGCAGCCGCCGAGGCTGATGCAGCATACATTAACGCTGTGGTAAACGCTGTAGATGTCGTGGGATCCGTGCCCACATACGAAGAGGTGGCCGTTGAAGTGGGTTGATTTCACCGCATATTAAGTTATTTCTAGTGTCAATTTTAAACTTGTTTTCGTATCTGCCATTTCAGTTCGATGTGGACAATTTCCACAGTGAGGAAATCATCACGGACTGGCTTAAATAGCAGTTAAAAACCACCTCTCCTAGTAGCCAATAAACAAATTACAAAAAAGGTGAGCTTACTGCATCAACTTTATTGGGAACATAATATAGCTGGCGTTTTGGTAACAAGTAAATATATTGCTGGAGTACATTGAGACCAGTCCGTTTTAGTGTTAGCTGGCGTAAATGGGATAAATTAAGGGGAAACATATTTAACTAAGACTAAAGTAAAATCTTAAGCTAACAAAACGTATGCAGCGTAATAGCTACTTTCACTCTTGGTCGCCTCCTGTAGCCTCCTCTTCCACCTCACTGTTGTCCTCGTCGCAGATTTCCTTGAGCACCTCCACCAGATTCTTGGCCTCATCTAGTTCCTGGCGCATTGTGTCCATCTCCTCCTCCAGTCCCTCGATGCGCTCGTGCAGATGCCGGTTCTCGGTTAGCGAGTCCTCCAATGCCAGTCGCCGCTGCTCCGCTAACAGCTTGTAATAGTTTTCACCGGGCTCGCTCTCGCTGGTTAGATCCTCCGCTGTGATGGGCTTATCGACATCTCGACGCGTCGTCGGCTCTGGCTCCGTTTGTGTGTCTGCGTCCTTTGTCGTCGATGGCGATGGCGCTGTGGTTGAATCTACGCATTTGCGCTTCCCATACTTTGGCGTGACCTGAACGCCGGCCTTAAGACGGCTCAGCTGATCCACGATGGAGGTTCGGTTCTCCTTGTCGTTAACGTTGCCCTGCAGGGGCTTCAAAGTCTTGCGTTGTTGCTTTAGGTGCTCCTGCTGCTCGGCCTCGCTCTCGACTTGGATGTAGACTCTGGCAGCGCTCGCGGACATCTTCAGTGCTGTTCCTTGGGCTCTTTATAGGTGTTTAAGCGACAGCGCGTGTGTTATTTGTCCTTTGTCGTTTGTTTACGCATTAATTTGTGGACTAAAGTCGGCGCGTTTTCTCTCGTTGTAATGGCCGCCAAAAAATGCGAAGCCGCGTGCTGCTGTCCAACACTGTTCGCTTTCAGGGATGGCAGTTTCTTAGATATATCGATATATATATATAGATGTCGATATTTTTGTAATTAGAATAAATAATATTTCTTATAATTCTATATCATTGACACGATATTTTTATATATTTTTCACAACCCTTATGATTCTGTTTGACACGAGCAGTGCTGCAATTTTAAGTGCAATTTAATACTTAATACCCTTTTAATAAGTGAATAATAACATATTTTATCATCATGAATAGTAAAATTGTCCTTGTGGCAAAGATTTCTGTTTATTCCTTTTACAACTACTTGACTTAATTAGTCACTCGGCAACGAATATCTAAGCCTTTCTTCTATAAATAATATTCATTTAGTTCTTATTAACATAAATATACATCGTAATATAAGTTAAGAAATGTAATAAAAATCTAAATTAATAAATTGGTATAAAATGTTTATTTTTTAATGTTCATTTCTGTAAAATTAAAAGTATCGTTATATTTTGTTTACATGTTCTTCAAAATATACCCTATCCCAGTATTTCTGTATTTTCGAAAGGTGGCAACTCTGGTCACGGCACGAGGACACGAAGGATAAATATGGCGATAAGAGAATAGCCGATAAGAGCTCCACCCACAAAAAAAAAGACATGTAATTCAGTCAAAACCGGAAAAGTCCTTAATATTTTTTTATTTTTCACTTGTGCACATCCTTGTTCACCCACCCGATCTGCCGTCGTCACGCAGGATGGACCTCAACGAGATTTCCATGTGCATGGACGTGAAGCTGGATACACACGACAAGCGCCCAGTGGCGCTGAGATACAAGACATGGACCCGATGCCAAGTTAAAATTGAGGCCATTAAATGTGTGCCCTGCTTCCTGCGCCTCAGCTTCCAGGCATCGGTGGAGGCGACGGAAACTACCGGTTCGCATCCGTCCGCCAAGCATCCGCCACTGAGCATTTCGGTCAACGTTCCTGGGGTCAGCCTCAGCCTGGCCACCTCGCGCACAATGCAGCACTCATATGGGCTGTTCTGGACCCAGAATCGTCGTGACTGCTTCATCTACTTTGCCCTGGAGACTGAGACTTCTTGCCGAAGGCACATGAAGTGGATGCGAAAGTCTATCAAGAACCTGGAGCTGTACCGGCAGATCTTTCTCGAACAGCGCCGCCTGAGCAGGGGCCCCAGAGGATTGGGTCCTCTGCCCAATTTGCCTGAAACTACTCTAGACGGCAGCAATTTCTCTACGCGGGTTTCGCAAATCTATGAAGAGATCTTTGACGGTAGCCGCATCTCACGCGTCTCGATCGCTTCGGGCGTTTACGAGGAAATGAAGCCATCGGTAATGGAGACGCCGTCACCGCCCCCGCTGCCTGTGCAACCGCATCGCAAGCGCATTAACACCTTTGAGTGTGCTCAGCTGGGCGAGATTCCGCGGTGCAGTACCAATCCGGAGTCGGAGCTGGCCAAGAAAAAGAAGTACAAGACAATGTTGGATAATCTGTTCGGAGGTGCACGTCAAAAGCGCTCCGACAGCGCCAGCGAGCATGGCCAGCCCCAAGATCAGACTGAGCAGCCCTGCAACGACAACGTCCCTTCACCATCGGAGACAGCGCTACCACCACTCTCGCTCAAGCGCAGCTCCCAGCTTAGTAAGTCTCAGCGCAACAGCTTCTCCAGTCCCGATCTTTCGAAACTAAACTTTTTGGACACCTTCGGTGATGATCTTGGCGGCCAAAACCACGAGTCGAGCCTGGAGCTGAACATAAGTCTGGATGACTCGGTCATTGAACCAATCTCTCGGAACCAGCTTGTGGCCCAGATCTCAAAGCAGCTGCTCCAACAAGGCGGGAATACGGGCTCCCTAGAGAGCTTAAATGTTTCCGAGCAACTGCCGCACAACTTTAACTTTTCAGCGTGCAACACGTCCACCATCAATCTTATTGGATCCCATGGAGCTGTGCCAGAGCCAGGCAATCTTTTAAAAAAGAACAAGATTCTGGTAGACGATCTCACCGGCTACTGCGTGATGGCGCCCATTATTTTTAAGGCGGATAAGGAGGTACCACTGCAACCAGGCGGTAGCACCGCTTCGACTTCGTCCGGCTACTCCACAGGCTCCTACTGCTCCTCCACCAGCAGTTGCAATACAGAGGACCAACCCGCCGCAAAGACGCTGGTGGCGCAGGCGGCCAACGAGAGCGACATTTACGAAGCCATGCATGGCAGTTCCTTGAATAGCACCGTTGGAACGACGGCTGCAGCTGGATTTGCGGAACATTTATACGAGAACCTATTAGCTGTCAAAGCCGCCCAGGAGCTAGAAGCCCAACCGCTCTGCTTTGGCCTGAGTACTAGCACACCCACCGAATCTCCCTTGGCTCCAGCTTTGCCACAGAAAGCCAGCCACAGGGAGAAGACAAGCTCCTCCAGTCAACTGCAGCAGGAGGAGGAGGAGGACTATTACCAGACTCCGAGAAAGTCTATAATTAGCGTGGACGACAAGATACCCTCCTACTATCCAAACAGCTGCGATACCCTAAAGTCTAAGAGACGCAGTCCTCCGAATGTAAGGCACTTGGTAAGCAGCGCCTCAAAGTTAAGGCGTGACAGAAAGGAGAACCTGTACATTTCGTCGCCCCACCAGATCATCGAACAGCGTCAGAGGGTCACCACCACCAGCTCATCATCATCATCATCAGCAGGATCATTATCCAAGTCGAGAATCTCAACCAAAAAGACTGCTGCCGCACACAAAATCTCCGAGGGCGTGTATGCCGTTAACCATTCTGTTCAGCGCCAGAGCAACCATACCCACCAAACCAATAACAACGAGGGAGGAGTAGAGGAGGAGCTTCTGCACCTCACCATACTGAAGAACATTGACTTCAAGTTCGACGACGGCCAGGAGACTCACGAGACGGATGATGCTGGTCGGACCAAGTCAAGGCGTCCGACAGGGATTATCGAACCGCCGCCGAAGCTGGAGAATCGCTACCATGCAGCCGAACAGGCGGCCACCAAGCTCTTGCAGAAGTACGCCACACTACTGTCCCCCAGTAAGGGCAAGGCACTGGCAGCCGATGCCGATCCACAGCCGATGACACAGTCGGTGGCCACGTCCAACGAACTGCAGCCGCCGGCGGGGTCCAGCACCAAGAAGTTTGCTTCGCTGCCAAGATTTAAGAAAATTGACTTTTCGCCACTGAAAATTAGACTGAACAATGTCCTGCAGAGGAATCCTCCGTCGCCGCAGCAGTAATATCCCCCAAAGCTCCTTACAACTATCGCTTAATATTTTGTTTTCTGGCCTCTTGTGACTGTGTGTGATCGATGTGTGTACCCACCACCTTAATGTTTGTTTTGACTTCAGTTGATGTGTCATCAGCTTAATATTAATATGTTATTCATGTATTTAATACGCTTTTACCCACGACGATGCACTTAGTCTTAGGTTGATTTTGCTCATTGGAAATAGTAACGAATCATATCTGAGGCTCCCCCATCGAGGAAGCCTCCAGTATTACTGTTGTGAACGCATGTACGATTTACACTTAAGACCGCGCTCAATTATGGAAATTTTACAGAAACGCTTTTATACGAATTATACAAAACTACTATATATTGTTGAGTTATTTAGGCGCCTCGTTGTTAAAATTAATCTAAATTTAGTTGTAATTCTACAAAGGAATATATACCGAATCGAATAATCCCTAAACTGAAACTACGCTTTCAAGCTTTGCATATAACATATCAAAGATTTAGTTAATCCTAACATAAAACTGCTTCAATCTAGCGTAACCAAAGCTCAATTGTACCGTGACTAAGATGTAAGCTTAATAAAAAAATTGCCGCAAACCGAATAAAATGTATAACCAACCGAATCATCTGATTATTATAGTTATTTCATTTATTTTCCTTAAGTCATCTCAACTGTAGACCATTGGTCTTCTCTGTTGGTGGATAAATTCCTGTTCCACTCGCGAGTCCTTGGGCACCACATAGAAGAGCAGGGCTCCACCGGAAACAAAGAATCCCTTCTCTGCCACGATCTCGTTCAGTTGTTTCTCCACGACGATCTTGTGGACACAGCCCACTTTTCGGTTCTCGTAATACACATGCACATTGCCCGGTCGGTAGCTGTTCGTTTTGTCGCAGGGAAGGGGTTCGGCGAATAACGTCGCCAGGCAATCCTGCATGGTTGCCGTCTCCGGGAGCTGTTGCTGAAAGTCGCTAAACAGGAACTCCGGGTAGGAGAAGGCAGCTGGCCACACCAGAGTTGTGCCGTCCTCGTCTAGGTGCACAGGGTGATCTTCAAGCGGCAGGAATTTGGGGCGCAGCAACTCCTCGCTAATGGTGGCATTTTTCCCTCCGGCCTTTTGATCATCAAACTTAATCTCACGCTGTTCGATGGCATCGCGGAGCCTGTGATACCGACTCAGGCGACGCTTGGCTTCGGCAGCTTCCTTGCGTTGGTTGCGCTCTGTCTCCAACTGAAGGTGATTGGAATAGAGTTATAAATTCAGCAAGAGTTTGCTTGCAAAATACTCACCTTTTTCATTTTGTTTTTGTGCAGCAGCGTCTTAGCCTCTTTGTGGTCAACATCCACCTCGAGCAGCTCCTCGCACATCTGAGAGCACAAGTCAAACTTGTCCAGCTCGTGAGCACACTGTGCCGCTCGCCAGCGCGCCTTGGTATAGTCAGGCTTGAAGAAGAGGGCGCGCTGCGCATCGCTCAACGCAGATCTGTAGTTCTTTATGAAGTAATGAGCTGCCGAGCGATTGTTGTACAGCACGGCCAGCACATCCGGGTTCTCCGTCTTGGACTTGATACCCTCGGTGAAGCTGCAAACCGCCATGCGGAATTTCTTGTGCTTCATGTAGAAGTTTCCGTCCTCCTTGTAATTAAGAGCCAACTCGTCCCGGGTATTCTCCTCTGGATCGTACTTGAGCTTCTGCAGGCCCTCGAACATGGGGTGCACATCGTCCCCCGGCTGGGGCGCCCGCTTCATGAAGAACGGGTGCTTGTCCATCTCCTCCTGCCATCGGTCTTCTGGCCATCCCTCCTCGTAGCGCTTCTTCTCCAGGCCATCGATAAAGGCATCCAACTCGGCATCCAGCTTCGCTGCCAGCTCCAGGCGCTCTTCATCGGTCCAGTTGCGTTGCGCCGCCAATTCGTCCATAATTTGGTCCCAATTACAACAACAAAGAAATCGCACATGGAACCAGAGCTGCCAACTCTTCGGTAAATCTAGAAAAAGCCAAAAAGTTTTATTTCATAAATCTAGCGAAAAATTTATTAAAAATTTTTTTAATTGGCTTAAAATTAAGTAAAATGGAAAATCGCTATAATTCCCGCAGCACGTTATTCTACAATTTACCATATAAGCCATTTGATTATCTAGTGGGGAAAATTGCCAAATTGTGCGAAAATTCATCAAATCAACACTACTATCGTTGATATCGATAACTATCAACTGCCAAGCAGTGTTGGCTAATGCCTATGTTTTATAGTTCAATTGAGCTGTATTTTCCTTCTGACGTATTCGGCTACTGCTGAAATAAGCTAGCTGTACAGTATCAAGAAACGCCGTTCTCGTAGAACTTTATATATTTGTGTATTTAGCTTTACGCATTTGTCCATTTTTTGGCACGAGTTGGCAGCTCTTACAGTGTTGTCTAATGCATCAGATCCGTCGCTTCATTGGCTAGAGCTGGGAAACTATCGATAGTGGCACCATTCGATATTTTCGATGATTTGAAAACGAAAATTCGATACTATCGATAGTATCGTTTTTTTACGATTCTTTTTGCAAATTAAAGTTATAGCAATTTCAAATAGAATTATAATACTATTCAAGAGTTTAAAAATTATGCCATATGTTTTGACTAAGTAATTAACATAAATATTCTATCCAAGCAACTTTGCACAAATAAAATTGTATTACCATTGCTAAACATACGCTTAGACTCTGAAGACGTGGCGTAGACGCACCCTTTCTTTTGAAATTCAGTTAATATTTTTCACCGCCAACTCCAATTTAAGTTAATTTAGAATACATTTTTATTATAAAAAAAAAATATATATATATATATATATTTGTTTGCATTTTTCTTACTAAATTTTAGCAACAAAGCAGAGATATAAAAATAGTCCCGTACTATCGATAGTGATAAAAAACTATCGATGGTGGCTCAAAAAAAGGAAAAAGTCGATACCTCGATAGTACCATCGATAGTTTCCCAGCTCTATCATTGGCAGAGACGCGACTGAGCTGGGACGTACCGTTGGCAGAGACGCGACAGAGAAATAAAATTAAAACGTCGACGTTCCTTCCTCGCAGAAGAAACCCAATCAAAATAAAAACAAACAGTGCGTTCGCGCCAAATACTTAACAACAATTAGCAAACGAAAGAAACAAAGTGAGTGTCGGCTAACGGAGCTGTCGCCCCAGCTTGTCCCGTTTCGGTAACGTAAATCCCGTTTCTCGTTTTGTCTGCAGTGCATACCCTTACGGCAGCCATAGAGATGGATAAGCTCGACGCCAACATTGAGCAGCAGTTTGATCTAAATCTCATTGAGGCTGTCAAGCTGAACCCAGTGATATACGATAGATCCCACTACAATTATAAGCACTTCGTGCGCAAGGCCCAGACCTGGAAACAAATCGCCGAAACGCTCGGTGTGCCTGGTAAGTGAAATTCGTCTGGTTTTGGCTACGGGCTGTCCGTGCCCCAACAACAGCCAATTGATTAATTCTGTAAAGGGGGCCAGAGAGTCGACGACGGCAGTGGCCGAGACTGAGGCCGTGGCGGAGGCGGTGGCAGAGGCAGAGGCAGCAAGTGTACAGAAAACGACGCAAAAGTGAACGGCGACGCGGCGCAGTAGCTGGCTGATGGTTGGGAAAGTGCAGGGGCGCACTCAATTGGGCCGAGGGTGTATCACAGGGTGGACTTACAGTCGAAAGAATCAAGTAAAAGTGAAAATCGAAGGAGCTTATAACTGGACAACCTTTAGATTTCAAAAATTCAGATAATACAACAATTTAATTGTAAATATCGTTCATAATATTCATTCATCTTGTTGCCGTCAGATCTGTATCTGGTCTATTCCCTAATAATATTTAAAGTAGACCCTTTAGTATGTCATTGGAATTTATACAAAAAGCTAAGAAAAATAGTTATAATGTACATAGTTTTTGATTTTTAACTAAATTTTTTAATGTCTTTCCCAATATAGTCGCCCCGTTTCGGGCGCTGCGATTTCGCTCCTGCTTTCTCTGTCGAGCGAAGTCCTCAGTGGCAGTGTGCTCAGTCGATATTTTTGAAGTTGCTGTACTTTGCTGTCGCGTCGCAGTAGTTGTCTCGCTCGCACTCACGCCATTCTGCTTGCGCCAGCGTTTATTTTCGTACACTGCGCTGCTCCTACAACTCTGCGTCGGCCGACAGCTCACTCACTCACACACACCACCATTCGTACACACACATCAGACATGCATATGTATGTAGAGACCGACCAGGCAGCTTTCGTTTCTTTTTCATGGGGTATACAACCGAATTCACCGCACATTCCCACCCCTTGCCGGGCGTTGATCGAACCCTACATTTTCGTCTATACATATGCTGCACCTTGTTCGGGTTTTGATTATGCAAGACGGTGGCTCGAAATTAAAGTTGCTGCAAAGACGACCAAACGGAAAATGCCACAGGTTTCCGTCTTTCTTTTGACAGCGGGTGGAGGGCAGTCGAAGTCGGCAGTAACCAGTCGTCGGCGTCACCATCACGTCAACGTCTCTGCTGACGCTAGGAATCTGCTGCTTGCGCCTTCTGCCGCCGCCTCTGCTTCTGTCAACAGTGGCAAACAGCTGCTGGCGCAAGTGGATAGGTTTGTTTTGATTTGATGCTTTCCGACAGGGGCTCCGGGATAGGTTTACAACAACCTAAGCCATGGGTGGCTTTATAAACCGATTACGATGTATGCAATCTAATCATCTTCTTTCGGATGAATCAAATTCTGCGTTGAAAACTTGTAATCCAAGTTATCTCTACTAGCCCTTACCCTTCCTGGGTATCATAATTAGACGGAGAAGATAGTATAGTTTTCTACACTATAAAAAATCATATATTGATATTCGATAAATGAATTATTTAATTTAAATTATAAACATGGTATTTCTCTTTATTTTCAGAACAAAAATGTACAAAGCGTTGGAAGAGCTTGCGCGACAAGTTCGCCCGCGAGATGAAACTCTGCCAGGAATCGAGATGGCGCTACTTTAAGCAAATGCAATTTCTTGTGGACTCCATTCGCCAGTACAGAGAGTCCTTGCTTGGCAAGTGCGCCAATGGTAGTCAGAATGCCAACCAAGTGGCAGATCCTTCGCAGCAGCAACAGGCACAACAGCAGACCGTTGTGGACATCTTCGCGCAACCGTTTAACGGGAGCGCCACGACCTCGGCCCAGGCATTGACTCATCCTCACGGTTAGGAACATTTTCATATAGACATGCTGTTTTTTTTACTAAATGGTATTTCCTATATCTTACAGAAATCACTGTCACCGGTGACGCTCAGCTGGCTACTGCTGTGGGAAAGGACCAAAAGCCATATTTCTACGAGCCGCCGCTTAAGCGCGAACGCAGCGAGGAAGAACACAGTGACAACATGCTTAACACCATTAAGATTTTCCAGAACAATGTCTCCCAGGCGGTCAGCGCCGAGGACCAGTCGTTCGGCATGGTCGTCACGGACATGCTCAACACGCTGGGCGTGCGGCAGAAGGCCGAGGCCAAGGTGCACATCATTAAGTATCTGACGGATATGCAGCTGCTGGCGCAGCACAACAAATACTAACTGCCGGGCGGCTGTCACCGGCAGCTGCTGCAGCTGCTCCAACTGGAGAGCGTTCTGTCTTGAGAGCAAATTAGTGAGGGGGTGCGGCCACCCACATCCACACAGGCTTGCGGTCGTGTGTGCGGTCACTTTCTTTAGAAAATAGTCTTAAAGTCAAACTACAGATTAATATTAGACATAAAAAGCCCCACGGCGCATACCCATAAAGCGTAATTATACTTCACTAACCCCGAAAAGTAGACAACATACATATATACATCTTTATATGCTTAGTTTGACCTCGAGATCGATGATCCACGATCCACTTCGCGCCCAATTCTCAGCAGTGTACAAACAAAATGCGATGGAATAAACAGCGATCCTAGACTTAGGCGTAGTTTGTTTAACATCCGTGGATTCACTTAAAATGCAGATTGTAAATTTTTTGACTACGATTTAGTTGTAACTTGCCATTGGGTCTTAGCTCTGTAATTAAGAACACACGTAATCGTTATTTTAATTTTATAAGTTCTGTTGTAATATGCTGAAAACGCTTGGTAAAATACTTTGAAAGGCTTTAATTAAGTACGACGAGAGGAAATATTAAACACCTTTTTACACAGTGAACGCATATTACACACTTTACACGGAAACAATCGAAATAGTTGCCGGCAACCACAAGTTGCTAACCATTTTCAATGATTGATTGTGCAATTATTTTGTATTAAAAGATATGTTTGAAAAGTAACCACACTCTTGTTTTAATAGGACGTTATGGGGTCCAAGCATTAATAAACGCTATTAGATTAACAAAAATACGAAAGGATGACTTATTAAACTGAACTGGGGTATTTGCTGTTCCTGTATAAAGTGCGTCCCAAAAACCTGTAAAGGCTAAAGTTCCAAATGTATTATAATTTATGTTTTTCATTTTTTTTTTGTACAATTCCTATGATAAGTTTTAAAAAAATTTTATTTGGCCCGCGTTGCGACCAATTACAGCCCACTTATCGATATTTCTAAACGATAATAAACATAATCAGCTGTTTGCTATTGATATTTTGATCGATAGCAAACAATATCAGATGTTTCAGTGGCCGGTTGAACTGAATATTTTTATATAATTGACTAACAATGGCAAAGGAACCCGAAAATACTGACATAAAATCGAATAGTACAAAGAACACACTGGATGATGCGTGGGCAGTAAGTATTGAACTCCAGCAATGTACCGGAAAATGACGGATTCCTATTCCAGATACGGCCTTGTCACCTGTACAAAGATGAATACGACGACTGCACGAGTTTTAAGGCCCGCTTCCATCAGTACTTCATATTTGGTCAGGACACCGACTGCTCCCAGTGGCTGACAGACTACCGGAACTGCGAGCGCTACCAGCAGTCCAATGGCAACGATGTGGCTGCCGGCGCGGCGGTGATAAAAAGCGAGGAGGAGCGTCGATTAAACCGCCTGCGCGCTCACTTCGCTAACGACACCTGGCAGAAGCGGAAACAGCCGCCTGGGGACTGGGCCGCACCGCTGCCCGATTGGATGGAGAAACGGAACGAGAATACGTTTCTGGAGATGAAGCAGAAGGAGCTATCCGGCCTGGCAGCGCCGCAAGAGGAGGAACGCTCTCTGTGTGTTATTATGTAGGAAATAAATTATTGTGGGAAAGAACTTAAAGTGCTGTCTTTGTGATCTAAAATTATCTTTAACAAAGGTTAGTGAAAGTATTGGAGAGAAGACAATTTTTACAGTTTATTTAAAAGCTAATTTAGAATCAAACAGGAAGACACGCTAGAAGGACTCTGGTTTTGATGCTTATCATATATTTACGTACAATATAGGTATATAGGATTAGGTCTTTACAAGAAGACCCCTTGAAAGGGTATACAAATGTCGGCATGTACAAATGTGACGATTGCTGCGGTATGATATGTGTGGTATTTTTTAAAATCAGTTTTAGTATATTTTATCGGACCACCCCCTATCACATTATTGTTTTTATTTTCGATTACTCACCCATTTTGCATCAAATCTCGCCCAGCCTTGCCCAAAATGCTAAAGGGCGGGAGCACACTGAAAGCCCTGGACGTCAGACTCCGACTGCTAAGACCCTTTATTGAAACAAGGTCAGCAGGTAAATATAAATTACATAATTTGAGGCCAATGGCAAACCTGGGGCACCATTGCGGCAGCAAAATTCACCGTGTTATTCAGAAGGTGCTTCTACAACTATTGCAGTGGCTGTGGACGCCGACAGCAGGAGCAGCAACCGCAGCAGCAGCGCAGCTTCTCTAACAGCATCCACAGGTCCTACATAACGTTCAATGATTTTCGCACCAAGAACCGCTCGTACACCAAGAAGGAGCTCGTTGGGTAAGTATATTGTGCACTAAAGCTGGTCTAGTTTACATCTGATGAAATCATCCCACAAGGTACTCCATGCTGGACATGTATAGCGTCGTCTCCGACGTCAGCAACTACCACAGATTTGTTCCGTACGTAAAGCGTTCGCATGTGCACAGCCAGGAGAGCGGTGGAAGAGACTTCCGGGCGGACCTGATAGTGGGCTTCCCCCCGCTTAACGAGGCATACACGTCGCGCGTCACCCTGGTCCCACCCAGTCTGGTCAAGTCCGAGTGCCATGACGGACGTCTGTTTAACTACCTGTTGAACGAGTGGCGCTTTAGGCCGGGCCTCAAGGACATACCCAACTCCTGTGTGTTGGATTTTAAGGTCTCGTTTGAATTCAAATCGCTTCTGCATAGCAACGTTGCAAACATCTTCTTCGACTTGATCTGCGATCAAATGGAAAACGCCTTCATCCAGGAGGTGCGTAGACGGAGCGGCCCGCCCTCCATCCGCTCGCACGTGCTGACTTCCCAGCGATCCTGACCCCCCTGTAGCAAATGAATAGACGAAAATTTGTAATACACGACGTGTACAAAGAACATAAAATTAAGTACTTTAATATGTCGATTCTTTTAACACAATACTAAAAATTAATATTCGTGAACAGTCTCGTTTTGGGTCAGTAGAAGCAACAGAGATAACGGATTCGTAGATTACATTCAAACTCAAATGATATATTAGTACTCTTAATTGACAGATGGTAAACTAAAGTTAAGTTTGGAATGGCATCGTTTAAGTTGAGAGAAATACAGGAGAGTACCCTCCGCAGGTTGCCTACGCGCTACAGTACATTACATTACATTACATGCTTACCGTAAATAGAAATTGTTATTATCGTGCATCGTTATCTTTACCTATGTAAGTATTTTTTGGGGCTCTTGGGGCAGTTAGTTTGAGTGGGAACGTTACGACTATCTCTACTGGGGAGGGTGTATACATATGCATATAACAGACGCTACTTGGGCTCAAACTCCAACTATTATTCTAAGCTCGCTACAGTACTTTATACAGGGTTGTGACAAAGACCTTATAATGCGAAGATAGTAACGCCGTGCACACGAACTTTTCGTGATGGCTCAGAAAAACTGCTTGCATATGGCAATTCAATTGTAAGGGCATGGTTATTATAAGGTCTTTGTGGAGTATAGCGAACGCTACTTAGTTTTGCGCTGTAAAAACAACAATAGGTGTTTAGTGTTAAATGTAAGTTACTTCTTGTTAATTTCTCAATATTGTCCAGTGAGCGCGGGTGCAACTACATATTTTCGCCAAAACAATTAGCCTATAAATTGGGGACTAACAAATGCTAAAGACAAGTGGCCAACAGCTGAATAATAGGCAATTGAAGATAAAGGTACAATAGCTTAACCCTAGACGCCTAGCCAGACAAGCTAGCAAGTACGAGGTTCGGAAATAATAAAATAAAACCACGGAATCAATTCCGGGCCGGAAAATTAAGTGACACCCCAATGCAACCATTTAGAATGGTCAAGCATACACAATGTCTTACAAAAAGCCTTACAAAATATCACTTTTTCGACGACGGTATGCCGCCAGTTTCCTTAGTTCTCAGTTGTGCTTGGCCCGTCTGCCAAACATATAGCCCTTCCAGCGTTCTGCTGTTTGCGCAATCAGCGGATCGCTGTCGATGGTGGCCAGCAAAAGGAGCTGGTTAACGTGCGTTGCATGATAGTCCCAGCGGGCCAGGTTTGGGGCCACGCCCAGGCTTAGGTGACGAAGGTCGTAGCTGGTCCCGGAGCCCGTGTCGTACAACAGCAGCATCTTCTTCAGGGAGTACATGCCCTGGGCAAACAGTTTGCCAGCTTCTCGTGCGATCTTAACGGGCGCGGTGCTGTTGAGATCGTACAGGCCGAGCAGTGAGTAAATAAATCCGTTGAGCACGTAAGAGGGTGGCGTTGTGGGGTACTCCTCGTACCTATTTGAGAAACAAAAAAGTTTCGATTAATCAAATGAAATATTTCGCTTTAATTCCTGTCTCTAAACTTATAATTTCAAGGTTCTACGCACCAGTAAAATTTGTCCATGAACTGTGCCAGAACGCCGCCGTCCCGTGAAAATACCCTGTATGGTTGAAGGCCTGCCGCCGCCGCACGTAGGTAGCGCTCATCTCCGCCTGAATGCCAGTAGGCTCTGGCCAGCACAGATATGGCGTGGCCCTGTCCCATTGCCGAGATCCATCCCGGACGCAGCTCGGCGAATCCGTTGAGGCTGCGACGCACGGGATTGGTCCAGCCACCCGTCTTGGGATCCTGGTTATGGACGAACCACTCTGCTGCATCGTAAAAGTGCGCGAGATGGTCGCTGGTAGAAAGCGTTATGTTGTCGTAGAAACCCAGGCCTAGGAAACCGATAGAAAGGACCTCCAGGTCTGAGCGTCGTATTTTTAGTGGCGACCGCTTGTCCCCCAGGACGATGCCCTTCTGGACGTCGATGTGCAGGTCCCGTGTGATGTGCCGCCATTTGTTTAGCGCCGACCCGCCAAGGCCATAGTATATGTTAGAGTCCTGCACGCTGAGCAGCAGATCGGCGGGTATGTAGTGGAGGTTGTAACAATGCCGCGTGTCGCGGTTTTGGACGGTGACCATGAGGCTGCTGCTATTGGTCACCAACAGCAAGTCCACACTAAGCAGCAAGTCCAGGGTCTGGTTGAGGGCGATGCTAATGGCGCCCTCAAAGCCGGGCGCGGTCTCGAACTGGACCACGCTGGTGTTGAACTTGTGGTGCCAGATGCGTGTCATGTTGCTCGTTTTGGGGGTGCTCCAGTCCATCTGGTTGGCATCGGCGTCCTCGAGGACCCGGATCCGCGGCGCTGGCTCCGTAAGGTTCTTGCTATAGTGCGACAGTGCGAACTGGGCTATCTGCGTGGGGTAGAAGTAGCCTCGCTTCTCCCACTGCGTGCTAACCGGCACGCCCTCGGCAGCGCTGATACACTTCACCCGGTCGCGTACTTCTACGTTGTAGTTCTCGAAGTACATGAATACGCCGCGCGCGTCGTACTTGCCCCTGGGCAGGTTCACCTTGGCCGTGCTGTGCATCCAGTTGAACTTGGCCACCTCGCTGCCGCTGGTGGAGACGGCTCCGCTTACCTCAAAGTAGTTTCGCAGGAAGGAGAAGGGCAAGTACACCTCGTTTGCGTTCTCGTCTCGCTTGCAGTGCACGCTGTACTCCTGGTTAATGGAGCACTCGATGTCCTGCAGAACGGTGGCATCGCCACTGCCAGAGGCCTGCCTGGCTGACGGCCGGTCCAGCGTGCGCACAAAGTCCGGTGAGAAGGAGAAGGCGGCACATCGCATGTACACGCCCAGGGTTATTACCACCACGGCCACAATGAGGATGAGCAGCACGGCTTTCAGGTTCAGACGCATGATGAAAAAGACCAAAGGCTCGCGTTGCTAAGATACAAGATTGGTTGACTGAAAGGGCTCTCTGGAAGATATGTAACTCTCACCTTGATACCGTGCTGCGGCTTGCGTGGCTCCCGGCTATTCCGGGCTACTGCTGGCAGTTCTGGCGGGAAGGCATCTCTCTGGGTGCTCGGATACTTGGACATCCGGTGGGCTCGGAATCGATCGCAGGTTTCCTTTTAATAATCTTGCACTGTTGATCTCCTTGCTCAGTGAAGGTGAGTCATGCTCTAAATATAGGATCGCTTTGATTTGGCAGATGCATGCTGACTATAGTTGATAGCAGTGCGGTGCACCAGTGCACCAGTGGAAAATGGCACCTGCAGAGCCACCAGCTGCTCGATGCCAGATCTATGCGGTGTCCCGAGGATGCTCCATTTGTTGCAGCCGTTCCCTAACCATATTTGACCGAGTTTTTGCCTAATTTTTGTCACAACTTCTGAAGAAAAACAGCAAAACAGCAGGAACTGGCAATTGTTTTGGCAAGAAGAAGAAATATCGATATACCATCGATGTTCGATGTTCTACTGACACTGAAAAAAAAACCTAAGATGCTTGATTAATTAAGTTTTGATTATTTTTAAAATGAACTTGTAATTTAAAAAAAAAGTTGTTCACATCAAATTTAATTTTGAACGCATTGCCAAACTGAAAAACAGCGAAATATTATAAGACACGTCGAGTGGCTAGCAAGTGGGTAGCTCTCGATATCGATAGTGCTATCGAATGAAGTAATCGAAGTAGCACTGAATCAAGCAATGTTTACAAAATATTACAGGTAGATGCGAAGTCAGAGCACCTAAAATGTAATTAGTTTTTAACATGTCTAGTCGTGAATTAAGTGCAATACTTCTGCTCCTTGGAGCAGCGTTGATAACAGTGTGTCATGCCTCCAACGGCGACCGCACACAGTTTTTTCACAACTGCCGGCAGAACTGCGAGCGAACGAACTGCTCGGCAGGTAAGCATGTAACTGCTATCACTTGTTATCCACCTGATAAGAATGCCGTGCTTGAATTATAGATGGACTCGAGATCCAGGAGCAGGCAGTGAAGTTCTACAAGCAGTCAGTCTTCGACCGACTCTTCCAATGGAGCTGCGCCGACGAGTGCCAATATGGCTGTATGTGGAGGACAGTGTTCGCCTTCTTTGAACGGGGATGGCCCATTCCGCAGTTCTACGGCAAGTGGCCTTTCCTGCGCTTGATGGGCATGCAGGAACCAGCCTCTGTGCTGTTCTCGGCGCTTAACTTTGCCGTGCACCTGCGCATGCTGCGCAAATTCCGACGGGAAGTGCGTCCGGACAGTCCTTGCTATATGCTAACCCATATATTTGGAGTGGTATGTCTGGTTGAATGGCACCTTTAATATTTAACATTCTAATGTGAGTGTCTTGGCTCACAGACAAGCCTTAATGGTTGGGTGTGGTCAGCCATCTTCCATACGAGAGATTTCCCCCTGACCGAGCTGCTGGACTACGCCTTTGCCTACTCCATTATCCTGTGCTCCTTGTACGTCATGGTGATGCGAATGCTGCACCGCTACTCGCTGTTTCTGCGCGGAGTGATCTCCCTGGCCTTTCTGTCCTACTATATTAACTACTTTGCTTACCTGAGCGTGGGAAAGTTCAGCTACTCGTTTAATATGATGGTAAATATTGCCACGGGCGTAATCTCGGCCGCTGGCTGGTTTGTGTGGTGCCATTTCGTGCGCAAACGCAGGCCCTACTTCAAGAGAATCCTGCGCTTCTATGTTCTAATGGCGATGGCTATGGGTCTCGAGCTGCTGGACTTCCCGCCAATACTTTGGATCTTTGATGCACACGCTCTGTGGCACTTGGCCACAGTTCCGCTGGCATCTCTCTACTACGAGTGGGTACTATAAGAGGGTACTTCCAGAATTTTTTAATCATGTTTTGTTCTCCTTTTAGTTTCATGATTGAGGACTGTCGAACTCTGCGACAGGAGAAGGCGGCGGCTGGCGGATACCCGTACTACAACTAGGTTAATTTTAGGCCAACCCAATTCTAATGTACTCGCTTCGTTCCAAAAAACACATCTTAGAATCTTTATTACAAAACTTTATGCTACAATTTCCACGCTACATTTGCCCGCACTGCGAAATCGTCACCGGCAGCTTGGGCTTGTTGTTGGGTCCCGTGGGCACGTTTTCGATCTTTCGCATGATCAGCAGGCCGTCCAGGACACGGCCGAAGACTACGTGCTTTCCGTCCAGGAAGTTGCACTTGGCGCACGTGATAAAGAATTGGCAGCCGTTTGTCTCCTTGCCACTGTTCGCCATGGACAGCAGTCCGGGCGAGTCGTGCTTCAGGGTGAAGTTCTCGTCCCCGAATGTGTTGCCGTAAATACTAGTCACGCCGGTGCCGTCGCCCTGCACAAAGTCACCGCCCTGTATCATAAAATCCTTGATCACCCGATGGAAGCTGGCGCCTTTGTAGCCAATTGGCACGCCATCCGGCCGGTACTCTCCTGTGCAAAATTGCCGAAAGTTTTCTGCGGTGCGCGGCACCGTGTCCGCAAACAGTTCGAATATCATCCGGCCTATCTCCTGCAACCCAAAAGAGGTTAAACCGTGCATGTGAGTGCCCGAGGCTGTGGCTGCTTACCGTTGTGCCCACTGCTATGTCGAAGAACACGACGGGGTTGTTGGAGCTGCGAAGCTGCGACTGTATTTGATTCCAGTTCGGCATTTCAACTTTTCTCTTAACTTTTAACAATAATAAATAGCGCCGGCAAATTTTTGTTTACGTTTTAAGCGATGAATACCGATAGATCGAGTAGGCGGCTATCGATAGTAACAGAAACCGGTAGAATCGATAAAACCATATGTGAAGCGTGTTTGTTTTGGTTAAATTATTACACTTTTGTTTGTTCCTGGCTATTTGCTTGTGTAAAAGGTAAGTCCGATTTTATTATCCTATTGACAAGTCCGCAAAGTTCAAGTCTCAATTGACTGCGATAATTTACATAAAAGCACATTGTCGTGTGTTTATTTTTAAGAGACAAAAACACGTGAATATTATTCACTAAGTAATACTATACAACGAGAAAACATAGCATTTGTGTGGTTTAAAAAACTACCTTTTTTTAAATAGTTAACAATAATTGGCCCTTGCCATTTCACTGTGGACTGTCTGCTCTGTTTTTCGCCATACATTTTTGTTGGTGGCGATCTACGTAGTGACGAAGAATACCAAGAGTGCGCAAGCCAAGTTGTTGGGGGCCTGTGCATTTGCCACCCAATTTCTAGATCTCAATACGCGTCTACTATACTTAAATCATTCTAATTAGACTCTCCGTTTAAAAGGGATATACAATAAACTACAATTTGCCTGCCTTTTCCAAATAAGTTAGAGGCGGAATCGTTACTTTTATCTCACCTCGTTAAGAGGTGTTTTTGTTTGAACTATGAAATATGCAAATATTTATAAAGACGTTGGGAAGATGCGGGCTCAAGGCTATTGGACCTTGTGCGTCTGTCTTTTAAATTATAGCACAGAGATTTTGGTACAAGGTACAAACGATTTTCAATTCGGTTTACCATGTAAATATACCAGTTGTATTATTATTATGTGTATAATTTTCATTATATAGAAAGCTATTTAATAATTTACTTATGTAAAGGAGCAAGAAAGTCGGTCGCAACCCCCCCCCCCATTAAAAAACTTATAATTTTGTTTCGTTGTTTTGTTTTACAGAAAACTTGCATAACAAATGCCAAAAAATGTTTATAAATAAGTGCTTTTGTTCATGATAGTAGGATCTATCTTAGCTACAAAGTATTAGCAATGAATGAGGCTTTGATTAAATTAGATGAAGTTCAGCAAAAACTTAGACCCTAAATGCATAAATAGATGTACTTAAATTCAACTTGAGCAATGTTTGTTAGTCGGTAGACATTAGGTACAGGCCTCATTTCAGCTCAAAATTAATACTAGCTAGAGGTAAATCCGCGAAATCCGTCCCTTTCGACTTGGCGCTCAGTTACTCCCCTCATCTGTGTCCACGTCGGAGATGTTTTTCAATTTCGTGCATCCATTTTTGTTGGGGCTACTGATGGCGCCGTTGCTTCCATTGTTGGTGTTCCTATCGTTCTCATCTGCCGCCTGCTGGAAGTTCTCCTGCAGGGTCTTGGGATCCACCACTAAAATTGGTGTACATCCGTCCATGAGGTGCTCGCTCTGGCTCTGATACTGCTCCCGCGAGATGCTGCGCGTAAAGGAGAATCGCAGGGACTTGGTCCTGGTTAGCTTCTTCTTAATTGGTGGTTTGCCGGCCACAGGAGCCATGGGCTCCGAGCTTGTCCGCTCTGTGCCCTCGGGCGTTGTGGGTACGGAACTTGACTCCAGCTGGTGGTCTCGCAGTATCTCCTCCGCGAAGCATTTTATTTGGCTCCAGGCATCTAGGATGTCCTTTTCCGTGGCGTGCTCATAGGTGACGCAGAAGCGGATAACGTAGCGTCCATTAAACTTGGCCGGAGTCATGTGCATCTTGCCCGAGTGGTTGATCTGGGCCAATAGCATGTGATTGGGCTCGTCGCCAGTTCTGTGAAGGAAAGCGTAAAGTAATTATTTGAATGCTCTTAAAACTTTAAATTAGAAGTCATCGAGTTTTTGACTTCCTGACTTACCGCATTCTGAAGCAGACCAGGCCCAGGTGGACATCGTTTCGGACCTCGAAACGCTCATCCTTGCGTACCAGCATCTCGAATTTCTTGGCCAGCGCCATGTGGTTGCGGATATATTCCTGCAGGCCTTTAATGCCGTACGTCCGGAACACGAACCACAGCTTCAGGGCCCGGAAGCGGCGGCTCAGTGGAATGCCGTAGTGGCGGTAGTCCACGCCGTTCAAGTGCTCGTGTCTAAGGTACAGCGGATTGACGTTGAGTGCACTCTTAAGGGTCATCACATCCCGCACCCACAATGCAGAGGCGTCGAAGTTTGTCAGCAGCAGCTTGTTGGGGTTAGTGTTGAATGAGTCTGCGTACTCCAGGCCAGCCGAAAAGACCCTCATCTCCGGGAGGATGAACGAGTTGCCCGCATAGGCGCCGTCCACATGCAGCCATATGCTGGACACCTGGCGGCACACTTTGCCAATCTCCGTGATGTCGTCAAAGGCACAACCGCCGGTGGTGCCCACTGTGGCCACCACGAAGAAGGGCGTTAGGCCGGCGTTCACATCGTTTTGAATGGCTTGACGCAGCAGGTCCACGCGCATGCGCCCGTGCTCATCGGCGTCTATGATGCGCAGCTTGACCAGCGCCATTTTGGTGGCCTTCTCCACGGAGGAGTGTGCCTCGCGGCTGGCGTAGGCAATTAGGCTGGGCAGAAAGACACTGTCGTGGACACTGGTCTGACCCTTCAGCTCGCTGATGGCTCGGGCGCGTGCAGTAATCAGGGAGACTAAAACGCATTCGGAGGCAGATCCTTGAAGGGCGCCGCCGCCAGTGCTGCCAGGCGCATCAGACACAAATGCCTTGGGCAGGCCGAGGGCTTTGGCATACCAGTTCATCACGATCGTCTCCAACTCCGCGGCCGCAGGACAGCTAGCCCAGCTAAAGCCTATGGAACCAATGGCGCTGCTCAGCATATCGCCAAGTACGGAGGGAAAGGAGTTGCCCGACGGGAAGTAGGCAAAGAATTTGGGGTGGTTCCAGTGCACCACGCCCGGCATGATCTTCTGCTCGAAATCCTCGAGCACGTCCTTGAACGACTCCGGCGACTGGGGAGCGTCCGCTGAAAGATAAACAGGCCAGCAGCCGATTAGTGGGTGCGCCTTAAATATTTCTTTTATCACCCATAAATTTGGGCAGTATTTATGGCTAGTCTGTTGTTTTTGGCAGTGAGTAGAAAGATCAACAAGTAAGTCTATACGCAAGGTGTGTGTTTGCGTATGCATAATTAATTGATTTGTTTAGTTGAACTCTCGGGACTGCGGCGTCCGTCCGTCCGTCCATTCGGGGTGTAAATATTTAACTTAGCCTACTGTGTGCCGAGGAATTCGCCAGAAATTCACCAGCAAAACGTTGCTCTCCTCAGCCTGCCAACTTCACCGATCTTGGATCTGCGGAGACGGCCACCGAGTGCGCCCCAATTATGCCAGGCCCCCGCCCACGCCGCCTCATTGCGGCACTCGAAACCGTGGGCTTGGGGATTTTCGAATAGTTTATATTCGCACATTATTCACATGACTCTTCGAGCGGTGAGCAAAACAATTAGTCAACATGATTTAACAACTTTTCTGAGAGGCTTTGATTTGCTTGTTGCCTTCACTTGGCCTGGCTTTCTTTGAATATGTGTACATAAATACATTCATTTGTACATGTTTTGTGCGAACAGAAATATTTTCAGATATTCATTGCTAATTTGTTTGGGCATAGTTAACAATTAGCATATACAATTTATCACTAGTGCTATAATTAAACATTCTTCTTCTGGGTTGAAATAAAGTCTACAAAAGTCTAAAGTTTTGAGTGGAAGAAGGGCACTTTGGACACTATCAGTTCAGCTAAGCTAAAAATATCAAAGCCACATTTGCGTGCTAATTTAAAACTTACTAATTAACTTGATAATATTTTTATTTAACTTTGAAAAAGCATGTAATAATAAGCTAGGAGTTTCCATTTCTTCTCTGTTAAATACATTTTCCCTATATTTTTGATAGATGTTTCTTTCTATTTCTCTCACCTGGTAGTAATTTCTTTAGGTAACCCGGATCCAAGGTGGGCGCCACATCACGCTCTTCGATGTTGGTGCCATATTGGCATATATAATCGATCACTTCCTTGCCGTATTTGCGAAACTCTTCAACATTCATTTTTTGTTATTAACACTTCTCGCTTGTCTTGTTGTTTATCTCAAACGCTTGTTCCTTTTCGTTTTATATAGTATACACGATATGGTGGGGGGTCTAACACACAGCGCAAACCAACGATTATATTTCGATCACTGTTTTAATCCGTTAACGCGTACCGCTCGCTTGCTGCAGCTTCAGTTTCCTTGACGCGAATGACTTGTCCACTACCCTTGGCATTCGTTTTTATATGGAAAAAGTCCGATCGGCGAGCACTCGCGAACTCTCTCTTGGCGCGAGGCCCTCTCCGGTGGCTCTCGCAGCACCTGCTGGGTGTTTTGGGTATTGACGTTGCCCGTCTCGTGATCACGCTCAAATTACTACCCGGAGACTCGAACTTCGCCTCCATCGAGATCGGCTGGGAAACCCGCTTCGATCATTATGCCCACTCCTCTCGGCTAGCTCGGCACGGGCCCAGTGTGAAAAAGTCCCTACTTAGAAAGGGTTTTAATTATAAGGTGAGAAAAATTCCATTTCAGATGTGATTTGGGAATTATCAATAATAATAGCTTCTAGTGTCGAGTGTTAGGTCTAATTTGTGTAAAATCTTTACTGATGAAGTCTTCCCTGCGATGCCATCGTTAATTGTTATGACATTTAAATTGGTTTTGAGCGTGTTTCCCAAACTTTTTGGCTTGCCGAACCTGAATTAAATTTTTTTTTGCGTTTGGCTTTTCGGGGAATTTTTTGGGGCTAATAGAAAACGTTGGACACTTGATAAGTCCGGCTCGAGCAAAGATCGTGTGTAAAGAGAACAAACTTGTTTCCCCCTAATCTCTCAAAGAAGAACCAAAACTTTCCAGCCGCTGAGGCCATCAATGGGGGAACCACTTAAAGTACTCTAACAAAAAACTGGCAAGCAATTGTCCAAATATTGACCGAATCCGTTAACAGCGATCGGGATGCACGGATGACGAATACCTGGCAACAGCTCTGGCTTGTGACGTAGCTTTGCGAAAAACGCCCATTGTTTTACGGAATCTCCTGCTGGGTGAAACATGAAAACAAAAATAACAAATAGGAAATAATCTCTGGCAAATGAATTTTCACCCATTTATTTTGAGTGGGCGTGGGGGCTGCTAATGGGTGTGTGTGTGGGAATGGGTGGTGGCCGAGCACGTATGAATGAATGGTTCTGTTAGCCAGAGGCTCCCCCGTAACTTGACGTCTTGCTAATTACTGCACTTATCTAACTGTGCCCTATAATGATCTGGCGATGGTTAGCATCGACCTTGAGATTTTTCTTTTGTTTTTCTCTGGTTACTCAAAATTCTAGTTACACTGCTTAGCCAAAAATATTCCTTTAAAGGTGTTATCCCTGACTTTCAGTGCTAAATTACAGGATCAAAAAACCTTTAAAAACGAAAGACCGGTCTAAATAGATGTGATGTTGATCCAGAATATACTTCATACTTTTTAGGGGCATTGCAAACTTCGGACTTAATTTAGTATACCCTGAAAAGGTACCAAAATAAGCACATAAAACCTTTAATTATATTTAAATTAATTACTTAAATTTGGAATAATTCGAATAATTTTTCTAATTAAATCTCTTTCGTTTAATTAACCCACTCTGACTACTGTGCCTGGGGCCTGGAGCAAGGTTTGGCGAACCTCGCTGAGTCACTCGGCGCACGCGCCGCCTTGAAGAGACTCTCAGGCGGAGCAGAGTCCGCGGCGTAAGACAGAGATAGAGATCGGAGATTGCGGGCCTGAGAACGCCTCTACACCATGACTTGACGTGTTTTTCTGCTCCTCTTTAGTGGCCGAGCTTCGCCTAAACTTTCATTCACAGTGCCAGCCACCGCAGGTGACGTCGTGCGTCTAAATATAAATTCGTATTCAGTTTACGCGGTCACACTTCAAAAGTGCTCGAGGGCCGTTGCCATCATCCATCGAATCCACCGAATCCATCCGCCTTCTACGCTGTCTCTGCTGGTTCATCAGTTTCCTCTGCGGCTCTGGGTGTCGTACGTGCGATTGGGAATGTTTCTGTTGAGTTATGGAAGTTGGCACTGCCAAACACCAAAATAAAACTCCTACAGTCGAACTTCGCTATGCCCCAATTTGGTTTTTTATCTAAACATACGAAAAAGGATCAAATGAAATGTCCCTGCTCCTGGGACAGTAATTTTCGGATAAAAATTTAAGGTAATATGCATTTTCCCTTTACAAATCATAAGAATTCTTTTGTCATATAAATCTTTCTTTGACTTTAGCCCATTAAAGTCACTTTAAGTGCTTTGACTGTGGTGGGTCTTCTCTCAAAATTTGCAATAATTATGGCAAGACACGCGCTTGACAACAGCTGGCGGATATTGCATATGAAGATTTCGTGATCCCTTCTACATTTATTTTTGTTTATTTATGCGGTTTCGTCTCTATTTCGTTTTGGCCAAATCATACGTTTGGCATTTCATTCATTCTGGCATTCGGCTTAGCATGCTAAATGACTTTGTCTCCGCCATTTGAATTCAGATTTAATAATGGCGGCAGTTGATTGATGTATTTCGCGGAAGGTGTCAAAGATGTCGTTAACTGATTCTTTTTATTGGCGCCAGTGGCATAATATTAGGTTTATTTAGCTTGTGAACCAGCCGGTTTTGAATTTCATGATATAGCGTAAAGGAAGGGATTTAGCTTTTTTAGGGTAAGTTATTTTTAGTGAAACTTCTGCGAATCTCATTTAATGTTATCACATTTGTTAATGACTTTGATTCTTATAAAATACACTTACACTTATTTATGAGTCGTACGCAGAAAAAAATCTTTTATAAATAGCCTGAATTCAATACGAACCGGTTTTAACTGGATTATCTTGGATAACCTTAACCCAAGCCAAGTAATGTCGGGAATTGTAGTCGTTTTTTATATCAAAACAATCATTTTCGATTGCTTAAATTTGCAGTTCTTTGTGAAAAATATGTTGAGATAAGTAAAATTGAAGTTATTATACAATATTGTTTCTTAACATGTCCTTGGCAACATTTGTTTTTATTTCTGTTTTTAAGTTTTTTGACAAATTCGAGCATAATTAACCAAGTGAATTAGCCACGTTCAAGTTCCTTAAATTTTTTCCCAATGCTTTGGGTATTGGGTATCTCACTGTCGGTCCTACTTTTTAGAAATCCATACCTTCAAATCTACGTAGGCCTGTCACATAATATAAATCAAGGTATTTTGGTGTATATTTTATACAAATTTACAAACAGCCATGTTTATATTGTTCTGGTAAAAGTTCCCGACCTGCAACAAGACATCTTCCCCTAATGCCAAAAATCCTTCTCCAGGTTTATCTTGGTTCTCAGTTCCTTGGATGCCATTTTGGTCAATGCTAAGGCGAAGGAGAGGGAAAAGATTGCTGTTGACCCGACCTACGATTACAACGGAATCGTGAGGAATATGATTAGATCTTGGGAGGCGCCAGTTGTGTATCTCAGAGGTCGCGGCTTCTTGCCCAGTGACTACCAGGATACATCGAAAATCAAACCTAGTCTGGATGCTTTGATGCAGCGGCTGGAAGCGAATAACCATGCTCATGAAGGAATACGCACAAGAAATATTAATGGTGTATCAAAAGCAAAGAAAGCCTTTGGGTGGGAGCAGCTGCAGGCCTTGAGTAGCAAGTTCAAGAGCAAGCCAGATGATCGGGATGGAAAACAGTTGCCGGAAAAGCAGATGAATGCCAATGTGGCGCCTGCGGTGAAACCCAATGAGCCGTCATCGAAAAGATACGATATTATATTGCAACGAATGATTGAAAAGACGAGGCCAAACCCAGGGCGGCAGCCCTCGGTTAGTTTTCAATCTGCCAAAGCATTAGCTCCGACAAATGATAATCCTGGGACATCGGCTTCGGTCAGTTTGAATTCGAATGGGCCGCTCAGCTTTTTGCCTAATCCAATTGATAAATCAGAAATGAATATGCAAAAATCTAATCCACCGGAGGCCCAAGAAACCAATGTTAAAGAAGTAACACTTGACCTTAAACTAGGCTTGGCACCCACATTTCTGAACTGGGACATGAAAAACGGACGACTCAATCATTACTCACCCAGCGAAAAGGAGGCCTACCTGAATAAGTTGCTAAATGCCTACCGGAAGAAGCTAAACTCGAAGGAGACCAGAAACCCTTCCGAGAACCCACTGGAAGCTGCCGAACTCACACGTTTGTATCCCAAAATCTATGGAATTCATCGATGAATCATAAACCATTTGGCACATTAATTATGGCTATTTCCTTTCCCCATGACGATACCAAGTAATCCGACGTCATATCCATGGCATCATCCAAGATATACATGCTTTTGTTCCCGTTTGTTTACCCCAAAGGAAATATCAAAGAAATCACAGGATTTGGCTGTTTACCATGAATCCGTTTATACTTTGTTGATTCTAAAACCAAATGAATTAGTTGGTGTTGTGTTCATTTGGCGGCCACATGCTATAACAAATATAAAGCCCCTAACATCTTTATGGATGACAAAGTGAGACAATGAAATGTTCAGGGAAACAAAAATGAAAGAAGTCTTGATAATCTATAATACGTATACATGAAATATAGATTAAACAAAATACTAAATACACTTTAATTTACAGGTCATACATACCTATATCTTGACCTATTTAGACCTTAACAAGTATCAGTTTATTTGGAAATAATATTCATTGCATTGCATACAACGAGAAAGTTTTATTCGTTCGATATTGCTGTCACAGATCTTAAAGGATAAGTAATACATTGCATTGTAGATTGGTCTAGAATTCAACTAGGCACCTCGGATAAGAAGGTGCTAATACTGTGTGCTATATATGCATAAGCCTGTATCTATAGACTGTTGTGTGAATATAATTAGTTGGGATTTTCCCTTGTGGCGGATGTCTTGCGCACGACCATAGGCGATCTCCGGGGCGATCGCTGCTCCTGCTGCTGTTGCTGGTGCTGCTGCACATTCACGTAGTCCAACTCATTTTCCGGCGAGGGTGAAGAGCCGGCTCCGGAATTACGTCGCGACGATGACGGCCGCACGTTGGTGTCCAAATGTCGGAAACTGAAGTCGTGGGGAAAGTTAATAAGCTTCAAAGTGTAAGGATTAAATGTATCTTAAGTCCCAAGTCAGCAGAAATTCATGAATTGATATATACAACTTATGAAAATACATAATTCAAAAGTGTTTTTTATAAACTCACCGCAATGAGACATTGTTTCCCTTCTCCTCGTTGTTGCTATTGAAGAGGAAAGCTAGCGGCCAGGAAATCCATGAATTGTGGTCCACCGAGCTCTGGGTTCGGATAATGGGAGCACTGCCGCGGCTCACCACCGGCGAGGGCAGCTCCATGGACAGCTTCGGAGTGCCGGCCTTGTTGATGGCCGGATTGTAAATCTTCGGATCGCTGACCATTCGCACGAAGAAGGAGCGCTTCTGGGCCAGTGTGTCCTGCTTCTTGCGGTTCATGATCTCAGAGAGCTCGTCGTGCTGCTCCTTCTCCAGCAGCTCGTTGGCAAAGTCCACGATAATATCCCAGGCATAGTCGATGTCCTCGGCTGTTGCGTTCTGGGCAACGGCACAGAAACGGATGATGTAGCGATCGTTTACGCTGGCGGGCACCATGTGCAACTTGCCGGACTCGTTGATGATGCTCAGGAGTTTCTCGTTGAGCTTGTCGCTGCCTTTCAGACGAAAGCAAACCAGGCCCAGCTAACGTTATTGAACAAAGGGTTTTTTTTGAGTTGGGGTGATTTTCTGGGAATTAAAATGCTAAATGAAATAATAATAACAATAACTAACTCTAGTCCTTGTATCCCGCAGAAAGCTTTAACTCCTTAATAGAATTGAACAATGTAAGCCACTCATTCGACTTGAAAAGTGGGAGTTAGGAGAGCCTATAACCCTAAAAGTGCTAGTCATTATACAATTATATATACAAATAATTAAGCGCGACTGAAACGACACACCTGTACTGTTAGAAACAGCAGTAGTCAAGTCTACCTCCATCTTAAAATACCTTTGAAATCACTGCCTTATTTATGTCTATTTGGCATTCAAAGACGCTTCAAAAAAATTGATAAAAATCAGCATTTTTTCGGACTCTGCTCAAACGTGATCTTCCAGAGATCCGCTACCGATCACTCAATTAGGTTGAGCACGCTCACGCTGGCGATAGCTGGCAACATCTGTCAGTGGCTGACGCGATGAATCATTTGTGCCTGTCTCTAAACGATTTTCTATGGCAATTATGCCAAAATACTTGCCAATTACCACAGAAAGGGGGGGACTACTTATTTTTTTCGTGAATTTTGAATACGGAATTCGGCGTGTAGTTGCGAACGTTTGATTTGCTGACCGGCTGGGTGTGAACAAGTTCACGTCTTGCCCTCGAAACAGTGTTTGGGCAGCGTTATTTGCGTCACTCGCAAATCAATTTCCCAATTGGAGTTGGACAATGGACAACACACACTCACACACCCACCCAAAATCGCATCAATGAAAATCCCACACTCGCGGTGGGTCCGGTGGCTTATACAAAAGAGTTTTGAACTCTAAGCATGATTAATTACTGGACAAAATCAAATTGGTAGGGTCTGTAAATCGGAAAATAAAAGAGAAATGAAAAGAAACGAAAGTAGAGCCAAACTCACTTACCTTGACTTGGTTACAGATCTCGAAGCGCTTATCTTTGAGCACCAGCTCCTCGAACCGCTTGGCCAGCTTGATATGATGACGTATGTAGTGCTGCAGCCCGGAGATTCCATAACTACGCAGCACGAACCTAGAAAGATACTTTTTGGTCAGAAAGAAACGCAAAAACTGTCTCTGTTTTGTAAAGTCTATGGAGTAGAGTTGCCAATTAGCAATTATCAATTCCTTGTTTGCTTATGTCATAAGTCTTTGCTGTGGACCCATCTCATTTCGCGGATGGCTGGAGCATGGAAAAGTTTTGTTTTTACAACTAAATCGCAAGCAAATATGACAGTACATGCTCTTCGCCACATACTCCAGGCCAATCCAAAACAATTCACTTTTCGACAATAGTCAACATGCCATTCACACTTGACTTTCGAGGGTCTTTCGGGCCACAGTACACAGTACACATACCACAGCTTCAGCGAACGAAATCGCCGGCTGAGTGGAACTCCCCAATGACGATAGTCGATGGCCGCATCCGAGTAGCCGTGCTTGAGGTACAGCGGATCCACCACCAGGGCTGATGTCAGGCGGATGCGGTCCCGCACCCACAGTGTTGAGCAGTCAAAATTGGTCAGCAGCCATTTGTTGGGATTCGTGTTGAATGAGTCGGCGTATTCGATGCCCTGTGGATGAGGTCGGGTCAGAGGAGGAGGGGCTTTGAGATGCTTGGAAGCTGGGCTGGTGTCACCTTCAGGAGCGGCTTCAGCTCGGGGCAGATAAAGCTGTTGCCCGCATAGGCGGCGTCCACGTGCAGCCAGACGCCAGGGAAGCGTTGCAATTGCTTGCCAATCTCCGGCAGGTTGTCGAAGGCACAGGAGCCAGTGGTGCCCAGTGTGGTGGAGACGAAGAACGGCACCAGGCCCTGCAGCTCGTCCTCCTCCATGGCCTCGTAGATCGTCTGGCCGCGCAGGCTTGCATTCTCGTCGGGTTCCAGGATGCGCAGCTTCACGAAGCAAATCATGGCAGCCTTCTCCACGCAGCTGTGCGCCTCTTTGGAGCAGTAAGCCATCAGTTTGGACAGCAAGTGGCCTTCCTCCACGAACGGGTGCTGGGCCTTGAGCCTCTTTAGAGCCTGAGCCCTCGCTGCCAGCATCGTGACCAGTACGCACTCCGAGGCAGAAGTCTATTGTGAAAGTATCAGAGAAAAAGAAATTGCTGAAAATGAATTACCTATTCTTCCCCGTCCACTGAATTTCGTGTTTCTCAGCACATAAGTTACGAATATTTTTCTCTGCCTTTACCTGAATGACCCCACCGCCGGTACTGCCTTCTTTAAGGGCCAGAAAATGGTCCGGTAGGCCGATGGCCTTACCCAGCCAGTCCAGTACGATGGTCTCCAGTTCGGTACAGGCAGGACTGGCCGCCCAGGAGAACCCAATGCAGCCTATTCCATCACCTAGCATATCGCCCAAGATGGAGGGAAATGAGTTTCCCGCCGGAAAATACGCATGAAAACGTGGATGCTGCCAGTGCGTCACGCCAGGCATGATTTTGTCCTCCACATCGCTCATGATCTGGTCCCAGTCCTCCGGTTCTTGTGGAGCTTCAGCTGTGGGAGAGTTCCAAGGGTCAGGCACACTCTGGGATTGTGATTGTCCTGCTTACATGGCAACAGATGCCTCAGATAGCCCGGCTCTACGCTGGGCGTGACCCGGCGGTCGTTCAGCGTCTCCAGATAGTTGCAGATGTACTCAACCATTTCCATGCCACGTTTCCGGAATTCGGTGCTGTCCATGCTTGATCAGTGTCTCACTTTTAACTGGCTCGTGTTGTGAGTTTATTTATATTTTCGATTATCCGCACGTCTTAATATTGCAAAATTTTTAAAAATGAATCAATGAATCAGACAAAACTGAGATAATATATAAAAACAACCATATTTCCATTGATATATTAACAATAAATATTAATCTTGCAAATTCTCTGCTCTTTCCTTAAATAAAAACTCTTACTTGAATGCTGTCTAATTGGATATGATAATAACTTAAAATCTTGTAAAAGCAAATCGTTTGTGTAGTCTTGTGAAATGTATCCAAAAGCTAAATCATGTCAGAGTGCTATTATGAACCGATATGTAACAAAAAAACGGATGTAAACACTACAAACTCCACTCAAAAAGTGCGTTATAAGCCTTCTTTTAACCTTCGTTTTTTGTCTGAACTCAGTCGTCATTATTTTATATAGTTACTTAGCTGGTTTTGTACTCCTGATTGCGGGGTTTTCTCTTACAAACTTAAAAATTTCAACGGAAGGACTTTTACTAACAAATTCGGTCACTGAATGTTTATCACGCACTTGGGTAATATAATAATATATTTTAGACCCCGCGACTTCTTCCGTTTTACCAGTAATTTATTCCTGTGATTCGTTAAATTTGACAAAAACAATTCCGCTTAAATTTGACGTTAAATATGATTTGACGTCACTCTTTTTAGATTACTTTATTTGTGCACAACGTTGTTTTATTTATTTAATTATTTTGGTATTATTCATAGAATTAAAAATGTTATTTTAAAATCATTTAAAAAGAAATTGATATTTAAAGAGGAAACAAAATGATGGCAGTTAAAAGAAGTTGATTGAAGTATACCTATATTGGTAAATTAATTGAAAAGTTATAAAACAAAATACAACAGAATACTTATATTTGGTTTCAAATGTATTGCTAATTTTTTATATTTTTTGTTTTATTTAAAAACACCACTTGATTTTATTAACGCAGATTACTTTAACACTCAGGATATTGTCACAATTTCTTTTTTGGTTTACTTATATACATTTTTTAAGTTTCATTGTATTTCTTAATTACACTCCAAATTTTAGATTTTTATTTAAATCTTTAAAATCTTGTTTTATTTTCTGTTAATTTTTCCAAAAATTAACTGAATTGATTACATTAGACTTCCATGGTTGAATTTGGTCAGTGAAAAGTGTATAATTTTAACGTTTTATTCTTTTGCTATTTATACAATCTTATTTGCCGTGCTGTGTTTTGTTTATGGTTTTTTAGGCTCACTGATTACGCTTTACATTGAACTTGATGTTTCAAACTGGTGCTATTTTTAATTTATTTTAGCTCGACTGCGCGTTAGTCCAAATTTGTGGTGTTCCTTAATTTTCCTTGGCATAAACATAATTAATTTTGTTTGTAATTAAACTGCGGTTCCTTTGGCATGTTTTATGACTTTATAAAATACACAAACCACAAAAAGTTCACGAATAAGCAGACCTGCCTGGGCACTTACTTGAAGCTTGGAAAAATTATTCTGGGCGTTTTTGTACTCCGAACACGCGATGGTGAACCGTTGGTCGCGGCCTGCGAAACCTAACTGATCCTGGCTCTGCGGTTTGCCGAAGAGCTAAGCTCGGTTGCGGCTGGCGGCTGCTGTGGCTCCTCCTCCTCGGCTCTGGCATGTCTAATGAATGCATACTTCAGTTGCCTGGGGAAAACGGGGGTGCTTGGTGCGATTGGGAGGGAGAATAATGGAATTTTTGCGACGCTTCATTCATACATAGCTCAGAAAAGGGGATGGGTTGCGAGTCCTTCGTCTCTGTGCGTGAAGATATGCAAAAGGGAAAAGAATTGGGAAGCAAGGAGCATACGTACGTATACTTGATATGGCGAATTGAATTTTCAACTGTTAAATGCCCGAGCAGATCTAATTTGCTATTAAAATAAAACTCAATTCGACCCCGGGTGTGGGGTAATACAAAGTACGTGTTGTCATAAACACTCAACAAATTACAACACACTGACAGGACAGCAGCCCCGGCATCACACTTGTCCTCGGGGTGCGAAGCGTTTTATTAATAACTTCCGCACCAAATTGAATTATTGTTCAGAGCGTACTTGATAGGAATGGCGGCGATGTCAGATGATAATGACGATGCCAATGGGTCGTTGTCAATGGGTCGGCCAGGACAGATCCGAGGAGCAGGAGGAGCAGAAATAGAAGGAATTCAACGCATTCCTTTCGGAACATTCCGGCCCATTTTCCCTTTCCATCTCGGTGTCCTTTCTTTTTGCCAGCTGCACTGGGCCATAGAATTGTCTGGGACACGTGGCTCCATGTACTTGTCGTCATCATCCCACACACCCACACAGAGAGCAAAACGATTTCTCCTCGTTTTTCGCTTTTTTTTCTCGCTGAAGGAAAGTTCATTAATAAACTTTCGTTGTTGCTGTCGAATTCAGCTGCAGCCTGGTAGCCTCCTCCTCTGCCTCCTGTAACTGGCGGTCTCAGCCTCAACAAGTGGCATCATGCTTCTGTGGTTATCATCCCTCGGTGGCCTCCTTTGCCTCCGACACCAGCAGGATTTTATTTGACGGAAAATTGCTGGGAGGAAGCGCCTGCAGCCGCGTTCATTTAATTGCTCTAGGAATGGTTTTTTTATTGACTTTTACTTGAACTCCTCTTCAAAATGCATTTAGTGAAGGCAAGGGCAGCATTGGTCATGTCAGACGTTGTGTCTTAGAAAAGGGGAACATGGATTTGTTGGACAAGCAAACATTTTTAAATTTAATCAAGCTTGAAATTAGTTTTGAAGTATTATTTACAAATGCTTAAAGCATGGGTATTTCAGAGGTTAAGCCACTTTAGAGACCTTTTTCTTAGTTTATTTATGTGATTTTAGAATAATTAAAAGAAGCATAAAATTAGGAAATTTTTAAAGTTCCTTAAATTTTTCCTAAAAAACCAAAAAATTTTAAAAATTCCAGATATTTCCCTCTTTTCAGAGTGTTCACTATCTTCATTTGTGCCCATAGAGCTGGCTTTTTCTGCGGCTTGTCTTTTCCTGGTCTGTCCTTGATCTCTCTTGGCCCATAAACCAAGCAATTATTCAATTTGCACGAACCGTGACCGGTACATAACTGCTCCGGACAGTTTACGTTGAGTGGTTTGGTTGGCTGTTGGTTTGGTAGTTGAGATTGTGGTCCAGCAGGGACTTTTTTCTAGGTTCCCCTCGCATTCAAGGTTATTGCCCAAGGGCTTCAAGAGATTGTATTTCTAATAGCTTCTTCAACAATCTTATTTGCAGACTCTGCAAAATGATGCACTATCGCAAGGCCCAGAACGTTGAACAGGAGTTGAGCAAAGGCGATTTGCCATTCGAGGACTGTCTGCCCAAGCCACCAAATGATTTCCTGTGGATGCATGTACCTAAGTTCCACCGTTCCATCCGGTTATCTTTGCTAAAGAATTTCCATATCTGCAGGTTAAAGGCGGCACCAAGGTGAGCAATGTGATTGATTTCGCGCAGGCAGCCCTCAACAAAAACGAGCACAGGTGCGTGGTGTGGAGCGGATCGGGCGGTGGGGTGGTCAAGACCATATCCTGCGCCGAAGTACTAAAGCGCAGCCATCCCCTTTACCAGGTGACCCGCATGGCCTACACAAGGTGAGGAGCTTGTAAACATCGTAATGGTGTCGTGACAATTATTATTACACTTTAATAAAGCGTGGAGGAGCACTGGAAGCCACAGATGGATGGCCTCGAGGAGATCATTGTCAACCGCCAGATTCCCACCCTGCACATACTCATGAGCCTGGACGAACTGCCGGACAGTATAGAGGGGTGAGTCGTAATACAAGTCTAGATTGCTGAAATCTTTTACTCTTCTAACAGCCTGCAGAAACCCAACACAGCCACCGACTTCTGGGAGGGCAATGAGACTCATCCGAACAGTCAACCCCGGCAAAAGCAACAGCAACAACCATCGTCAGCTGGCGGTCACCAAAAGAAGCGCCACAGATCCGGACGTACTAAAGGCGGGCAGCCAGCAAAACAGGCGGCGGAAGAGAAGCAACCTTCTGGCAATGGTCAAGGTTGAGATAAATATGACCTGGATCTTAATTTACCAAACGTACACCTACTATAATAATAAAACCCCCAAAACGTTTCGCCCTTTGTAAGGATATGCAAATAAAACTTGCTGTTATCACAAAAGATTTTGGCATTAAAGCAATTAGGGGCATTTGAAGATTAGTGCTGCGGAGATAAGTGGGGGCTTTCGTGATTCTCTTTTATATATTTGTATAGTACAAATACTTACAGTAATTTCTCTTTGAGGAGATAACTTTTAATCGGTTTTAAAGTTCGTTCTAAACGAAGCTTAATTTAATTTGTATTTATTTTCTTGTGATAATCTTATCATATTTCTATTATTGGAAAGATTTTATAAAATTAGATAGTTTGGTCAAGCATTATATTCAATTTTAAAAGCTTAGTCCAAACTTATCACCGCTAAAAAAAGAATCCTTTTCGCAACTGTTTTTTTTTCACTCGTTCACAGACTTACCTTCCGAAATACATAATAATGCATTGCCTTTAGGAAGCTTCCACTGTAATTCTAGTTCTGTTTGCTGTGCACACAAAACACTTACGGCAGGCTGCACAAATCTAATCTGTTTGGCTCCGTTGCCGCTTATCACCGATTTAGAATCCGCACACGAACGAACAGCCCCCAGGTTAGTGTGAATAATGATGCGCCTGGGACAAGTTCTTCGATCGCGTGCCCTGCGTCAAATCCGTTGCCTGAGTGGTGGCAAGTCTCACGGCGACGTTCTACCCCAGAGCTGCGATGTCCTCATTATAGGCGGGGGCGGTATGGGCGCCTCGTCCGCCTTCTGGCTCAAGTCAAGGACACAGCAGTTGGGAAGGAAGCTCAATGTGCTGGTGGTGGAGCGAGATGCTGGAGTAAGTGAAACTTAAAGCCGATAAATACTAATAGAAATATAGGAAACTGTGTGATTAACAAGATCCCTCTCTATCAGTCAGAAGCTTCAAAAGCAGTAAAGGAATCGTTTCCGACCCTATAAATCATATATATTCTTGATCAGCATTAACAGGCGCGTCTTTCTAGCCATTTCGGAAAGAAATCAAAAATTTTAAATTTTTTCAAAATTTGATAAGGGGTTACATCGTTAAAATTCTCAAAAACTGGCAAAAATTTTGATATCCTAAAATTTAAAATTCAGCATGCAGATTTTTTAACCTAGAAAAAACTAGCATAGAAAAGCTTTCCGAACTGAAATTAATGTATTTTTGGCAGAGTTAGGATCGATTTTTGATTCGATGCCATGATCCCCAATGGCAAATTTCGGCTTCCCGAAGTTTCCTTTCTTGTTGATCATATGTTTTAGATTATATTACTAGGCGAGTAAACAAAGTTATTCTATCTATTCAAACTGAATCATTATTATATATATTTCATATAGATATCAAAAGATCTTTAAGAATATAAATGAAAAATAATTTAACTTTCTTTTTATTAAACAAATCTTCAGCAACTTGGACAATTTGTTTTCTTTTTCAGTACACCAGCGCATCCACGGTGCTCTCGGTGGGCGGAGTTCGCCAGCAGTTTTCCCTGGCCGAGAATATCGAGATGTCGCTTTTTGGCTACAACTTTGTTGTGAATGGACAGAAGCACCTGGGAGATGTTGATCTCTGCTACCAACCAAACGGCTATCTGATCCTAGCTTCTGCCAAGGGAGCACATGTACTGGCCCAGAACTCCAAGCTGCAGAACGAATTGGGGGCTCGCAACGAGCTCCTCGGTCCCGAAGCTCTGCGCCGCCGATTCCCTTGGCTGTCTACGGAGGACATCGAGCTGGGCTGCCATGGAATCGATAAGGAGGGATGGTTCGATCCCTGGGCCCTGCTGATGGGCTATAAGAAAAAGGCCCGCGCCCTGGGTGCTCACTTCTCCAACGGCGAGGTGGTTGGCTTTGAGTGGAATGCCTCCGGAGCTCTGTCCGCTGCCGTGGTTGATGTTGGCGACGGAGTACAGCGCCCTGTGAAGTTTGACACCTGTGTCCTGGCTGCGGGACCTCATTCGGGCCAGGTTGCTCGGCTGGCGAACATTGGTGATCCGGAGGCGACAACAAGTTCCTTGAGGGTGGCCCTTCCAGTGGAGCCCCGCAAGCGGTATGTGTATGTGTTCAGTACTCAAGGTCGGAATTGCCCAGGGGTGGCCACACCCCTGACCGTTGACCCTGATGGCACCTATTTCCGACGGGACGGTCTCTGTGGAAACTTTCTCTGCGGTCGCAGTCCCAGCGACGAGGAGGAGCCCGAGTGCGATACCCTGGACGTGGATCACGGCTACTTCGAAACGGATGTCTGGCCCACACTGGCGAACCGAGTGCCGGCCTTCGAGTCCGTGAAAATCCAGAGCAGCTGGGCGGGCTACTACGATCACAATACATTCGACGCGAACGGCATAATCGGCCGACATCCTCACTACTCCAATCTCTTCATAGCAGCCGGCTTCAGCGGCCATGGAATACAGCAGACTCCGGCCGTGGGCAGGGCCATTTCCGAGTTGATCCTCGACGGCAAGTTTAGCACAATTGATTTGTCTCGCCTCGGTTTCGAGCGCCTGGTCAACAAGCAGCCCATGTTCGAGGTGAACATCGTCTGAGGAACGCATTCTTCTCCTGCAACCAGAATCTATTGCGTTTTATAGAGCACTAAGCAGTCGCAGTTATCGTGTGTATGTACTTGTTTTATTGCAATTTTCATTTGTATATATGTATAGTAATTTGTGTATAGTAAAGTTCACGTTTTAGTCACGTACAGCTTTGTTGGTGTTGTTTTGGCTGCAAGTCGTCAGGGGGTAGGGTTTTGGGTCTGGGGGTACTGGTCTGAGTTCGGCCACAAAAGTCGTGAGTCTGTCTACATATAATTTATTTTAAATTAAGAATTAAACATAATCGTAATATAACTTTACGGAATAATAGCGGACTTAAGACCAGATCTAGGCGAGCGGGATGAAGAGGGCCGTCTATCTGGATCTGCCTTGCGTAGCATCTAAACATACAAGATCTGCTTTTGTATTTGAGTTGGGTTCGCTCTGTCCGTGTCTCTTCTGTCGGGGTGAGCCAATAAACAAATCTGTAAGCTAATTTGGTAAATATAAATAAATGTGTGTGTTGAATGGGCGCGACTATGCTGGAGTTATCCATGCCAACTGATGACTGATCCTAGGCTTCGCTCTCGCCGGGTGCCGCGTTCTCGCCCACGTTGATAGGCACGATCAGATTCTCCTTCGACATCAGACTGTATTTGGTCACGAAATGCGTAAATCGGTGGCATAGATACGTTTCGGTCTCGAACTCGTCGAAAATACGACGATGGTGAAAGTAGGCGTGCGAGAAAATGCGATACACGCGCCGGCACACAGAGCCCAGCTTGGTCACCGACGACTCCTTGATGGACACCCTGTGGGAGGAGACACTTCACTCATTATGTGGCTAGTCCCAGCTGGTCCCGTAGCCCAGGTCCGCGTACATACCTGCTCGGAAAGTATTTGTTGCTGTTGAGCAGACAGGCGGCCCCGTCCAACGTGTGGCGAGTATAGTCGATGGCCGGACACTCCTTGGGCGTCTTGTGGGCGGCGCACAGGAATATCCATTGGTCGGTGGCCGTCATCTGCGTGCATGTGGACGGCGAGCACTCCTTCTGCAGACGCACGGCTAGGCCATTCAGCTCCATGCAGAACTGGCGCAGATGCTCGTACTTCCATACCCCCTCGTCCTGGGCCTCGGGCATGGTCAGGATGAGCTCCACGTTGCTCGGGTCCCGCTTGATCAGTTGCTGGATGTACTGCTGCACCGCCAGCGTGCTGTCCATCTCCTCCAGGGGCTCATCGGGCCAGCGACAGAAGTCCTACAACACCGAAAGGGAGATTTACCGTCAGCGGGAGGGTTCGAACTCCTCCACTTCTGCTGCAGCTTACCTTGGATTTGGTGCCTGGCCGGTTCCTACGCAATATGGTCGAGCCGTCAGCCATCTTCATGTTTCACCTTGCTCGGAGCCGCGATGATCCACAACGCCTATGCCTGTGCCTGTGCCCACGCCTTGCACAAGAAACTCGCTGGCTAACGCCGATTTCGACGGAAACACAATAATATCCTGCCCGACTGCAATGCCCGGATCTGGGCTCCCTAACTGTCCTTTACAACGCTGAAAGGGATTTATTGATTAACGTTTGTCCAAAAAAAACTTTGCTTTGTGCGAAAAACAGCGTGACCGTGCGCGGACTGTTAAAAAACCTATAGGTCGATTTATTTATCGATAGACCGATATCATCGGGCAATTAGTATTTCGCCCAGCCCTGGTTGTCTCCAGACCGAGAGCTGGCCACACTGACCGTAGCCAGTCATCATAAATACGAACAGATTGGAAAAGTTACAAGAATTGCGTATTAGCTGTAATATTACGATATCTTAGATTGAGAGAGATTTGCAAGCGCCACCCACTAAGCTGCAACATGTCCTACGCATACTTGTTCAAATACATCATCATCGGCGACACAGGTGAGTTTTGGCTGGGGCTACTTGGACTGGGAACCTTTCCAAATCGAGTTGCCAAAAGCTTGCCATTGTCCCACAAATGAGCCGTAATTAGACAACAAAACAAAGGCGATCGAACGCGCAATACCCGCAGCTCGTGGCCAGTTTGACAAAGTCCACTGAAAGCTGGAGTCTTGGGGCGCACAAACAGGCACCCGAGAGTGGGAGCAGCCGAAGGAAAAATCAATAATACCATAACAACGCATACAGGCGAACGTTTACGGACTCCGCAGAGAGGGGGTTGGGGATGGGCCCACACAGTAAAACCCTGCTGCTGAGTCAGCCAACCACCCCCCAGTGATACTAGTGGAGAGATTCTGGCAAAAGTCAACACCCCCGCCCCGAGGATTTGGGGGCCTTATCAGCATGCAGCTTTTCGGGCAGCTAACAGCTGCTGGCTGCTGCTCATCCTGCTGCGCCGCGGGCTACGGATGCGTGACAACCATTACAGTGGCCCAGTGGAAACCCGGCTGCTGCAGTCCGGAGAAAGTTTCCCTCGTTTGCCAATTAACTAATTAACTGTTCGTTGTTGTTTCCTCAGGCGTGGGAAAATCGTGTCTGCTGCTGCAGTTCACGGACAAGCGCTTCCAGCCAGTGCACGATCTGACCATCGGCGTGGAGTTTGGAGCACGCATGATCACCATCGACGGCAAACAGATCAAGCTTCAGATCTGGGACACGGCTGGCCAGGAGGCCTTCAGGTGAGCAGCGCACACCCCAAAAAAAAAAAGCACCTCAGTTATGTAATCCTTGGAATTTGTGACATTGCAGATCCATCACACGCTCCTACTATCGGGGGGCAGCCGGGGCGCTGCTAGTATACGACATCACGCGGCGGGAGACCTTCAACCACCTGACCACCTGGCTGGAGGATGCACGCCAGCATTCCAACTCCAATATGGTGATCATGCTGATCGGCAACAAGAGCGATCTGGACTCGAGGCGCGAGGTAAAGAAGGAGGAGGGCGAGGCTTTCGCCCGCGAGCATGGACTGGTCTTCATGGAGACGTCGGCGCGCACGGCGGCCAACGTGGAGGAGGCGTTCATCAACACCGCCAAAGAGATTTACGAGAAGATCCAGGAAGGAGTCTTCGACATCAACAATGAGGTGAGTTGATGTGCTACGCGGCGGATAGACTTCACATTATTCTGACCTGATTGTATTCGCAGGCAAACGGCATTAAGATTGGCCAGCAGCACTCGCCCACAAATCCATCGTTGCCAGGCGCCGGAGGAGCCGCCGGGGCAGCCAACAGTGGCTGCTGCTAGGAGTAAGCTACAGATGCCCGACTGCAGCTTTGGGATAGACGTAGCCGCTTCTGTAAAAGCTCCTTTATAGTGACTAACTAATAGAAGGTGACCGACCGATTTCTCGTTTTTGATTTCGATTTCAACAATAACTAATCACGTAAACATAGCAACTTACCAGTAAACTAGCAAGCGAACACTAAGCGTAATGTTAAATCCATAAAGAACCGGCGGCAACTGCAACAAACTGTATTCAGAAACTGAAGCGATCGAACCCGAGAAATAAACCCAAGACCTACAACATTTGTGTACTATATGTGAATGTGTTGTGCGTGATTTCTAAATTTTACAAACCCTATCGAGTCATATATAACAGTTTTATGTATGTATTTTGTGTATATTGAAATTAGTTTGCTAGTTACTTTGTGCAAAGACCGTTGGTTACATGTACACTGGGATCTTGACAAAATGATGTGTAATATATAAACAATACTTGAAATATGTGAATTTTCATTGTGATTTGTTTTCAATGCTGCTTACGTTGGGTATCTGCTCCTGCTTCTTTATATTTATACATAACAAGTATGCATAATTTTACGTTTTCCCTTTCTCAACGCATTTTTGCCCCCCCGTCTTTAATATAGAAATAAATGGGATTACATAATTTACACATTCGAAATGCATCAACAGAGGATACATACACGTAAATGCTGCGATTCAATGATCAATTTAGTATTTTACAAAGTTTATATATTAAATTAAATTAACACGAAAGCTAAGACAAAACGAAAGATACAACTGTAAACGCAAATCAAATTATTTATAATATTTGTATTTGCTAAAACACAATGCAGAATAATAAATAAACATACAATATACATACATATATTACAAAGGAAATGCTTATCGTTTTAATCCTTGGAAAAAATTCTGTTAAACCATTAAAAGAGGTTGCTGATCATCCTTACCTTTTCCAGTTAGCACTTTTGAAAAATTTCTTTATATTTTCGAAATTCCCTTGGTTAGGTCGCTGTTATACAATCAGATAAGATACAAATATTATATTTCTTGATTTATAAATAACCGAATTATTGCAAATCCGTCGAAGCATTGCATTTTTCCAGAGGGACCAAAGGGAAATTTAATGGCTTATTCAAAAATTAATAAGGGAAATTCATGTAATCGAAAATGTTATCAAATTTCTTTTGATTAATGAGGAAATGAAAGAACTGTTTGTTTCGTTTTATAAGTTTATATTTCATAATATATGTTTTCAGTAGATAATTGTATAGAATTGTGATCCTTGTTTTGTTTTTTTTTACATATTTGCTAAGGTGAATTGAACCAACAATTACTTTTATATATAAACCGGCTACGGGACTATAGTGTGTTCTATAACTGTATCCTTACGGCGTATGTTGCTTACACTTTATAGGCGTTTTTCAATAACAATATACTAATTATGTTTATTTCTGTGCTTCTGGGTGAGTTTGTATTTTATTTCCATATTAATAATGTCTGTATTTTGTGTGATAATACTTAAACGTTCAAGAGTTTGTTTGTAAGATTTTATCTAGTAAGAACGGGTATATATTTTTAATGTTAAATTTTCCTCAATTGAACTGTGTGATTGGAAAACTATTCGGATCCGAGAGGTTCAGCGTACAAATATGATTTTATATTATTTTTTTTTAGTTTAAGAAGAAACAAAAACGTTTTTGTGTGGTATATTAGGGAAAATTGTCGCTTGTTATTGCATACGTTACATAGATTGTTATTTTATTGTATTCTATTTAATCAATATTCGTACCAAAGGTAAGGCAATTAAAACTATTTTTCTCCTATAACTTTTTTTTAGTTTTCGTTTTGTAAAGAAGACAATTTTTTGGGGACCCGTTTGCACCTGGCAGTGATGCACTGCATTGATATTGATTGAAATTGAACAGTTTGTCTGCGGTGTGAGCACAAGATGTGATTATTAGTAATTGCCCTAGTGCGTTAGCTATATATATTAGGTTAGTTATATATTAGTTATCAAGTCAAGTATATGGGCTTACAGGCTAGGTCTTATGAAATAGGCTTAGTTTCAGTTACAATGCTGCTCTGATTTTATGGCTGCAACACCATTTGACATAAGAAACTCGTTAACATTTAATGCTAGTCCAGATTTTTAGTACCTCAAGTTGTGTTTGCTTCTCTTCTCTTCTCTGTTTTGGCTTGCAACCAAGTAATGTACGTACAAGTAACCTAGTGTAAAAGTTGAGCTTTTTTAGTCTCTGAGACATCACTATCACTCTCCTTGGGCGCTTTCTTCTCACAGAACTCGATCAGATACGAACAGACGCCGGAGAGTGCGATAAATATGCCGGCGAAATAGAAGGAATCGTCCCATCTGCAAAATATAGGATAGTAACTGTGCATTCTGAAACGATAAAGCGTGTAATCTCAACTCACCTGCCAGTATGCTCGTAGATAACGCCCGCAATGGGTGGGCCAGCGATCATTCCCACCCCTTGCACCAGCAGCACCAGACCGTAGGCACACGTGAAATCATCCAAATCCACAATACTGACCAGAATGCTGGGCGTAAACGAGAATGAGCTGGCGAATGTGAAGCCGAAGATTATGCACATGACCATTAGGCCATTGTAACTGGTCATCAGCATGGGCATGAAGAACACCGAGGCTCCGCAGACTGAAAGATATTTATATAAGTACGAGACCCCAAAGTCTTGGCCAAAACTCACCCAGCATACACAGCGAGTAGCATATGTTGATGTTCATCCAGGACAGGTCGCCCAGGTAGCCCAGTCCAATCATTCCCACTGTTTGGGCAACGCCAACTGCCGATATCAGAACGGCACTCACGCTCACATCGTAGCCGTATTGCTTCATGTAATCGGGGAGGTACAGATAGGGGATAATGAACCTGCGAAGCGTGCCAATGGGTGGATTAGATAGATCTGGATTTTATCTGGTCCTGCTTCAGTTTGAAGTGATTTCAACTAGTTCCTTATCGAGCCAATGAAACACTTACAGCTCTACGAGTTATGATCTTGATCGATAATTTTGTACTTGAACTGCGACAAAATATGCTCGCTTCATGCTAAAATTGTTTGTCAACATTTCTATTTCGAATAGAGCTGCCAAAATTGTTTTTGACATATTTTTGTTGGCAAATGTTCAGGCTTGGCAAAGTTGTATCTATTTTTTGGTTTAGGGTTTGTGCGCAGTTTGTGTTTTATATGTCTTATAGTACTCACCAAATAAACAAAAACAATGTTGACAGATTGAAGAGGGCAAACTTCATGTCCAGAAAAAGGGAGAAGTCAAAGATGGACTTCATGGTGTCCACGAAATTGTCGTACCAGGTCTGATGGAAAAGTGGGAATATGAACATTAATCATAAATTCTGGATTTTTTACGGAAAAATTTATTAAAATTATATGAGCAATTCGCCTGTGTTATTTGATCGAAAAAATAATAACAAATCGATTTTCCCAGTAACTCTAGCTTATCTGAATGAAAAAGAATAACGGAGTGCTGTTAAGTACTGATTATTACGATAGCTTCTATTGTTTACTGCATATATATTTGGTTAGCAATAATAGATAGATATAGGTTAATGGAGTCGGCTGATATTTAATTCAGTAAACATTTACATTTTAGACTGAAAGAATGAGATGTCAAGGTAATAAACTGATCATGAAGATGACGCTTTTAAATATTTTTGCGCTTTGTGCTCTGCATACATAGCTTCACGGAAGTCAGGGCGGCCACCTTATCAGACTTGGCCCAACTATGCTAGGCCGGAGAGGGGTAGCTGATAATCGACACAAACCATTAACCAGCTGGGTCTGTCGCCAAGTGGCTGGCTGATAAGGCGGGGGCAAGGGGCGCGAGGCACATCTACTCACATCTTCCTCCTCCTTGGCTATAGTGGTCATCGAGTTGCGATAGATGTTGGGGCACGACGAGGCTCGCAGACGGTAGCGGTGCGTGTTCAGCATGGCGCCGCGGTAGTGGATCGAGTTGCGGTGGATGCGCATGTCCTTGAGGAAGTTGGAGTTCCTAATCGAGATGTTTCGCCGCAGGTTGGATCGATGCTGGCTGGGCTTCTTGGAGCGCGACAGCCGCCGGATTCCAGTGATGCTGTCCAGGCGGGCTCTTCGCGTGGCCAGTTCGCTGTTGGTCGCCGGCTCCTGCTCCGGAATAGCTATTACCGTGGGACCAGTCCGCCTGCTAGGCTCCAGCAGGGCGAAGGTCTCGTCCTTGGAGTAATAGCAGTGCATGTCCTCGCTCAGGATATCCACTGAGTTGTGACGCAGACCGTTCACCTTTAGGTTTGAGATGGAAGGCGTCGTGTGCTTGGCCATGAACAGATTTTCGTTTAGCGAATAGCGGGAGCTCGCGTGTTTCTGTGTGAGGTAGCCCTCGTCCGAGGAGCGCAGCGACCCATTTGGGGTGCCAGCGCCGATGGAACGCTTCTCCGACGGCGACAACGTCTCTATGGATGCCAGGTAGGTCTTTTTGGCCGCCTCCGAAGCCTCCTGTGCTATGCCTCCCATTAGGGTGTCATCCGGCGATCCAAGGATGGCCGTTGATGGGGGATAAGCGCCCGCTCCTGAGGACATGGAGAGGAGATTTTCACGGGATGGCGCTTCGGCACCCTCCTTGTGACGCAAGGAGCGCCGGCTTAGGCTCTTCACCTCGCAGATGCTGTCCAGCTCCTGTGTGCTCAGGAAGGTTGGCAGAAAGATCTCGCTCCTGTAGCGCTTGAGAACTGTGTCAAGGGGATCATCAATCTGCTGGTTGGCCTCCGTGTTGTTTTTGGTCACCAGTGAGTCGAGCACGGCCTCCTTGGTGATCCCCGTGTCCAGCAGCTTCTTGATCTCTTCCAGGCAGACGCTTGAGTTCGAGAAGGTGGTGACGCTCTGCGACCGGCTCTCCAGCCGGTTCTCCTCAATCAGCCAATCGGGATCCCGCATTAGGGCGCCGCACACGCAGGCGTTGAGCATGGTGCCGCCCAGAATGAGGGTAGCTCCCCGCCATCCATACGACTCAATAAGATAGGAAGTCAGACGGGCGTACACAAAAGTTCCAATGCCCGTGCCCGAGGCTCCGATTCCAGTGGCAAATGTGCGCTTCTTGTCGAACCAGAAGGCGATGGACACTACGGCGGTGACGTAGCCAATGCCCAGTCCCAGGCCGGAGATTATGCCAAAGGTCACCATCAGCATCTCGATGGAGTTGCAGAAGGAGGAGAGGGCGAACCCGAAGGCGGACACCACGCCGCCTAAGATGGTCATCTTGCGACAACCGTACTTGTCCACCAGGTTCGACCAAATGGGTCCCATGAGCAGGGGCACTGAAAAGAACAGCGACGAGATCCAGGCGGTCTTCGAGGTGGACTCACCAAAGTACTCCAGCAGCTGAACGTTGATGAGGCCGAACGAGAAGCTCAGCCCGTCGGCAATAAGAGATACCACCAGGGAGGCGAACACCACCACCCAACCGTATCCGCCATCAGGCATCTTGGGCGTTTTCTTCTCCGTGGTGCTGGAATCGATCGAGTCCCCGGACTCGTTCGAGATCAGCCGCTTGCGCCTCTTTACCTGCCCCCCGTTGCCGTTCATCAGGCAGGTGAGCGTACCATCGCCATCCATGGCGATCATGCTGCTCCTCACCACCCGACTGTGGCCGGCCCCATCTGTGAGCTCCTCCACGGACAGGTTGCAGAAGGTGACCTCCGGAAAGAGGTCATGCTTGATGGCCTTGTTAAGGGGCGTGTTCGCCGGGGCCGGTACTGGGGTGGGCGACAAGGGCTGGCTCTCCTCCTGCTGTCCACTGTTGTGGATGTTGTTATTGTTGTTCACCGCCTCGCAACTATTGTTGTTGGAGCTCGACGTCGTTGGCTTGGCCATTGTCGAAGCAAAGTCTATGTAACGTTATTGTTATTATATAGGGCTCTGGCTACGGCTATAAAAAACGTTTGTAAAATTTGCACTCTCTTGTCCAAGCGGTTGATTATTGGAGTTGAACACAGTTTGCATTAGACTTCAGCATTGATTTTGTCTTAAGTAGGCGGCAGATGGATGATGTTACCCTGGTCTCCGTTGGTCAACGCTGCAGTGCGTGGCTGAGGGGAGAAGGAGGAAGCAACTGTTAGAAACGCTAGTGGTCTAGACCCTAGCTGAGATGGACCTGTAGTTATTTCCCAGAGATCATTTACAACAAGAACAAGAACTGCTCGAAAACATTTCGTTGAAAAATTCGCGCAGAAACTGATTGCTCATTTTGGCATTTTCACTTATTTAATTTTCTGATCGCCTTCAACTTGACCTCTCAGGAAACCAGCGGAAAATTCTCAACGGAAAACAGAGAGAACGAGCCCCACTCGCTCTCCCAAACAAAGTGCGTCACTTGAGCGTCGAGCAGCTGATGTCCCAATAATAATAATGGCCTCGGACTACCACGAAAATTATTTCGAAAATCCAATTTCTTAGGCGGCTTGTTGTTTTCTGCCCGTCAGTCTGTCTGCTTCTAATTTTAGACATTTATATAGGCTATATTGGGGTTTAAGATGCAACGCAAAAAGAAAACAAACATCGGCGGGCCGAAGACCAACTCGAAACCTTTCTTACCTTCTCGGGATGCTGCTTTCGTGGGGGAAACACTCGAACCAAATTGGAAGGGAAACAAAAAACGCGTCACTACGAATTGCGGACACACTTATGATTTCACTGGCACTAGATTCACTTTAGCACTACCACCAATTAATTCACCATAATTGCACAGATCTTCAGTTATGTTTAGCTCGCTCAGGGTGGTGCGATTCAAGGGTTTATTCAGGGTGGCGGTCTTGTTAAAAATTCTTAGGCGCGGATCGCGGGGTATATAGTGGAGGAACACCTTATTCGACTTGCCGCTGTTGTTGTAAGTACGGGGATTGTTGTTCTGCGATTTATCAAACGATTTAGCAGTGGATTTGGCCGTGGCCGACGCGGATGCTGCAGATGTTGCTTTGCCTGCACGATAGAATGACTTGGACCGAATGTCATTCATTAAGAACGATATGGGGTTTATCACAGGCCAGCGGAGAATATATTGACGGGTTGATGGCAACTGGTCGAAGTTGCAGTTGCTGTTGATGTCGCTGCTGCTGATGTTGTAGCAGTTACTGCTGCTGGTAAGCGGATTTAGCCCTAGCAGCCACATGCGGTACTTTGTTGTCACAGAAATCGAACACTTCCTTAGGCCAAGTAAACGCGGCTCGCCCGGCGTAACAATTCGAACTAAATGCGAACGAATAACAAAAACAAATCAAAGCTTGAGGCTCCGATGATAATGTTGCAAGAGGCGTAGCGCTACTCCGGGAAACTCTCCTGTTCCCCGCCTTGCTATCTGCAATAAGTGGTTCTCGGTCTTGGCTCCGCTTCAACGCGTGTCAAGTGCGCGCCGCGCAGTTCGGCGGTGGATGGACAAGGGAATACATATCGACAACGAGGCGGCCAACGCGGCGTATGATTAATTTGTCTCCGGGCTGTGCAACTCAATCGCTGCCGCTGTGGGTGCTGCCTCCTTGCTGGCGCTGGATAATGATTTATGATCTCTGTCCTCGATTAGCAGCCTTCAATGGGAGCTCTGCAAGAAAGTAGGAAGAGCGGTGAGTTGGGAAATCTGATAAATGACTTAAATATGACCAAGGGGCTAATCTTAAATGTAGCACTTAATGCAAACCAAATAAATGAGGCACGAATTCTTCACAACAGCCGCACAAAGGAATTGCCGAATCGCACGCACCAGCTTAATTTCATCTGCTGAATTGACAAACAATACAAAATACACAACAGTGTAAACATACTCGCTGCAACAGTAGCGGTCAAATTACTAGCCGTGCAAAATGAATAATTTATACAAAATAAGCAAAAATAACTTCCAAACTTTATTCCAAATATATCACTATAATAAAATACTGATTTATTGATATACCAATATTTTCTGCAAGTGTGATATATTTTCAACCGCAGCTGTATTTGATAGTTGGCAAAGGCCACGGTTTAAAATGGTCTAAAAATATATACATAAATAGGAAAAAGGAAATAACTACCCCACAGTATCTACCCTCGACATAAGAAACAAAACAATATCAAATCGTAAGCCCCAAGAATGATTTTCTATTTAAATGAAAAGCTTTCTAAGAAGGTCTTGTAGACGTTATTATACACATCCGCAAAATTAAAAATACAATTTACTAATATAAAATAAAATACATTGTTTTCAGACAATGCAACTTACAGTCCAGTCTCGAAATAAAATTAAATAACCCTCCAGTTGGAATGACCCTTGTGTTCTATGGAATTTCTATACAATTCAGAGCTTCTTTTATTATTTTAATATATTCAAGAATATGTAGGTATAATAGCATTGTAAACAAATAACAAAAAATAGCTCCAGTAATGCACTCAAATATTCAAGTTCGAAATGTTTTTCAATATTAACTTTCCATGAAAATGAAGCTGCCTATAACCAAGTTCAACGTTCGATACGCGCGGATCGATTAAATGATAACAGTCAGTGGCGTGTGCAGGATCTCGTAAGAGGGAGGCCAAATAATTTGTATTTGATTTAAGACTTGAATGGGGGGCAATATCACCAACGTACGACACTGATTAAAATGTACATTTCATGTGGAAAGTGAGTGCCGAGATTTTCAGAAAGTACGATTGTCTGATTTCCGACATCGCGATTACGCCTTTGGTATATATACATATATAGCTATATCACTTGTCTGATTATATATTTAGTTGCTTATCTTTACAATATAATTGGCAGAAAATGCCTTTATACTAGGCAACGCGATAGGCAAAGCTAATGCCTAGCCCTCGAATAAACCGATTCTGAATGTATTTGGTTTACATTGTTGAATGGGTTTATATTATTCAGAATGCTCCGCACACGTGATCTAGCCGGAATATTACACAACCAGTTTATGATCCCAAAAGAGTAATTAGTAATTATTTCAGTCTAACATGTTTTATTCCTTTAGCTAAAGTGATAATTCCATTACCATTTTGCTTAGTTACAAAAATAAGCATCTTGAAGCACTTCCAGCTGCCCCTGGCCGTATGCAACACTTTTCAACCGCAATGGCAGCACTTTCACTTTGTAGAACAAGTCACACTTGAAACCTAAAGTCCACATCTTGTTTAGTCCGAAGTAGTTTACTTAGCAAAAGACAAAGAAACTCGTCAGAGGCATCTCGCGCGGTCGCCTGCACTGTCCAGACTTGGACTCGGACTCGGATTTGGATCCCCGGATTCAAGATTGAAGAAACAACAGTCGCGCGGCTCGGCGGAAGGCCGACTGAAGCAACTCACGTTGTGGATGGTGGAATGGGGCCGGCGGAACGAGGCGGATTGGAACATGTGTGGAACGTGGGAAGCGGACAAGGCTACTCGGCGTCTGTAATCGCAGCAATCGTTGCCTTAATCTAATAAATTTCTTATCAAAGAGCGTCGTGCCTATAGTATTTCCTATATCTGTGTGTTTGTGCAGTTACATACATATGTAGCCACTCGCAGTGTCAGTTTGTATGTAGTATCTACGTACGAGCAACACGCGTTGGCGTCTGTCAACATGCCAACGGTCTGTGACGCTGCGCTCTTTTTCCTCTCTTTTTGGCAGTGGTCACATTTGGATTCGGATTCTGATGCAGAGCCTGACATACATAGTATACGAATGTATGTATATGTATTTATGATTCTATATACACCACACATCATGTGATTGTCGGTAATTGCTATACTAGTTACAACAGCATTGCAATCAAATCGGAGCACACATGTCAGAGCAGCCTTGATCGTTAATAAATATAATTTTATCAGACGGATAGTTTTTAATACTCAAAGGGATGAAGGTTTTAGATTGATCAAGACTGAAAAGAAGAAGCAATGCTTGTTATATTCTTATTTTGTAGCTAAATCTAACATTTTTTAGTGGTTATTAGTTATTATTAGTTATCTCTAACCACTTCATTCACTACTTCACCTTAATTCTATTAAAAATATATCTACCATTTACTTAGAACTTGTGGCTTTTTAAATCCAAACGCATCTAGAAGAATCCGCTTTCTTACTTTTATGAGTTATTTGAAATAATCTATGAATAATGACTAGCTTTGAAGCACAAGCCTAATATAGTAGTGATAAGTAAAAAACTTTCTAAGGTGTTCAAGAGGCTCAATAAATTCCTGCAGTCGGCTCATTGTGGGGTAATTCTTTGTTGCTGTGCTTTAAGGGGGCGATAAGCTTTACGATCCTCTGGGTTCATACAGGAGACCCGTTGTTAGATGCTGACCTAGGCCAGCAAATTAGGGGGTTATTAGTCTGATTACTATATGGCGGCGGAGCAGTAAAACATGAATACAAAATATACATGGGAAAAACTCTAAGAAAACACTCATTTACTAATAGTATCTACATATGGTTTATCTGTCGAAACTCTAAGAAAACACGCATTTACTAATATCTCAATATGGTTTATCTGTGGAATACGATTCTGAAAACTGTGTCAGTACGTTTTAATTGATTAAACCCTGTGGTGAAGGCAAGGGCACTTTTGTCGCCTTGAGTGGAATTGAGTTTGTTTTTCCCCCCTTCTCATTCACTTTAAGCATCACCTCAGTTAAAGTTTCCTTGGCCAAAGGGTTGACTCAAAAGCAGGGGAACTATCAGGATCAAATAGTTCCCAGCTGGCATCCAGTGTCCTTCATCGTTTTTGTTGCAAAAACTAAAGAATTCAAGTGAGAACTTGGCCTCGACACCGCTTAAACTTTAATATTCTCTGACGTACCCAGAGAGCTAAGTTCGCTTAACATCAGCTGTCAGTCTTACCCCTCGCCTTCCGCTTAATTGATATCCGTAATTGATAGTGGGCCCAGCTAAGCCCCCCCCATTCTGCTAAAGGATTGCTGCTGGTGGTTGTTAATTGATTTGCGGTTTTCGCATTTTGTTTGTGCACTTCTATTGTTTGTTCAATGCAATTGGTGATGCACTTAGCCAACATGCTTTCATGATCAATTAAATTTACTTTGGAGAATGGGTTTAGGCTCCAATTAGTGTTGCTTAAACCGAGAATCCTTGGTTATCTCTGTATTCATGAGTAATTTAAAATTATATTGGCGACAAACTCATGCTTATTTTTCTACTGTTTCAAAGAAAGTGAAATACAAAACATTAAGAAAGCATTCAAACTTTGGGAAGTTAAAGTTTGTATACGCTTACACTTTGTAATTTGACCAAACCGGTAAATAAGGTATGATATATACGTATATATTCAGACATAATAAGGATTTATTACTAAACGTATTATTTTTCTACACTTCTTTCTATCATTCCTGTGAAAGCTATATGATAATTTAAAATCATAAAAATTTCCATACCTCGCGGATTAGATGAAAATCTACAGAAAATCAACTGACTCGTGATGGTGATATATAATATGTTACCGAGTAAGAGGAAATGCCTCTGTCTGATAGGTTTAAGATTATAATACCTTGGTACCCTATCAGTATAAAAACTGTAGGAGGTTAAGGTTGATTGATTAATTAGGTTGATTTTGGGTCACCTTTACTTATGTATAAATCGAATATTCATACATACCGCATATAAAAACATTATTAAAGGGGCTTACAAAGTGGGTTGAAAAAAATCACTTAGAAAGTTCTTAAGAAACCCCAATGTTTGAGATTGTCCTTGTCCTCTGCAATCAAGCAGAATAAAATAATTTATATAAGAATCTCGCCTGAGACATTCTTTCTTGATTTTAGCCAAAAGTGATGGCGACATCACTTAAAAACCTGTCAAGAAAGCCACTGCATAGGTTACAAAGGAGCCAACAAGGTGCACTTAGCACGTGCAGTCGCACAGTCTCACATACAAGCGTCCTTTTATGTTTTAAATTTATATTTTCTAGAATACAAAGACTGCTAAAAACTGTAACTATGTGAGCTCTTAAGATGTTATTGGAAAATCCCAAAAACTTAAATTTATATGTATTTTTATTAGAGATTATTCGATACTTTTCAAGAAACCTGGGAAACCAGCTTAAGAATACGCTCCGAAATGTCTCCAACTAGTTTCAAAATACATAAATACTTCAAAAAAAACAATATAAACAAGAAATTTTTCACATTAAACACTCTTCACTCTTGTGAAATTGAAGAAAAAAGTACAAACAAAAATGGACCTCACATTTGGACACCGTCATTCTGGTTTCTGTGTTGTTTTTGAAAAGGGCAACTTGGCATAAAACGGACATTTGGCTATGCGTGTAAACCAAACTTCAAGGCTGAGGGCGGTTTTTATTTCTCCAATTTTTGCTCTTGACATGGGCTCCCACGGCGAACCATAAAGGTTGAGTGCAAAACGCCAAGCAAAAAATGCAAATTAGAAATCAACAAATGAACTTTCGAATTGCGGATTTTGCGGTCATATAAATTCATTCTGAATTTAAACAGGTAATGCATTTTAAAGTTACGGCTATAAATTATTCATTTTAGATTTATAAATTATTTGAAATGCTATCGCCGCATTGTATTAAAATTAATTATAACCGGATTCATTTGGCTTAAATCCAAATTGAATTGTATCTATAACGTAAATTGAATGGAATGGGAAGTATTCATTTTAAAGACTCATGACAGCTTAGGCAAAATTTACTTAGCTGCAAAGAGATTTCTGCCACCGATTCTAGATAAGTGTCCTCAAGGACCTTTTGTGGCGGCATAGGGATTGAAAGGGACAAGGTCACCACTGGCGTTCAAGGAGCATATGATGTAATTACAAAAATTTCCCTTTGCTGTAAATTTGCCAAGTGAAATTTAGCGTTCAGCGTCACGCAGTCTGTGACTTTGGGGATAGCGAAGAAGTAGGGGGGGCGAGGAGGTGTTTATGTGTTTTTGCCAAGTTTTTGGGCACTCGTTGGAGCTGTTTGTGTGACAGCTGGGGTATAAATGAACTTTGGTTGCTCCTAATTGCTCCACTTACGCGTTATACGATATCGTTTCTTTGTCAGTTGTTTATTTGTTCGCCGCTCTCCGCCGCGAGGCCAATAAACAAAGCAGCGCTGACTAGTTCAATAATCACTGAAGAAACGCCTTGTTTGCACTTCCTGCAGTTGTGATGCGCGTTGTTGCTCCCTTTCGAGTTTGAATTTGGACTGACATAGTCTTGTGACTCCCTGCCCGCCCTACGCTCCTCATCTCACTCTGCAGTTCAATGGCAGCGTCTCGCTTCCGCCAGTATGTTTGTGTATCGGAGTTTTGAATTTTCACCGCTCCCTGGCCCTACCCACCACCATCAGTGGTTCTTGTTTTTTATTTTTTTGGACGCAGTGGAAAGTTACCAGTTGACAAGCGCTTGATTCCCTTGCATGTCTTCAATTTGTGGGTCTTTCCTTCAGATTTTCATTATTTTATGCAGACGAACGAATAATAACTTAACGATTATGAATTATGATTAATGGAGGTAGCGTAGCATGCAACAGCTGCGTGTTAAATAATAGCCTTAGGGCTTCTTAGCCAAATGAAAAGGTCAGCTCCACCACAGGCCAATTTGAATATAGCTAATGCTATATTATAGATTATATAAGCTGTATAATAGTGATATACCAATTGTAAATTCACTTAAAAAGAAAGAGCATCACAATAATATAAATCCTTCATTCAGTGGCAATTGTTATTAGATTTTTAAAATTTTTGGGTATGACAAGATGTCTTAACTAGCAAAAAATTGTTAAGAGCAGTTCGGAGTTAAGTTTACTTCACAAAATAAATTTAACTTTTACATGTTGAGCTCATCTGAAGGCTACAGCGGAACGAAAGTTGGAGGTACTTTAACTCATAGGTAAATTCCAGTTATAAAATTTTTAAAACCTTTAAACATAACTTGGTAATAACCATTAATTTAGTACTAAAAGTCAGACTGAGTCTTGAATTTTTAAATAAATATTTTACAGTAAAAAGTACAAGTTAGAGAGGGTCATTAATATATTCCTTCTATATAGAAAATCCCCAGTAATGACAGCGATAAAACGTAGCTCTATGCAAATGTGCATGATTTGCGTAGACCAATTTTGATATTTTAGAAAAGTCATTGTGTGCTAATGTGAGAACGGGCAACTAACAAAGCTTCTTTAGAGCAATTATCTTTATTAACACAGTTGTGATACAGTTCGCTGAGGCGACATATGGAAACCGGTTATGGGCCGTCATTTGTCGATTTCGATTTCAACTTCGCAATCAGCTGTTGGCCGCTTCTCCGCTCTCTGCTGACACACATTAACCGACAGAACGAAAATAAAAAAACAAAAATAATGAATGCACAAAGGTCTTACCGGTTTCATCAGCTGCTACAAACAGTTATTTTTTGGTTTTTTGTTCAATCGTTTGAGTTGTCAATTCCCAACGTTTGGCGTCGTTTGAGGTCAATGGCTTCTAAGCCAAGAGTGTCTAGTATCTTGGGCATGTGGCCATTTCGAAATGCATAAAATCAAGAAATCACGAGCTCAAGGACGCCGTTGCCACGAGAACGGTTTTCGATTACAGTAAATCAAATTTGTAGACCCACAAAAAGAGCCGAAAATCGAAGCCAAAAAAGCGTCTGCTAGTCAAATCTATTTACAAACATTGGTAAAAATAATAATATACAAAAAATATATTTTATTTGAAGAATCTGGAATGATATGAGAATTGTATTGGATTTTTTTAAACACCAATAATAAACTTATTCGTTATACGTTAAAATTCATAATGATAAATACTACAATTTCTGGTAAACCCTTTGCTAAAGGTTGGAGATTACTCCACAAAAGTTAAGAGCTAAGTTGAAGGCAACTATTTCTCTCTGTGCATGGACAACTATGGGGAAAGCACCCATTTCAGGGTGGCGGGTGGGTGGTGGTGGTGCCAAAGACAATGGCAATAAAAGCCAAAGCAGCAAAATGGCGGCGCGTGTGTGACAAGGGAACATCACCGAAACTGTGCTAGAGCCAGTGCGGTTCACCAGCATCTCATCTTGCGTTCGTCCTTCAGAACCACTCACTCAACCCACAACAGACAAGAGGCAAGTCATGGGACAAGTCACAGCAAACCCCCCCTTGATGACATGCCGCGAACGCCACTGATTTAAGGGCTTGAATTTGTTATTTATGTCGTTTTGTCAAAACGACTGAGGAGTACTCTATGTATGTAATATAAAAAACAAGAAAGAAAGCTATCTTTGGCCAGCCAAAGTTTGTATACCCTTGCAGGTAACAATTAAAATATATCTAACTAAGCCAAAAATGCATTAATTTCGATTCGGAAAGCAGTTTTGTGTTAGTTTTTATAAATTTAAAAAAACTGCTTACCAAATTTAAAATTTCAAGAAATCAAAATTTTTGGCCGTTTTTGCTAATTTTAATGATGTAACCCCTTATCAAATTTTGCAAAAATGGCCAAAAAATCGATTTCTTTCGGACATTTCTAGAAAGATTCGCATGTTAATGCTGATCAAGAATATATATGGTTTATGAGGTCGGAAATGATTCCTTGACTTAGAAAAATATTATTTTGTATTATAAAATCTGATTTTTTATATTAAAAAACTTCTTAATTTTTTTTTTAATTAAAAATATCACAGCTCGGCCAAAAGAGCATTAATTTTAAATCGGAAAACTGTTTTGTGCAAGATTTTCTACAGTTAATAAATCTGCATACTTCATTTAAAAATTTTGAAAATTAAATTTTTTATCAAAATCAAAAATTTTAATGATGTAACCCCTTATGAAATTTCGCAAATATGGCCAAAAAATCGATTTCTTCCGGACATATCTAGAAAGATTCCCCTGTTGATGCTGATCAAGAATATATATAGTTTATGGGGTCTGAAACGTCTCCTTCACTGCGTTGCAAACTTCTGACTGAAATTATAATACCCTGCAAGGGTATAAAAATGCTAGATATCTGTATGTACATAACACATATCGGGAGTTGTCTTTGTTGGTCTTATCAGGCTGAGTTGAGTCACTCCGAATACTACGTAATGCCAACTGCATAAGTGAAAATCACTTTTAACTTAAACAAAACCATGTATAGTTCACAAAAAGCTTACGGCGTCAATAATTTAAATAAGTTGAAAGCAGGAGTCGTGCCAAAAATGCCGAGCTATAAATAGTTTGCACTCGATCATAGTCGAAAATAAATTAAAAATCGTCAACTCATGGCTGCTCGAAATAAAAGCCAAAACAAATAATAATTTATCACACACATGCACAAGTGAGATGGGTCTTTGGGAATGAGACTTTTGAGTGGGAATTACGCATTCGTGATGGGTGAATATATTTTATATGTATGTACATTATTTATACACACCATCAGCAAGGTCAACGAAACGTTCTATGTTTGGTCTCTCCTCACCTGATATCTCTGCAGTTATTATTTCCAGGTAATGCCAGTTGATTATGGGCTAAATTACAACCATTGCTGGATCTTGGTCCTTTGTCATGGCAGCAGCTTACATTGTTTGCTGAATTATAAAATGATTGCAGTTGTTGGTCGGCGGCGAGTCTTTAAATAAACCGAACGAGTAAGGGCCTTCTCTCCGCTGCCTTTCTTTTTCTGGTTACGCTTTCCGTCAATTTTGTTTGTTTGCCGTTTTGCTTTATGGAATATTTGCCGCCCTTGCACAGTGGAATGCACACTGGGTGCAGCACGCTCCGAAATCAGCTGTCCGCTTGAATTTTAATACGCCTGTCGCCTAGGTGTGTGTGTGTGTGCCGTGCTGGCACAACCGATTGCACAACCCTCCGTGTTTCACTTCAAGTTAATATCTCGACTATGACCACTTCGTAGCCCACTGTGCGGGAGTTTCGATTTTTTACGGCACCCAAGTTTGGGGGAGCGGCGGCGGGGCAGTGACAACACCACCCGACGGCAAAAGTTCACCAGAAAATGTGGGATGTGAGGCGGTGGTGGTCGGCGTAAACAAATGCACACAGAATTCGGGATGCGGAAACGCTCGCTTCCAAAAGCACACAGGAAACGGAAATGGACCTTCAGCTCCAGGTATGCTGCACGCGTTTTCTCTTAATTGATTACTTAACAGACCACAATGTCGGCTGGCAAAATTCTTTTAAAATACAGAAGATTTTAATTTTTCACAAAAAAACGACCGTCCGTACTACAATTGGAAAACCATCTGACCGCCTTTTGGGGTTGTTGATAGTCATCGTCATGCCGATATCGATATATCGATGTTTTTAAAAATATTTATTCCGTGATTTTTTAAAAATATTTATATCGTGCAATCAATAGTCATTTTGAAGAATATTGAACCTTTAAATATAATGTTAAGTGATAATTAGGATTTTTACAAATATTCTAAATATATTAAAGCTGCAAGCAACGTCGTTGCAACATCGATATTTTAATACATTTAAATATATCGTCGTTTACCCAGCGCTATAAATATGCCGCGTAAAAACTGCTATGCACTTAAAATAAACAATATTATTAAGGTTATTACTTCCAGTGCTCACACTTTTAGCATTTTTTGAACGGGGTGCAAATTAATTTAAATTCTTTGGGTACCATGTATCTCAAAGTCGTTTATTGTAGCTTTCCAACTAGTTTTTTAATAGGAAATGTTTTAAAGGAAATGTATACCATTCGCTCTAAGTGAATTAAACTGGGAACTTTCCCATTTATCCTGAGATCCTTACCCTAATTAAAGTATCTTCCTTACCCAAACGAGATCGTTATTAGAAATGCAAGTATTATGTTGTAAATAAAGTCGGCAAAACTTTTTTATATTGCATTCGATATATGTATGATATAAAGAAAATATAACAGTGTAATATATTTGTATGTAAATAGCAGCATATTTTTTTCAAATGTTGTGTATAAACATAACAAAAGCAGCTTTCCACAACTTGGCTTGGAGTATAAATATGCAGCAAATTAAATTGTTGTTTTGTTTTTAGTTTCACATTCAAAACTCCTCCTGCTCTGGATCAGCGTTTGAGGCGGAAAATCCATCCTGAAATTAACAAAAAAGGGATAAAACGAAGGGATAAGAAGAAAGGTTAAACGTAAAAGGTTAAACGTAAAAAAATGACCTACACCAGGCTTGTACAAGATGTCTAGAATGCGCTGCAAAATCGGCATAGCTTGGGCGTCCTCATTTTCATGGCAACTGGAAAGGGAAGAATTCGGTCTATTTAATCTGGTGTTCAATTAGTCCAGGACTAGAGCAAGTCAACTTACAGAATCTCAATGTCACGCAATTTGGAAAAGTAGAAATCGCGCTCCTTCATCGCTTCTACCAATTGCTCAGGTGTATCCTTGCCAACTGCCTGGGCATCCTCTGTTGCAGTGCCCGTTAAGTTAGAGTCGTCGTCATTCGTGCGGGAAGTCACCCTGGCGCCTACTTCATTAAAGAAACGGGAGGGTGTAAGTATAGACAAACTATACCATGCAGATGAAGCTACGTACACGGCTTCACTACAGACGTTCCTGCCGGTCGTCCAGTTGCCACTGGAGCACGTCGGTAGCTGCTGGCACCAACGGAAGCGAAGACCATGGGGGCACCTTCACGGGCCGCTAGGGCATCGTACTTCTTGCCATTGTAATTGGCATCAAAGAATTTTTTAAACCACTGCAAAAATTCTAAATTGTCTTGGAAGCGACCTTTTACCAGTTTATCAATGGGTATAATCTGAGAGGTAAAAGTAAACATTTAGTGGTTTCAAGCAAAGTGATTTGAGTTTGTGGTTAAGAAACAGTAGCCTCAGTATAAGTTGCTACAATTCTTTTCAAAATTAGGATGGTTTTTTGTGTCATTGTTTTTAAATCAAATCCAAAAGTCTAGAACTACAGAACTACATACGTATCTAACAAAAGTAAGAGTTTTACCTTATCGACAGACATCTTTTTGAAGCCCGCCTGCAATATTTTGAAATTCTGTATGTATTCATGTTCCAAATTTGTCCGGAATTTCACACGCTTTAGAGGCACTGAACTGGGAAATAGCATGTCCATAAATTGACAATATGCGGCACCTGAGTAGAGGTAGGTCCATTCCAATAAAAACGCTTTCCAGACAATTTTAGCACTCACTTACCTGTGCATAGTTCCTCGACTTTGGAAAAGTCTGACTGCAGGCAGTCGTTAACCCAAGCCAGCATTTCGTGGCGTGATAGATTCTCTGTTGTCACATTGGTGGAGTGAACATTGACTGCCATGATGACATCTAAAGGAAGAAAGGAATACAACGTTTTTATAGAGCTCGGCGGGCATCCTAACTCTCCGAATCAAGACAATACACTTTTCTTACCAACTGTATTGATCAGGTTTCTTACTGAAGACGACCTCTTTTAATTGTCCTCTCACACTCACGAAGTTAAAAAAAAGATATATATTTAATCTTTTTTGTTCGTTTCTTTTTGCTTTGTTTGAATAAAGACTTCCCTTTGAAGGACTTTCGAGTGAATCTCTATTTGTCAAACCAGGATCTCAGGGCCTACTTCTCGGTCAGAAAACCAATTGTATTCGGAGCCAGTTCAAATATTGTATTTTAAATCATCATCAGCTGCCCTCTTATGCATTCCTTTTATTTATAATAAAACAGTTTTTACTGTAAAAATTATTATTGGCATTTATTTCACAATATTATATGGCAATTAAATTTAACGTTAACGTAATTACTATGACTTGAGTTTGTTCTTTTATTTGATTTTATATGAAGTACCATAAGTATGAAGACAAATGAGTTCTATATTGACGTAAATATGAGCATGAGTACTGACGTAAATATGGAAGTATCCAAAGTATCAAGCTGTTTCAAAAGATATTTCAAAAGCAATGGATCTTGGTTAGCCTGGGACATTTTTATTTCTGGTCCACCAAGCACAGTCGTTTGTATCGGCGTCTAATTTAGACGATTTGATGATAGATTGATGAACATTGATACGCGTATGTGATGATAATCATTTTAGGATTGATTTTCTCGTTTAAGGGCTTCCTCTCTGATCGAAACCCGTCCATGATAGTTGCATAACTATTCAACATGTTTCAGTGCTTCTGTCCAACTTTTACCGTGCTCTGGCCTAGCGCATTCACGACTGCTTGGGGTGCTGGACGGGTGGCGGGGGCGCCGGCTTGAAGCACTGGAGCAGGAAGGCTGTGTAGATGACAAAGGCCACCGCCAGGGCGATCAGGGCATACATGAAGATGTTTAGCTCGGGCTGCCGGAAGCGGTTCTTGCGCAGCCATTCCAGCACCTCATCCTCGGAGAGAAGGTCGCCTTTAAAGGTAACATATGGATGTAATTAAAGCTCTTCGTTTTCATTGCTGGAGTCCTAACTTACCCCTGTATATGCTGGGGAATCGCCGGCGGAAATAGACCATTGCCGGCAGTTTGGTGACTCCCCATTTCTTGGCATAGCGCGAGTCAGCCATTTTTACAAACGTTATATCCAGGTTATCCGTCTCGCTGTCTATGTTCTCGAGCTTTTCCAGAGCCGCTGTGCTGTCCGGTTGGTTGTGCTCATCTGTAAAGTGGGGAGTTGGTTGGGAACTGCAATTTGCTTGGAGTTAAATTCATTGTACTTACAGAAAAACACCGATAAGAACTCGTTCTCTTCAAGAAGCTTGTCCAGCATTTTTCTGTTGACTTCTTCAATTTCGTTTTTGATTTCGAAGACATCTTGTGAGGTCAGCCAGGTTATAACTTTGTCGTGTTGATGCATATCGCCATCATATAGGACAGGCACTTGTTTCCTAGAGTTTGCAACAATTAATCCAAAGTTGTGGCTAAACTAGGGTTTATCAAAAACTAACCTGAAGTAAACCAGGGAAGGTATGTTGACAATTTCGTATTTCTTGGCTGCTTCGATGCTGGCAATCTTAACAAAGTCAATGCCAAACATATCCGCCTCGCCGTCGATCTCCTCCAATTCCTCCAAAATCTCCTCGCACTCAGCACAGTCATCGTCATCTTAAGGAAAGCCTTGTGTTAATATTTTTATTAAAATTAAAAGTTTGCTGAGAACTTACAGAAGAACACAACCAAGAGGGTGGACTCGGCCATTAGACGATCCAGCATGCGCTCGTTGACCTCCTCGATTTCATCGGCCAACTCCCGGTTGTCGTCATCAATGAGCCATTCCAGAACCGACTGCTCATTTTGCAGATCGCCCTCGAAGAGTAAGGGATTTCCATTGCTGAGGGCCAAGTTATTGGGTCATCTATTACTTAATTACTACTCCATATATTTACCGGAAGTAAACCAAGGCCGGGAAGGTCTTAATCGAATAACGTTTGGCCAGCTGAGGATCTTGGATCTTGACCATGTGAATGCCGAACACATCGCACTCATCATCAATCAGCTCCAGACCCTCTAATATCTGGTCGCAGATGTTGCAGTTGATTTTGTCTGGCAAAAGAAAACGACTTGGTTAGTAACTGAATTAAGAAGACTCAGTATTTGAAATTTTGTGGCAAGCTTGAGAGTGGGTTAGCAATTGTGTGAGAGGCAAAGAAAACGACGTAAATAAGGTATTCGCGTCCAAACTAAATTTCCGTGAGTTGTCAAATACCTTAAATCGATCAGTTCCTGAACTCGGTGCCGAAAGAGACATTTTTAAACATTTTAAAATACAATTTAGTTTGGTCGTAATACGGGGAAAGCCTGGTTAAGAGCTGTCAAGAATCGATTCTGGACATGGAACAGAGCTCCTACAAGTGGTTAGACGTGGTTAGGACTCAATCGAACATGCGCCGTCGATGGTGTGCACACGGAATACGGAATACGAATACCTTGTTTTTCGATACGTTTTCTTTTACGTGAAATGTAGCTTTGTACGAATTGACTGGATGAGTGTTTTGTGGATTTGGTGGTAGTCAGGTTGCTTTCTATTAGACTAGAGGGGGAGCAGAAACTGCGACAGAAAGCGGGTTGCTTTCCCTTGCGCTCTGGCGGCACTGAGGATGGTTGTTGGTTCGTTCGGTTTCGGTTTCGGTTCAGGGTTTTCAGTCAGGGACAAGTTTTTGTGGATTGTGTTCGATGGAGTGTTGGGGTCAGGGATACAGATATAATAATTCAGAATGTGTGAGATCATAAGCAGATGCTGCTGGAAGACAGTTGACAGATCAAGCTACTCACAGAAGTACACGGCCAGGTACTGGGTCTCCTCCACCATGGTCTCGAGCATTTGGCGGGTAATAAGCTCGATGCGATCCTCGGTCTTCTGTGTGATCAGCCATTGGAGCACCTCCTCCTCCTCACTGAGTTCGCCTAATCAAAAAATCGATTACTAAGACTAAGAGTGACTGGCAGGGAATCAGCTATATACCCTCAAAAACATTGGGTATTCCTCCCTCGAAGTAGACCAGTGCCGGGTACTCGTGTACGCCATAGCCATCGGCCACGGAAAAGTCTCTGGTCTTCACAAAGGTTATGCCATGCTTATCGCAATCGTCGTCAATGTTCTCCAGCTCCTCCAGGACCTTGGTGCACTGCTCACAGCCGTCCGCATCTGGCAGTCAAAGTGGGATGACACACATTACTCAACACACACACTACACACGGAGCACTGTGATATACAGGGTACTACGGCAAGCACTAAACGTTTATATGTAAGGCACATTAACAGCGAGAGTTGACATTGACGGGGATATGGCAGATTGTGCAGCTAAAGTAGAGTACATAATACATAATCCTGACTCTACCGCATGCTTTGGTCCTTGATTACTGGACGATCAAGCAGTGGAGTCAGTAGAGATGCTGATGGTGCGTGGACACAACAAGAAACATAAAGCACAGAAACGAGCATAGGGGGGACGACTGAAAGAGCAAAGTGAATAGAGAGTCTAGAGAAGGTTTCGGGAATCACAGAAAGACAGAGAAAGACCAGAGAAACAATGAGATAGAGGGGGAGACTGGACTTCACTACGCCGGATCACTAATGGAGGTTTATACATTCACTTTACAAGGCGGATGTGGATGCGAGGTGTTTTTCTGGTGGTGCTAGGTTATGTGGTAAAACATTCTTGGACTCATTCCAGTTGCACGACTTCTACTCGGTAAGATGATGCACTACCATCTTCTTGCTTCCCAGCCGACGCGTCCGGTGGTGCAGCTGCGCCCGCAGTCGCAGACGGTGCATCTGGCGAGGACGCTGGCGACCCATCCGCCCCACCAGCAGCCGCCTCGGAAGGATCGGTCTCACTGCCAAAGGCAGCAGCGGCGCTGGCGGCTCCACCCTCCTGCTGGTGCTGGTCGCGCTCCTTTTTCAGACGCGCCTTGCGCGCCGCTTTGGAATTGCAAATGTCGCACTTTGTCTTGTTCCCTACGTTTTGGGGTACCGTATCGGTTTTGTGTGGTTCGGTTTGATAGTTCAGAGAGCGCAGTCGTAAATAGAAATATAAACAAAGTCTTTTTGGGTTAGATACACAGAGCTTATAAGCCTAAAATAGCTTAAGACCTAAATGGTTAACTACGATTACACAGAGTTCGCTGCAAACTGTTTGCGCAAAAGCGTGATGGTCAAATCCACAAAGTACTTTTTAGACAAATGAGACAGAGGGTTAGGGACTTTCGCGATTGGATGTTTTCTTCCTTAAAGGAAGTACACTAAATGTGCTACAAATATAGAACATCGATCGGTCGGACGTTGTACTTTGTGCGAATTGAGATCACCAAACCGATTGCAGCTCCTAATACCTCTTCGTATGCCTCATAGGTAAAGAGTATTCGCCAGCAGAGACTGCCACCTTTGATGAAAACTTACAGAAATACACGGCGATGGAGCCAGACTCTTCAATTAGCTGAACGAGTCGTTCGCCCTCGAGATCTTCGATAACATCTCCACTTGGGTCCTTTTGCGTGATTAACCAAGTGAGGATCTGTTCTTCTTCGTAAAGATCACCTGGAAGGAGAGGCAAAGGTTTTTCCTGGGAGCAAACCATCTGGCAAGGAACATCCTACCGGCATATATAACTGGCTCCTTGGATGTGGGCTTGAAGAAAACTATGGCTGGCAGGGCAAAGACTCCGTATTCCTTGGCCATTTGCTTGTCGTCGATCTTGACAAAGTCGATGCCCGCCTTGTCAGCCTCATCGTCTATGTGCTCCACTTCGGCCAGGACGCGAGGACACTGCTTGCACTCGTCGCTGTCTGAGGGTTCAGTCAATGGTAAGCCTGGCTTATGTCTAAGATCAAGGGGAACTTACAGAAAATCACCGCCACGTAGTCGGAGTTCTTGCGGATCTTTTCAAACATCTTGCGGTTGACCTGCTCGATGTGATCGGTCATCTCCATGTTGGCAGGACTAGTCAGCCAGTCGAGCACCTCCTCCTCGTCATCGATATCGCCGTCGTAGTTGATGTACTTTCCCTTGCGGAAATAGGTCAGACCCGGGGGGTTCCTGTAGCCGTACTTCTTGGCCATTAGCTTGTCGTGCATTTTCACTATGTGAATGCCATATTCGGCGGCTTCGTCGTCGATCAGTTCGATGTGTCGGAGCACTCGCGGTGAGTCGGGATCGTCTTCCTTGTCTAAAATAAAGCGAGAGTCGAGGCATTAGAGCGGACCAACAAGAAGTTTTCAAGTTTTCTTATGGACTATTGATTGAATTTTGCTTGTGTTGTTGGACGGCAGTTACAGTTTTTAGTGGGCGCCATTAAAGACTACTTAGTTTATGAAATATTTCCTGGATATCGTAATAACCTGTACCTTAAGCACGTCCCGGGCGCCCATTATACTTACAAAACATAACCGCTAAAAAGTCTTTGGTGCCTATAAACTCAAAGAGCTGCTCCCGATCAATTAGCTGTATGCTTTGGTCGGCCTTCTGCTCCAGAATCCAGTTGAAGACGTCCTGATTGCTGGCAATGTTGCCTATATGCGATATAGATGAAATTAGTTTGTTAGATTTGTTTTAACAGAAATAATCCCTTGTTTCGTGTTATCCAATTTATGGCACATACCTGTTGGCTGCAGTTTGTCAATCAATCATCAGCGTATAAATATTGCTTTGTTTTTGCTGCTTCTTTCATACAAATATAAATATTGAAAGTTGGAAATAGGCCAAAACCCACCAGGCCATAATTATTAGCCCATGACTCACCGTAAGCATTTGTTTAAATTTGTTCAAAAACATATGTATAGTGGTCATAATATATCTTCAGGAAATATATATAATATACAGTGTTTTTTTTAATGTTTGAAATTATTTGAAATTGGCTTTTGGCTGACTTTTTTGCTAGAAATAAGAGAACCTGATTGATTTGGATGGTTTTTATTTCATGTTCTTACAATTTTATAGTGAAGTTTGGTTTTACAAAAAAGTGCTTGTGCTTTTGCTTTGATTTGCATTCGATTCTTACAGTTTCGACAATTTTCCATTTGAAAATTGGCTTGATAAAAATACATTCGCTTGTTCTTGACTTAACAGCTGCTGTTCAACAAAAATTGTTTACATAAAATTGGATTTAGTTACAATTGCGTGTAGAGTGGTAGACTATATAGCTTAAGAAAACATAGGCGATAATAGAGATATATAATTCGGTACTGGTTTATACCGATAACAAAAACAACAGCGAGCGGCACGGGTATCGCTCTCAGAAGAAAACAAATGAAACATAATGGCAGGCTACATAGAATGCGAGGCCATTGTTCAGCGAGAAATGGACTTTCGTTTCCATAAATTTTCAACAAAATTAAGTGTGCGCTGCAGCAGCACCTTTGACAACAAGCTTATATTACAAAATATATGTATATTGACTATGGCTGCTCTGTACGAGGTTATTAAGAAAATAGTTGACAGCTCTCGTCTCGAGTGTAAATTGTTTCAAAAAATATTTTTCCGTGTGTGTTCGGTCGTTTGACTTGGTTGCTTTGACTCTTGTTAAAATTAGACTTACGACGTAAATGTATATTGTATATTGTGACAAAAAGAAGTAGTATCAAAAAGGCTGAAGCTGTTGTTATTGACAATAGACAATTTTCGATTGATTGTTAATAACAAAGATTTTCTGGATAAATATACAAGTGAAAGTTCTCAGAAGTTTTTATAGTTTTTTGTTGTTGTTGAAGTAATTGCTTTTAGTTTGAACAAAGTTTGTTGAAATCCGTTGACAAAATGCAACAAATGTGTGTATTTAGTTTAGTTATAGATCTGGGGTCGGCTTCGAGAAGCAGCCTTCCCCCTTTGAAAATAGTTTAAGCGAAAATATCAACGAAATTTTAGTTAGTAAGTTTCTCTATTCCATCGTTCATTATCAAATATCTTGAGTTGCTCGTCGGGACTCTCTGCTTTTCAACGTGGAACAGCGAGCTAAGAAAGGTGTGTGTGTACGTGTGTGTGTGGACAGTGTGTGATCTGATCAGGCACCGAGGATGTATATTGAATATATTCGATATTGTAGTAGCGCCCAGCCCCCGCTCCCCGGCCAAGTATACTCTTCAAGGTTAGTGGGGGAAGGACCTAGACACAGCCATACGGTTGGTTTGGTTTTCTTGGTTGTCTTTTGCAGTCACACAGAGATGTACATTTAGTTATAGAAACCTGTCATTGAAGGTTCTTGTGGTGGCTATACAGGTTTGGGTTGCTTTTGGTAGTTGGTATTTGGTATTCTGATATTCTGATATTTTGATATTTGGTCTATCGGTTGACAACGTGCTACTTAGTATGGCATATCATTCAATCATACAATCACCATTTAACTGTCTGTGCTTTTCCACACATTCAGTTAAATTGTTGCCTTACTCCCACAGAGAGATATCCTGAAAAATGAGGTCATACAAATTTTTTAGTCGATTTTGGAAAAAATTAACGCCTGCAAGACACAAAAAGAGAGAGAAAAGAGAAGAGAAATAAACAAATAAGGTAATGACCAATTTGTGCGTGTGTCTGTACGTGTCTGAGTATGGGCACAACAACAGCAAAAATGAGCAGTTACAGGACAGGTGAGTCTGACTGGAAATGATCTGTGTCTTGGCTTGTTTCTACTACGACTAGCTGAGACTACGGGGTCTAGTCCGATGGTCCGGGGCGACTACGTACCGGTCTTGACATTCAGCTTTCCGGACTTCTTTGACGACTTCTGCTTGGACACCTTCTCCTCCTGGGACTCATCGTCATCGTTGGCCACTGGTTTCTTGCCAGCCTGCGGTTTGTTGCTGCCTCCGGAGCGCTTGTTGGCGTAGGACACCTTGACCAGGGGCTTGTCATCGTCGTCATCCTCATCATCATCATCATCGTCGTCGTTGTCCTTGGCGGCCTTGGAGGGCTTTGAGGCCTTGGCTGCCGGCTTCTTGGTCTGAACTGGCTGCTTGTTGGCCGACTTGCCTGCCGGAGTTGAGGAGGCGGAGCTGGCGAACTGGAAGTTGCCACCGCTGCCCACCGAACGCTTGCCCTGATCGCCTTCGCTGTGTCCGATCCGCTGGGCCGTCATCTTAGGAACTTTCGTTGACTTCTCCAATTTGGTTGGACAGCATTGGAATGGTTTGTAATCGTTGGGCACGTAATTATTGCCGCGCTTAGCTGAATGGCCGTCATGGCCCAATCCAACATAGAAACATTCGTCATCTGTGTGTGAGCAAACAAACAAAAACATTTTGTCAGATTGTTTAGTTTTAAAGAATTTTTTGTATTATTTTTCGGTTTACTATCAACAGAAGGTTCGTTACGATAAGTTATCAAAAAACGTTCAAACAAGAGTGCATCGTTGTAGGCGAGAGAACTAAGAATAAAAGTCGTTAACTGGCTTTCAGTACTTTTCTTCAACAACTCCGACATAGCCACAGAGAGAAGGAAAGAGAGCAGTTAGTACGATTTCCGGTTCAATTTCGATTTCGATTTCGATTTCAATTGTTTTCAGACTCGAAAGATTCTTTGTTCTAAAGTAAAAAGCGTGCTTTATGAATGGAAGATACTTGAATTTGTTTGAGTATAATTTGTAAAACAGATCTATATTAAAACTAATAACTGACAAAATGCTTTTGATGCTGCTGACTGTACAAGTACAAGTTTCGGATTGATTCTAGTTCATACATTAACATATTCAATATCGGAGTTAGGCCCACGGAGCAGTATGTGAAGCCCTCGCGGTTCACTGGATCAAATTTTCGCTTCGTTTCGTATATTGTTTATATGCTTAAATATTTTCTAAGGCACAGCAGGATCGTTATTAATTAATATAATTAAACAAACATACGGATTACTTAAAGATAAAATGTAAATCAAACAAAATAGGTATTAACACATTTTCCATTGTCATTTGTCAGAACAGTTACGTTTTCCAAAATAAAAAAAGGACTCGTATATGTAATTTTGGCCTTGTTCAAATAATTTCAAACATTGTGTCAGCTATGGTTTTAGTTTTTTTTTTTTTTTTTTTTTTTTTTTTCTCAACTTTTCCCTCAGATGTACCATCGGTTTTAACACTTAGCCACTAAATTGGTTAGCGCTTGGGGATTGGGTTCAAACATTCCTCGGGATCAAAACACAGAAGACATAGGCTGGGGTTATTAATATGTATGTGTATATATATGACTTGAGTTTATCTCTGATTGAGTGTCTTCCGCACATGAGATTTGCTTTAGCACAGAAGCCATAAGCCCGGCACACATGGGCACAATGAAATCAGAAGAAGGCTTGGTGGTTGTTACCTTGATTAAATGCATTTCTATTTGAATTCCTGTTCCCCAAGTCTGTAGATAGACAATAGCATGAACTGTAGTCGAAATAAGGAAAGTGTTTTTGGGGCATTTCATTGAGCAAGGTGGGGCGGGAGTGTGGGATTGGACCAACATGGAACAACTTCAGTTAATGCTGCGAGAGCAACTCACATTCAGGAATTACCTATTTCGTCTATTAGCCGACCCGAGCAAAGGTCAGCAAGGCGATGTATCGTTCGCCCCTTGGCAGTATGCCTATATTTTGGTTTACTTTTAAGATCCATTTCCTCGTCGTCGTCGTCGTCATCGTTATCGTCGTTGTCTTCGTCGTCGTCGTCATCCTTATCGTCGTTTTCATCCCCATTTGTATCTTCGTCATCCTCATCCTCATCATCTTCATTATCATTATCTTTATCCTTTTCATCTTCATCTTCATCATCCTCATCTTTATCCTCATCTCCATCCTCTCCATCCTCTTCATCCTCTTCGTCTTCATCCTCCTCATCTTCATTATCTTCTTCATCCTTCTCATCCCCATTTGCATCTTCGTCGTCGTCTTCATCATTCTCCTCATCTTCATCGTCGTCTTCATTATCTTCTCCATCCTTGTCATTTTCATCTTCATTATCCTCATCTTCATCTTCGTCATCATTATTTGTCTCTTCATCATCTTCATCTTCTTCATCATCTTCATCATCTTTCGCATCTTCATCATCCTCATCCTCATCTTCATCATCATCTTCCTCATCATTTTCATCATCCCCATTTTCCTCATCCTCATCCTCTTCTTCATCATCCCCATTTTCCTCATCCTCATCCTCTTCTTCATCATCCCCATTTTCCTCGTCCTCATTTTCTTCATCTTCCTCCTCATCATCATCATCACCTCCATTCTCGTCTTCATCCTCGTCTTCATCTTCGTCTTCATCCTCGTCTTCTTCATCGTCATCTATTGCTCTACCGCCCTCATCCTCCTCATCCTCATCATCTCCTCCATCCTCCCCCTCTTCGTCATCTTCCTCCTCATCCCCGTCATCGTCAGATACCCGTCTCTTTGCTCGTAGTCTTTCTTTGCGAATCGTATTCTGCAGGCGCTTTAATCTTTCCCTCTTATCCTCATCGCTTTCTTTGGGATATCGCATTTTAACAATCTTTTCATCACTTGCACCGTCATCGTTGCCTATATCGAAAATTTTCATTACGTTCGGTTTTATATATATTGGGCAATATAATCGGGTGTATGATAATTGGATGTATCAATTCGGTGGGATTTCTGGAACCGCTTTTTCGCGGCTCAACTGATTTTGCTTCGAGAGTTTGGCTTATGAGCGTGAGTTAGAAAGCAGAGGAAACATTTTAAACAAAACGGCTTACTCTTTTGATTGATTAACCACTGCAGCACACGGTTTTCATTTTTGAGATTACCTGGGAAAGAGAAAAAACCAATTAAGAGGGGCTCAAAGCACATATATGGTATCCTTGATGATTACTTACCATCATACATGATCGGGACGCCGGTCTCGTAGTAGACCAAAGCTGGGAATGCGAAAATGCCGATCTCATGTGCCAACTTAACGTCATTCGATTTCACAAACTGAATGCCGTGCTTATCGGTGTCGTCATCGATGTTCTCCAGCTCTTCCAAGATGTCCGAGCAGGATTCGCATTCATCGTCGTCTGGGCAAAGAGAAAATGCATTGTTATTAAAGCCCTTCTGTTGGTATCTTGGGTTCTTACAGAAGAACACAGCCAGGTGTTCAACATCGTTTATCAGAACTTGCAGGGTCTTGCGATCGACAGACTCAATGACATCGGCAGTAGACTCGTGCAAGTCAATAACCCACTCAAGAATTTCCTCCTCCTTCATCAGGTCACCTTAAAAAGATTAAGATCAATATATTTGTAAAGCTTTCTAAACACTAAGATCAAAGAAAGATCTCTTCCTATTAGGATACAATTTATTCAAATCAAATTTATTCAAATACGTTTCTAGTATTTGAATTGTAATCACTGTTCGAGATTACCACATCCTTATTCTAGGACACTTACCGGTGTAAATTGTTCTAAACTTATGTCTATAAAATGCAAGTGCCGGCAGACCGGGCAGATCGTATTCCTTATCAATATCATCGTCGGATGTCTTTACAAAGTCAATGTCTTTTTCCTCGCACTCGTCGTCAATGTTCTCCAGCTCGTTCAGGATCTTCTGGGCCTTCTTATCGCCTTCGGCATCTGTAAACGCAGAGGATTTATGGATTAGATCCTCCAAATACATTAACTTATTAATTTTCTTACAGAAGAACACGACAACGTGATCGTTCTCAGCCAAAATTTTATCCAACATCTTCACATTGACCTCCTCGATTTTTCCGGGAATCTCAAGGGTCTCATCGTCCGTGATCCAGGCCAGCACTTCATCCTCATCGTCCAGGTCTCCGGTGAAATGCAGTGGGTCACGGTTACGGAAGAACACCAGGCGTGGATAAGTCTTGACATTGTATTTCTTGGCAACTCCGGTATCCTCAGTGGTAACAAAAATGATGCCAGCCTCGTCCAACTCGTCGTCGATGCTTTCCAAAGCATTCAGAGTGTGGTCGCAGGTCTCGCCAGGCTCGCAGGGACCCGTGAAGAAGACCACCACATATTCGTGCTCGTTGATCAGATTGACCAGGATTTCATCGGTGACCTCCTCAATGGTGGCCGTTTTCTTCTGCACCAGCAGCCACTCGAGGACCTCATCCTCATTCATAAGATCACCCTCGTAGAGAGCCGGGATCTTGTTCTCGAAGTAGATGAGAGCGGGCAAGTGGTCGAGACCGTACTCCTTGGCCTCGGCGGCGTTGTCAATGCGCACGATGACGATGCCCTCCTTCTCCAGCTCATCGTCAATGTTTTCCAGTTCGTTCAGGATGCGCATGTCCTGCTTGTCGTCCTTGTCGTCTGTAGGTGAAAGAGAACATTATTGGCTGCCCGATATATGCGGTATTGAGGTTACTTACAAAATATAACCGCCAAGTGCTCGGTGTTCTCGACCAACTTGTCCTTCATCTCATCGGTGACTTCGGGAATTTCGGAGTAGCGCTTCTGATGCACCAGCCAGCCAAGCAGCTCGTCCTCTTTCATCAGATCACCCTCGTAGATGTGTGGAATGCCACGTTCAAAGAGTACAATCGAGGGTATCTCATCGATGCCCCATTCTTTGGCCTCCTTGTCATCATCGATCTTGACAAAAGCAATATCGTTCTGATCGCACTCATCGTCAATGTTTTCCAATTCTGCGAGGATTTTCTGTGATTTCTTTTGGTCTTTGTCGTCTGCGAAGGTGATTTATGGGAGTTAGTATACAAATTGTGGCTCAAATCGGAAGCTAACGAGAAATAATGAATAAACAAACTGAGGTTTTGCTCAACTTGTAACTTGGAACATACGAAGGACTACTTTTTGAAAGGTCAAGCTATTCTTGGCTTAAAAAAATATATTAAAAAAAAAATATATAAATAGAATGATCTACTAATTCAGGGTTTAGTTCCAGTTAATTAGTTTTTAAAGCGCTTTCGAAAATTATTACTGATAAAGCACACTGAAAAGTCGGCAGATTGTTACATTTACGAAAGCAGACACTCAGACACACCCAGAGATACAACACCAAGTTGGCTTTACAATATCTACAGAGATTGGGAGTCGAGTGCGCAGCGTTCCCGGCACAAAGTCATGGTGTGGGATCTGAAATCACTTACAGAACAGAACAGCTACGTGGGGCATTTTCTCAATGATCAAATCCAACATTTCGTCGGTAATGTCCTCGATTTGATCGGAACTCGTTTGCTCTGTAAGCCATTTCAGGAGCTTCTCCTCATCCTCCAGATTGCCTTCGTAAATAGTTGGAATGCCTTTTTCAAAGTATATCAGTTTAGGAACTTTATTGATGCCATATTCGACGGCCTCCTCGGGATTGTCGATCTTCACGAAAGTAATACCCAACGCGTCGCACTCGTCGTCAATATTCTCGAGCTCTTCGAGGACTTTCTGGGACTTCTTGTCGTTGTTGTCGTCTGGAAAACAGCTTGTGAGCAAAATGGTGGCGACTGCTTAGGCTCTATGGGTATATGTATGGAATATTTACAGAACAGCACTGCAATGACGCGTCCCTCTTTGATCATTGTATCGAGCATTTCGTCAGTGACATCCTCGATCTCATCCCGTTCCAACTGGCCCAACAACCATTTCAGAATCTGTTCCTCGTCCATGAGATCGCCGTCGTACACGTTTGGAATTTCTTTTTCAAAGTAAACAATTGCCGGAATCTGCAGGGCGAATAATATGCGTCAAAAGGCGATTCAATTGTGGTCATTCTGTAGCCGAATCGTACCGAATCGATTCCGTAATCGCCTGCTGCCTTGGCATCGTCAATTTTTACAAACTGAATGCCATGCTTGTCGCAGTCGTCGTCGATTTGCTCTAGCTCCTCCAACACGGTCATCGAATCGTCGTTTCCATGATCATCTGCAGATTGATAGCATTCGGTTATTGTATCACGGCGTACACTCCGCCGACAAATAATCCTTTTACATACAGAAAAGCACAACCAGGTTGTCGATATTGCTGATCAGCGTCGACAGCGTCTTGGAGGTGACGTCCTCAATCACGTCATCCTCATCCCCAGTCGACTTATTCTGCACCAACCACTCCAATACGTCCTCCTCACGCTGGAGTTCACCTAGAGACACAATTCCGATATTAGCTAATTGAATATCGACCTCTGCATGCGATTGATGGATGCTGTTGGTCTGTCTGAGTTTGAGTTTGAATTTGTGGTCTGGCAGTGGTGGTTCTGAGTTAAATGGGGTGTGCAATGGCAGTACCTTCGTATATGATCGGAGTCTGATGACGGTAGTAGACCAGCGCTGGCAGATTGCCCAGATTGTATTCGTCGGCCAAGGCCTCGTCGTGTATTTTCACAAATCCGATGCCAAGCTGATCGGCCTCGTCGTCTATATTCTCCAGCTCCTGCAAGGCCTTCGCGCACTTGCGGCATTGCTGTTTATCTGGCGATCGGTGGATAGATTCAGGCAAACAATATATCATTAGGGACGGCTGACAACAGGGGGAAAACCGCACGGAGGACGGAGGAGCATCATAGTACAGGACAGGGGGTTTGGTGCCACGGATAGGTAGAGCATTCACGGATTACGTTACGTGCGGCTGTAAGTTGCGGGGTTAATACAGGAGTCATCATAGACGGAGGCAAGTGCATGCAAGGGCCATGGAATGCCATACGGCTGCAGTGTTACCCAATCGGTTGGTACCCAGGCGATTCGCTTATTTACACAATTTTTTGTTTACAGCATCCCCAGCTGTCTGCGTGCAACCAACCTGTTGCATTGCGGCAGGCACGCTCTCAGACGAGGCGCCCTGAAAAGTGGTGAAACAGAGATCGGTAGAATATATTCCCAAAAAAAAGCTCTCTCCTTCCTTTCACCCATTCTCCTATCTTATTTTCAATTATTTATCTCTTTCGCTTGCCACACACGTAAATGTGTCTTTCGAAAGCTTCCCTGGCGACGCTGCGTATACGTAATATGTGTTTCTGTTGATTTGTAGGTGAACTTGTAAGTCTTTCGATGGCAAAGTTTTTGGCCGCCTATCACAACACTCTAGCTGAGGGAAGGGGAAGGTGCAGTAAGCCAGTGTTACTCCTCAAAGAAGGAATTATCTTTAAAATTCTGTCTAGAATTTTTGTAATTTTTTCAGCCTCGATTCCCATCTTTCTTTTCTGGCCCCCCGTCGAGTGGGAGTCGCCAAGGCGACAAGGCCAAAGCACACATTCGCTAGCACACATTTGCCTCATAATTTACTGCAGATATATATTTTTTTATATATAGAAAATGTAGAGAATTAAACACGATTATGGTGCTTCGACTCTTCTTCTGACAGCCTGTCCGAATTTTGGCTCTGCGGCAGACATGGGCAAATGTTGCATTTAACTAAAAATAGTGCAAGTCAGTCGGGAAAGTGCATTGCACATATATAATTATATAGTTGTACCGTTATACAGCTGCAGTGGGAAGTGTGTGTGTACCATACACATTATGTAAATTTGCATTGGCCGCGACAACTAAAGAGCTGCCCATAACCAAGCATCGCCGACTAGCACTGGGCGTGGCCGTGCATGTGCCGTGTTGACGAATTGCCATATGCAAAAGCAATTAAAAGTGCTGTCTGTCCTCCCTCAGCCCCCGCAGCTCCCTTCGTTGGCGCTGAATGGACAGAAACTCAATCGAACTCGGATGGACAGAGGCTGAGGCGGAGAACCGGGGGGCGAGAGCGAGACAATGGGCCAAAATTTCTTGTCCTGTCTCACCTACATGCTGTTCGGATCTATGCATAAAAGAGCTTGTATGCCGCCGTCTGCGTCTGATAAAAATACCTATGTGTAGATAATACAGATACTCGGATACTACAGATACTCGGATACGATATTCATCTGTGTTCTCGCTGGCATGTGGATGCCCACTCTATAGTTAGTTGTTTCAGAATTAAGCAAAAATAACAGCAGCAGCGGCCAGAGAGGCAAATAAATTATTTTGTTGGCCGACCAACTGCTTGAGTTTCTATTTTTATCGCCAAAATTGTAGGTGGCTGTGTCGGAAAGAGACGGCAGACAGCAAATAAATAAATAAATAAATCCTCTACACTTTGTTGTTGGCCAAGACATCGGCGTATGTGTTGTCATAGGTATATATGTATGTATGTATATAAAAACGCACTGATTCTGCGATTCGATTTATTTCGGCATTCGATTTATGACTTTCAATATAGGTAAATTCCTTTCATTGTTCCTCCCACTCGTCCAATCATCAGAGTTTTCAAATCTCCTCAGATACCATTTTTCCCATACAAAATTAATATTTCTTGCATTCATTCACTGACCTTAGCTTGGACCTCTTTAAAATCATAATGTTGGGGTCATGACTTCTGGTAATATTGAGGAGGAGATGCCATGGGGACAAAAACATAACCTGGCGCCGAGCCCAGACATTCATCTGCACTGCCTCTGCTGCTGTAATGTTTATTATTATACTTATACGTAATATATGTGTCTGGCTCGGTCGATGTGAATGTGAATGCGAAATGAGAATTGTTGTCTTTCTAACTAAAATTACTAAGAATTACTATGTAAAGATTACATTTCTATACCCTTCCCAGGATAGCAACTTCCAGAATTAAGAAAATCCACCTTTAACTTCTATATTATTGCACTAAAATTCGCCCGATTGGTTCCATTAATTATAGTTATAGGGGTTATGTAGCCAAATATATACACATATATTTCGAGTCTTGGTTTGTGGATTACTGGAATCGGGAGAATTGCATTAAAATGGGGGGATAAAACGATGTGAATAAATTATTTTGTGGGGGAAACAGAGTTTCAAAGTGGGGGAATTAGATGGAGAAGGCAGAACAGAAAAGGTCCCGGTATTCATTCACGGAAAACTTACCCATAACCCTGGGCGGGCATGTTTCATGATCTGGACCTGTAGTCGTTCAATAAAATATACAATTCATTGATAAATGTCGCGTATGTAAATTGGCTTAGAAGGGGGGACAAATACCGCCGGAAGAGAATTGTTTATATAGAGACACATAGAAAGTTAAGTTGGCCGCCATTTCGCTTTGGTTAGTCACAAGTAATATACGTATATATAGAGAGAGATACAGACATACGCATAAGTACTAGATTTACAGAATATACAGTATAGGTAAATATGGTTGTAGTCTATACCTAGTTGTATGATTTTTAGTCACAAGAGAGCTAAACTGTTTGTGTTCGCTAAAAACTGCAACTGCTTTAAAATAGAACATCATCATGTCAAATCACCGCCAATAGACGTGATGGGAGTGGTGAAATTTTTAAGAATTCAGTGTGCTTAAGCCAAGTTCGGGCAGACTTACAGAACAGGACGGCTACAAAGTCGGTATCCTCGATGATCTTCTGCAATATCTTGGCATTGACCTCCTCGATGCGATCGGGCAGATCCATGGCCTCCAGAGAGGTGAGGAAGTCGAGCACTCCCTCCTCGTCCATGAGGTCGCCATCGTAGATGATGGGCTCCTTCTCCCTGAGATTGGGTCGGTTAGGTCTTGTCACAGCGAAATCGAGGGGGACTACCTACCTGAAGTAGGTGAGGGCTGGGAAATTCTTGATGCCATACTGTTTGGCTAGTCGTTTGTCGTTGATCTTCACAAAGTCCACACCGAAGGAGTCGGTGTCATCGTCGATTTTCTCGAGTTCCGCTAGAACCTTATCACAGGTCACACAGCTGCGCGCATCTGAAATCGTAGAAGCATGGGCTTGTGAGTGTTTTGGATACGCGATCAGATCGAATTGAGATACCAACATCAATTGACAGCCAGCAACTGCTGCGGCTGAGTCAAAATTCACATTCAAATCCAAATTCAAACCCCTGGTTCTGCAGAACCGAATGCCCAACAGATTATTCATTAATATAGTAGACGCAGGATGGCTCATCGGCCTGCCCAGAGCGAAATAAGGCTGAATAAATGAATGAAATGACAGCCAAGCCAGAGCAATTCGCTGCTATTAATGCAGCAGCAACTGCCAACAAATATACTACAAATTCTAAATTAATTCATAAAATTCATGCGGCCACTATTAGGGAAATGAATTGCGCCAGACAAAAAGCCAGTGCTCGCCCCGGTCTCCCCAAGCGCCTTCTTGTTAATTATTTTCGGTGGTTAACAGCCAGGAAATCCTAATAAACATTGATCCATAATTTATTTGGCTATCCATTTGAGGTGGATTTCTCTGATTGAAAAGTTATAACAAGCTCGCTGGTCTATTTACAAACTCTAAGTATCCGCCAGATACATGAAACAGATGCAGAAGCTAAATGGTTTGCTAACTGCTGCAGGAAACATCAACAGAATTTAAAAATACAGTTTACTTTTTATATTTTTGGACATATATCTAATTTTTTCAAAGTCTCACCTATTATTTTTCTTTATGTATTTGTCCGAGGCATTGGACTTAAGGCTTTTGGATTAATAATATTTTCATTGTCAATAATTATTTTTGGAATTGCCGCCAATGTTAATGAAATATACATAGTCGCATTGGGGCCTACTTAAAACAACGTATATAGGGGAATATGTTGTCGTTTATATTAACTTCAGCGAAGGCAAAATCGGCTTAAGTTCAAGGTAATTAAAGAAAATATACACATCCATTAGCGATAAGCAATTTGTTTATACGACTTTTTCGATGAATAATTCAGCGGAAGGCACTGGGGAACCATTTTATTTTTGACCCAAAAATAGATCACCACGATCGGCTTATATGTATGTATATGTGCTATGGCACACATACATATATCTGCGAGTGTTTTGAAACAAATTAAAAAGGTCAGTAAATCGGTTGCCAACTGGAAGGGAAGAAGTGCCTGCTACTTTCTGTGCCAAAAGTTTGCGCCAAAAAGCGAGAAACCAAAAGATATATAAAAAGCTGCAGCGGATTCGGAGGCGACGACGACGGTCGGCGGACAAAAGAGCAAAAGAGATTTCTCTACTCATAAACAGAACGCAAAGATTGCGCACCATCGAAAAATATATATCTGAGAGAAATATAAAGAGAGAAAAAAAAAAAATATAAAAAAATTAACCAAATGAAAATCTCGGACGGATTTCGAGCAACGAATTTTTCACATATTTTCATTTGTATGGGAATTTTTAGAATTTTCACTAGCGAAAATTTATATAATATGGCTTCTGATTCTGTTACTATTTCGAGTCGGTTGCCGGGACCGCTCGTTACTTGCTCCACTCAGGCACACACATAGGTGGGGGCACTCGCACATGCACTCAGATTCTATAATTAAGCTGAACTTACACCAGAAAACCGCGACGTAATCCTTGTCGGCCAAGAGCTTCTCCAGCTGCTTGGCATTGACCTCCTCGATGACCGCCTCCGGCTCGAGCGGCGCCGCTGGCTGGGATCCTTTCTTGTTGTTGTTGTTGCTGTTGGCGCTGTTCACATATCCGGGAAAACTCAGTGCCAGCAGAGCACACACGAGCAGCGTCAGAGTCTTAAGGCGAGTGACAGTCATCTTTCGGTGGCACGCACTCGGGAGTCAGTAGGGTTCGCTACCTTCGTTTGGGGTCCTCGCTGCGGTTTAGGCCTTTAACTCGAACATGCGTGCGTGCGTGCGATATTGCGGCTATGGTACTATATAGTTGGTTCGCTCACGTCGTTTGGTTTGGTTTCGTTATTATTAAAATTGATATTCCTTTGAGAGTCGGCCACTATTTTTAGGTGATAATGGTATTTCTTTCTTTCGCAATTTATTTTATGTATAACAACTTTTGGTACACTGATACATACATACGGGGCTCGTATATATACAGGCGATATATATATAGGGTATATATGGGAAAATTATATATGTATTTTTCTTGCTTTCTATTAATTGAACGATTTCCGCGGACTGTACTCTTTGCCTTTCTGATTTTGTTCCACTCCGTGCAGAGGTCCGCTCGCAACTGAAAGTATTTTGGTGGAAATTCGGTGCCATTCAAGAGGCCTTGCCTTGCCCGAGCTTTAGGGATCTTTGCATCTTCGGATCTTCGTTTCGCTTTCGCAGCTTTCACCGCCCCTCGTCCGTCCCCCAGAAAAGCTTTCGGAATGCGGGAGAGAGCGCCGGAAGTCGCGATGCAAGGCAGTGGAAGGAGTGTGGTGAAAGTTTTTCCGGAGATTTTCATTGCAGTTCTCTGTTTATGCCATCGAGCAATAGGATGCTTGCTCAGTGGTCTTGCGAATGGTTTTATAAAAACAAATCCAAACAAAACATTTTCACAGCATAAATACGCTTGAGTAGCGACATTATTATTTCGATTTAAAAATGGCGGTGTAAAAATGCCGGGTTTACACCAATATAATAATTCATTTCCGATTTTTTATGATTTCTAAAAGTTGGTTTTTACTTCTTATAATTCCCTAAGCCATTTAACCGATTATAATTTCCAAAAATATAGAAGTTCGAGTGCTCTTGCACCAAGTTCCTCCAGAAATTATTCTTTTCTTAGCATTTAATATTCACTTTCAATTTTGACAGAATCTTGAGCTACACTATTGCGAAGCTCTATGACATTGCATACATATCTTGTTAAATTCTACTCCTTATATATTTAATTTATAATTATAATGGTTCATCATATATTTATTATTTTAAACAAAAAAGAAAGCTAACTTTGGCCAGCCAAAGTTTGTATACCCTTGCAGGTAACAATTAAAATATATCATAACTAAGCCAAAAATGCATTAATTTCGATTCGAAAAGCAGTTTTGTGTCAGTTTTTATTAGATTAAAAAAACTGCATACCAAATTTAAAATTTTAAGAAATCAAAATTTTTGGCCATTTTTGCTCATTTTAATGATGTAACCCCTTATCAAATTTCGCAAAAATGGCCAAAAAATCGATTTCTTCCGGACATGTCTAGAAAGATTCCCCTGTTGATGCTGATCAAGAATATATATGGTTTATGGGGCCGAAAATGATTCCTTGACTTAGAAAAATATTATTTTGTATTATAAAATCTAATTTTTATACCGTTGCAGGGTATTATAATTTCAGTCAGAAATTTGCAACTCAATTTTTTTCTGCATTTTAAAATTTTTTTCGAATTTTTTAAAATTTTTCTACATTTTTAAAATTTTTGTCTTCGTTTTTAAAATTTTTCTGAATTTTTTAATTTTTTTTTCTGAATTTTTAACATTTTTTTCAGATTTTTTTATTTTTAGAAGAGAATTTTTTGTTGAATTTTTAAATTTTTTTTAAATATTTTAACTGCCAAATTTGAATTTGAATTTAACTGTCAAATTTGAATTTGAATTTAACGTAGATCAGTTTCAGTGTGCCCAGGTGCATTTAAGCAACATTTTAGCCAAAAAATTTACAATATGGTCACATCTGGTTTGAGTCTTCGCTTACTCCAAGATCAATGGTTCGAAACTTGGACTTTTTATAACAGTTTATACCAGTTTACAGTCGCTTGCTGCTGATTTCTGTTCGCCTGGTACCCCAATTTGGGAAACGTGCAATTTGCATGGAAATTTTCGGAAATTTGGATGGGCTGCTGTAGGGATGTTGTTGTAAAAAGGTTGTTGTTGCCATAAGCTGTTGTTGTCGGCAACAAATAGGTATAAATGCATAAAATGAAATATAACAGTTTATACCAATTATTATTTTTGCCCAAATGTTTTTATAACAGTTAATACCAGTTTTCAGTTGCTTGCTGCTGGTTTCTGTTTGCCTGTTACCTCAGTTTGGAAAGCGGCCAATTTGAATGAAAAGTTTTGCTCACTTCCATCAGTGATGCTCACTTCCATCAGTGATGCTCACTTCCATCAGTGATGCTCACTTCCATCAGTGATGCTCACTTCCATCAGTGATGCTCACTTCCATCAGTGATGCTCACTTCCATCAGTGATGCTCATTTCCATCAGTGATGCTCATCTGCATCAGTGATGCTCATCTAGCTATATTGCAATATTGGGAGGCTATAAAATCGGGCTTAATGGCAGTGATGCTCATCTGGCTATATCGCAATATTGGGAGGCTATAAAATCAGACTTTGCATCAGTGATGCTCATGTAGCTATTTTGCAATATTGGGAGGCAATATATCAGGCTTAATGGCAGTGATGCTCATCTAGCTATATTTCTTTATTGGGACAAAATAGATAGGTGAGCATCACTGATGCAAAGTCAGTTTCAGTGTGCCCAGGTGCATTTAAGCAACATTTTAGCCAAAAAATTTACAATATGGTCACATCTGGTTTGAGTCTTCGCTTACTCCAAGATCAATGGTTCGAAGCTTGGACTTTTTATAACAGTTTATACCAGTTTTCAGTTGCTTGCTGCTGGTTTCTGTTCGCCTGTTACCCCAATTTGGGAAACGGGCAATTTGCATGAATATGTTCGGAAATTTGGATGGTCTGCTGTAGGGATGTTGTTGTGAAAAGGTTGTTGTTGCCATAAGCTGTTGTTGTCGGCAAAAAATAGGTATAAATGCATAAAATGAAATATAACAGTTTATACCAATTATTATTTTTGCCCAAAAGTTTTTATAACAGTTTATACCAGTTTTCAGTTGCTTGCTGCTGGTTTCTGTTCGCCTGTTACCCCAGTTTGGGAAGCGGCCAAATTGAATGGAAATTTATATACTTTATAGGGTCGGAAACGTCTCCTTCACTGCGTTGCAAACTTTTGACTGAAATTATAATACCCTGCAAGGGTATAAAAATCTATAAAAATACCTTAATAAAAGCTTACACAAATCGAATATGTTTAAAATTGAAAGCGTTTTCTTTATTTGTTTGCTCAAGTTATCTGAGAACGTTTACAAAGTACATGGAAATAGGACTTGGATACAATAATACAATAAATGCAAATAACCGGTACTTAACATGGACTAAAACTATATTTAAATTAAGCTTAAGGTATCTACATACGTCAGCTTGCACTTGGTTAAGGAGTCTGCCCTGGTCTAATTGTGGCGCATGTTTTGCATGTGTTGCTGTTGTTGCTGCTGTTGTTGCATGTGTTGCATGTACATTTGTTGCTGTTGCGGGTTTCCACCACCACTGCCCAAAGGAACGCTTGTAGTTTGCATTGCATTCACCTGTTGATGTTGCTGCTGCTGCTGCTGTTGTTGTTGTTGCAGTGGGGATTGGTTTTGACCTGATGCTGCATTGCTGTCGGCGCTAAAGGATAAGGTAAATGCTTAATGTTATTTCCTATTTTACCCACAAATTTCTTACATTTTTTCTGTGTGAATATCCTCCAAATTAAGATGTGTTATGAACCGAAGTCGCTTTTGCAACAGAGGACGCAGGCGCTTAATGATGGCCTCTGACTCGTTTTTGATAATATTACCCACGTGAATGTACTTGATGTGATAGCTTTAAAGGGTTAAACAGGTTAAGAAGGCCTGAATTTTAAGCTTTTTCCATTTACTTACAGAAAATCACATATCTGGTCCATGTAAATCAGTGGCTTTGGTCCATGATTCTTGTCCACGATCTCCAGAATCTCGTAAAGCAAGACAGCTATGCCGGCCACTGCGTTCGGTTTCTCCAATTCAATCCGCTGAAGGAAAGGCCCAAACACGTGACACAGATACAACAGCTGCTGCTCGGTGCGCACGCAGGGCTTTAGCTTCTCCTTGAGGTATCTGGTCATTGCTGCCAGCTTAAATGCGCCCATGTGATGGAACACCGAGTGAGCCACGGCCAGGACAGCGGCATAGCTCTTCTCCAGCATCCCCTCGCGCACGGTCTTAAAATTAAAGAGCTCAAATGCACTGAATCTGTACGTCCAATTGAGCATATTGGGCGTGTTGAGCATCTCCTGCAGCCGATCGTAGATGCCACTCCAGTAGGGCTCTGGCAGGGCGGCCAATACGATGCCCACTGCATTGATGTAGCTGTGGATCTCCTTTTGCGGAATCACCGCATAGCCGTTGATTATCACATCGATGATATTGTTGGCCACCACACCAGGTGGCACTGGCAGACCCAGCAGCTCCACACAGGTGACATAAAGCGCATGAGTTGGAGCATTGGGGTACTCATTAAAGCGCCAGTCTGTTGAATATAACACATTCTTTCCACTGATGGCTGCAACATTCAATAGATGGATTAAACCTAAGACACAGCAGATTAGAGTTTAACTCACTGTCTGCCAGACGTCGGATCAAGCTCATATAGTAACTTAGTTCGGGCGTCCAAACCGCGTCCTGGGTTAGCATGTATGCTTTATAGGGCTCAGTAATGCTCCAGTTGGGCGGCCGAATCTCACTAAAGGCACCTGTAATGGTGCTTACCTGAAATTCATTATTAATTACAGAGAATATACATTTTTAAGCAATAAATATGCCTACCAGTTTCTTTTTCAGCGCCGGCCGATCGCGAAGGATCCGCTCATAGTAGTGCAAAGTGTTGAAGAGATACGTAATGGGTCGATCTGAAAAAGGATTGTTGAGTATTTGTATTTCTTATAAATAAGGCATATCTTACGCACCGTGAAACTTGTACAATATGCTTAGATGATCCAATATAAAGCCCAGAATCTGATGGACATTTGTAATGGTCAGTTCGATGAATCGATGCACCACCACATCCAGAACGGGCAGAAAGCGCAGGCAAACGTTGCTAAAATAGACGGGCAGCGGAATATGCGATGCAGACTCGTCCAGAGCGAACTTTTCCGGGTACTTTTGGTGGAATGAGAGATGCTTGTCCTGCCTGAAGAAGAAACAGTCAGCCAAAGCGTATCTTTATGTATTTCTAACCACTTACCAATTGCTTTGCTTCCAATGATCAGGATTGTTGTCCTTGCAGAACTCCTGGACGCGATTTCTTAGCTCGCTGGCCTTCAACAGCAGCAGTTGGATGATTAGAAAACAGACCTGAGCCTCATTGCCCTCGTGGGTTCGTAGGGCCAGGCAGAGTACCACCCTGTCGATGGTCACCACATTGAATTTCCAGATCATATTATTGATCGTATCTACGCATTTGTGGATAAAGTCACGGCCATCCGACGAGCTGGCCACCTCGGCCACCAGATAGTCGCAGAATTTACGCAGGTGCGTGGACAAAGCTCGCGCACTGATGCCTTCCAGGATCCTAAAAAACTCAGAATTAGAGTTAGGCAGAGAGAGCATCGCATAGCTACCCACTTGTAAGCCACTGGACTGATGTTCTCCGTCTCCCAGATAATCTTGAAGAGCAGGCAAAGAAACAGCGGGTTCGTGGTTGGTCGCAGGAAGTGCGCAATGATGTCGTTCTCACTGGTCATGGAGCTCCACGTGCGGTACTCCTCCTCCACGGACTTCTTCAGCTGCTGCTTGTTCTCCGGCGGCTGATTGTTCTGCGTAAAGTACTCATTCAAGGCGGGTGGAAAGCAGGCCAGCGATTGCATGGGCCACGAGTGCGGCGTGTGCTGCATGATGTTGGAAAGGAAGTCTTTGCACCAGCCCTGCATCTCGTCGCCGCCGCCATGGACGTGCATGGAACGAGCTAATGTGAGGATAAGAACTCGATTTAGTTCCTCGCTTTCGTTGGACGCCACGGCTTGTTGATTTGTTGACTTGTCGTTGAAGTAGCGCGAGAACTGCGGCTGGAACTCGGCTGATCCAATGCTGGTGATCAGTCGCAGGGCAGTGGACTCAAAGCTAAAAAGGGCAAGTAAAAGTTAAAAAATTCTACTAATTAGTAACCCTAACTCACCAAAGATTCAACTGCATCTTGTTGGTCTGCGGCACAGAGGAGAGAGAGTGGAGCAGGGATAGTAACTGCACGCGATAGTGGGTGGGGACATGGTGCAGGCGATACGAAAACATCTCCATTAGGGTGTGCAGCATGGACCAGGCATGGTTCTTGAACACAGTCGGCATCAGTTGACCTGCAGAAGAAATTAAGGGAATTTCTTACAATGTTAAAATGATATTCCATCTCGTACTCACTTAGGAATCCCTTGATGCCCAGCGACTCGATTTCCGTGTAAACTAATAGCCGCGCATAGGTCTCTAAAAGCGCCGCCGCTGGCACTTGTCCTTTGGTCTGGGCCTGCTTAAGCATCTGCGTGACAAAGCTGTGGATAAGCGACATCTTGCTGTGCACCGTCAGACTGTCCAGCACCGTAACCGAGAAGGTCACAGCTGGTATCTGGGAGCCATTCGGCGACTTCGAGGTCCCATTGAGGGCATCCAGTAGCAGGCCCATCGGTCGCCCAAAATACTCCTGATTCGTGGAATATGCATTGCATATGAGTATGATGCGGAAGTCATTGCCCATGGTCATGTTCATCATAGTGTTGGGCGTGACCACGTGCTGCAGGAAGCTGCGAGGAACAGAAGCAATTTTAACACCAAAAACTAGAGCATACAAATAGTTCTTACTCATAGTGATTCTTCAGGGCGATGGGCAGCGGTCGCGTGATGTTCATGTTCTCCACTCGGGCCTTCTTCATCAGGTGGATCCACACACAAATCGGAGCCATGTGGCGGACCATAGAGGATTTGTTTATGTCCGGCAGCTTCAATGGCTCCAGTTCGGGGTAGAGAAGGTCAAACAACCGGAAGACGGGCAGGAAGTTTGTAATCTACAAGGGAAGGTCTTTAGGTAAATGTTTTCTCTGTTTAAAGCAATTAATATATAGCCTACGGGGTTCTTCTGTATGCTGCCAGAGATGAACTGCAAGAGGATCCACATCAGCTGATCGCGACCCTTGCGGAGCTCCAACTTAGAGAGCTGTAAAAAGTGCCAAGATAGACTATCACAAAAAGTATATAAATAATTGTAGGATTCACCTTCTCGTGCAACGCCAGCACAATGTGCATGAAGCTCACGAACTGGAAAAGCACAAAGTAAATCAGCTGCGAGGAGAGATGCAGCCACACCCACTCGTACGGTGTGATCTGCTCGTCTGAGGCATTGAAGCCACTGCCCGCAGTGGCGTCGGTCACCTCCGTCATCTCCATTGCCTGGACTATGAGGTTAACCAGCTGCTCCTCCAAGGCATTGTAGCGCTGCTTTTGGTGCTTCTGCAGGTTGAGCATCTGGGAGACCATCTCACGCGAATAGGGCTGCTCCAGCACGTAGCGAAGCAGGGGCTTCTGCTCCTCCAGCAGCTCCGGTTCGTATGGAAGGCTGCCCTTGAAGTTAAACTTAAGGGTGTTGTGGTCCAGGCGCCACGAGTTCATCATATGATCAGCGTAGCCAAAGTGCTCTACAATGGGCAACATGCTGGGGTGCCCGATGATCGACACCATCTGGGCCGTGGTGCGGAACTCCTCAACGAAGTCAGTCATCAGCCGGTTGAGTTTCCAGTGATAGGGAAACGGACGCATGATCTCGTTGGCAATAAAGTAGGCGGGCAGCAGGCAGTTGTTGCGATCGAATATAAAGCGCAGAATCTCCTCCACGGCCAGCAGCTGGGGCATGTACGTGACGTTGACGTTGAGCGGGAACCACTGTGCTTTGTCGCGGCACACCTTCATGATCTCGCGCACGCCCTTGTAGTCCACCTGCATGATTACCCGCTTGATCAGCCGGAAGCTCTCGATCCAGAAGGTCTTGTGCTCGAAGTCCAGTTTCTCGCAGAACAGCACCTTGTCGCACAGCATCCTGGCGGTAATAACGTGGGAATCCACTAGTTTAACTAGCGCTCCCATCAGCACCTTCATGTGGTAGCCGGAGGCGCCGGCGGCTCGCAGAAGGTACTGTCGCAGGACCTGATCCCTATTCTCCTGGGGCACATTCCCAAAGGACGTGACTGAAACGGAAACCTGTTAGCACCGCCAGAATCTCTGAGAGCCGTTTACTTACCCAATTCGTTGGCAAAGTTGGTGGCCCGTTCCTGCTCGCCATTAGGCTTGAAAACAATGACGCTCACAAACGCTTCGTCAATCGAGTCCACCTTCTGGAAAAAAGTAAATCGGAGAGAGCGGTGTAAACCTCAGGCGGTTTCTTCCTTTTCCGGCCTTTGCTATTACCAAGAACTCGTCGACGGCGTCAAGAACTTGAGTTTCCATATCCATTTAAACGTTTTTTTGCATTTCTGGGAGCGTATAAACAAAATCGCGTCTGCAGCCGGTGACAAACAGTGTTACCAGCTTTTAATAGAAATGAAAATCTCGAAAATATTAGCTGCAAAGTAGCTAGAAATAGCTAGGGAAATCAAGAAAACATTTCTTTGGACAATCCTAAAAGAAATTATATTAATGATCAATGGCACACAAAATGTTTGTTTTATAAGTGAAATGTATATTAAATGATACATTTTAATCCAAAAGTTTTAAATAAAATTAATTTCTGGACAGATAACCAAATTCGGCAAGAAAAACGCTAAAAGATCAGCACTGATTGCAACCGGCATTCGCAGCATCTGGTCACACTAATCTTTGACGTACAAAAACTATTTGATTTATTCGTAAGTTTTTGAGCTAAGAACCATGAAAGTGCTTGTGACAGGCGGCACCGGCCTGGTGGGGAAAGCCCTTCAGACGGTCATCAAGAATCAGGACGAGGAATGGTACTTTGCTGGCTCCAAGGACGCCGATTTAACGTGAGTAATTCGAAACCACTGTCCAAAAGTTACATTAAACAAGTTCCTTACACAGAAATCTGGCCGCCACGCAGGCACTATTTGCCCGAGAGAAGCCTACGCATGTTATCCACCTGGCCGCCATGGTCGGAGGTCTGTTCCACAACATGAACAACAACCTCGACTTCTTGGTGAGCTTCATGCATGGCTTGCAACGAGTAAAACAAAATCCAATAAACTTCCTTTCAGCGCAACAACCTGCTGATTAACGACAATGTCCTGCAAACGGCCCACGAGCAGGGGTGCGTCAAGGTGGTTTCATGCCTGTCCACCTGCATTTTCCCGGACAAAACCACGTACCCCATTGACGAGACAATGGTCCACAACGGCCCACCGCACCCCTCTAACTACGGCTACTCGTATGCCAAGCGATTGATAGACGTGCAGAACCACGCCTACCATGACAAATACGGCCGACTGTACACCTCTGTGATTCCCTGCAATATTTTCGGGCCGCACGACAACTACAAGCCCGAGGTGAGCCATGTGATTCCGGGCATGATCAACCGCATGCACCAGCTCATCACCGAGAATCCGGAGGTGCCGCAGAACGAAAAGGTATTCACGGTATTCGGCAGTGGAATGCCTTTGCGACAGTTCATTTACTCGCTGGACCTTGCCGAGCTCATGATATGGGTGCTGAGGAGTTACGATAGCGTCGAGCCCATTATCCTCAGTGTGGATGAGTGCCAGGAGGTTACCATCTTTGAAGTGGCCAACGCCATAGCCAGTGCATTTAACTTTAAGGTAAGCATCTGGCTTTGTTCCGATCGATTTGATGCCAATACACCTCTCTTTCCAGGGAAAACTTGTCTGTGATACGACGAAGGCGGATGGCCAGCACAAGAAGACTGCCTCCAATGCCAAGCTTCGCACCCATCTGCCCAACTACCTATTTACGGACTTTGAAACGGCCATTAAGGCGTCGGTGCAGTGGTACAAAGATAACTACGACGAGGCCAGAAAATAATTCCAATCGGCGAGCTTTAGAATTGTAAATAGATCCCTTCTGTTCGCAGCATGTTTTTTGTACGCCTTTTTATGTCCAACAATATAACAAATGCCTAATGTGAGAGCTCAGTCTGTCCAGGAGTCGCCGTATTTGTTCTTCTTTCCGCCTGCAGCTGGATCCAAGGGTGCCGCCTGGACTGGTCGCTGCTGGGGCGAAGTTGGTGGCTCATATGGCTTCGAGTAGGGACTTTGCTGGTGCTTCAAGTACTCCTCTCGGTTTCTCCGACGCAAGTCCTCGTACGACTGACCCGGCTTGGCCGGTTCCAACGGCAGTTCGGTGTCCAGCATTGTGGCAGCTATTCGAGAAGAAGAAAAGAATCTAAGACCTGATGGAACCAACTCATTGAATGCGCTTACAGTCCAACGTGGGCCGGTAGATGTCGTCCAGGCCGGACATTGTGGGCCGCGACTCTGTGTCCAGGTTCAGGGCTGTGCTTCGACCCGGCTGATAAGCCTCATCGCTGTACACATCCGCCGAGCTGGGCGTGAAGGGCGCCAGGGTGAAGGCCCTGCCCAGGTTCTCGTCCGGCGTGATGGTGCTGATGACGCCGCCGCCCTGCCTTCGCTGCCGGAGCATCTCACCCAACTGGGAGTTGGGTAGGCGCATGATCTTCTCAGCGCACTTTTGCTGGTAGCTGAACTTGCCCACAAAGTAGCCCAGAATGACGCCCATTACGACCTTGGGCACGGCGCCATATTTGCCATTACCCTGCAGATAGCCGTTCTTCACGCCAAAGTAGGCCAGGAGGCCGAGGCCAGTGCCGAAAGGCAGACTCCGCTGGAAGAACGACTCCGTATTGCATTCACGTAACGCCTTCACCTCCTCCGCGGAGAACTGGTAGTCGGCCTGGGAAAAGGGGGAATTTAAAGCTGAAGTTTGGATTTTGTGCCTCCACCGTGCTCACCAGTGGATGGGGGGTGTGCTGCGGAGCCTGGCGAGACCCATCGTTCAGCGGCGAGTCCATGCTGACCCAATTTATTGAAGAATATGTGAAATATATAATACTCAAAGTACCGGCATAGCCCCACTAGTTAGTGATGACACCAAGTATCGATAGCTTCGATAGGTGACTAAGATTTATCGGCAGATTTGCAGATTAGAACAGAACTTTAAATCGAATCCGTCAGAAAATTAATGAAAACTCCGTCTCAGTAATTGACGAAGCGCACTAGCACCTTCCTGTCACCGATTAACACCCTCCAGACAGACAAACCAGTCAAAATTAACCGTAGCGTCGCCGCCAAGAACCGCCGACAATCGAATTCGAAGAGCGTGCAGGCAGGAGGACACGCACCACCAGCAACACCAGGGATGCAACACGCACGACGCGACGATATTATGACATTTTCGCTGTATAGTAAAGTTACAGCTGTGTCGTCTGCTGGCCCCGTTCCTGCGCCTGTTGTTTTATTCAATTAGAGTTTTGTATTTTTGGAAATGTTCTCCACCACCACACACTCTGTGGTAAGTCGCACCGCCGGCCTGTCCGGCCCCCATTCTGTCCACCGCCTGACGTGTCTCGTATCTCCCGCTCTCTGTTTTTCCCTCGGCACCTGCCTTTTGGGATTTCGGATTTCGATGACAGCCCTACCTGTACCTCGGCAACTTCAGCAGAAAGCCGCACTACTACACCGTAAAGCGCACCAAGCTGCAGGGAAGCGCGAGTGCGGTGCGCCTTTCCAAGTCTGCCAGTGCCACTACTCCATCGACTACAACGACGACGACGGGCCGAAGTCATGACCTCGTGCTGGACCTGCGTAACCTGCTCACCCAGTCGGGCGCCAGCTTAAGGGGCATGGTGGAGAAGGCGGCACGGCTGAACGGCATTCTGGACCGGGAGCTGGTGAACGAGACGCTGGCCAAGGTGACCAGCCTGCTGCCCGCCATGCGCGACGTTCGCGTCACGCTGGAGGAGCCGGCCACACAAATCGGTCGTGTCCAGCTACAAAATTATCAGTTTGAAGTTTCGCTAAGCGGCGGAGCTGGTGCCCAGCCCACGGGGGCCACTGTGTAAGTGCATCCTACTCCGAGTATCCGTACAAGATTCAAACATATCTGCGTTCTTTATTTCAGCAAGGTGATTCCAACCATAACGCCAGGTCTTCTCCGTCCGCTCTTCTCCAATCAACAGCTGTAAGTGCGCGGATTGAATCAACGAATTCTCCTCGCTAAAGCTGTGCTTCTCTTTCTCTAGGAAACAACTAAGGGGCTTCAAGACGGATCGATCCATTGAGGCGGAACAAAAGCGCAATCCCACAATGACATCCCGGCTAAAGACTGCCCTGTCCAACGCGCCGCAACGGATTGACGGAGAGACACACTTCCAGGCCGAGAAGCTGCGACGGCTGCTGGCCAAGTCCGACGATCATGGTGGCCAGAATGCAGTAAGCTGAGTGCTTAAATCCGTCTCCTATTTTTGATAATCCTTTGTTTTTGTAGGAGAACCTAAAGATAGCCTTTGCCGAGGGCTACTTGGCAGCCGCCAACGCTGAAGATTCTCCGAAATCTGGAAAAACAATGAAGTATATAAAGGTATGGAAACGTCTTTTACTCGAGCCCAATCCTTTGTTTGAGTTTTCGTTAATTCCCAGTAATTGTCACAAAGTTTTTACAGACTATCGTCGTAATCGTCGTTTTCCTGGGCATATTCCTGAGCTTCTTCACTACCTCGAACGGATCTGTATTTCGGTGAGCCTCCCATTGCTCCTCCTCCACTGTTGCAGCTCTAATTTTGTTACCTTCCAGCAGCATCCAGCTGGGCAATCAGGTGGAGGTAGATCCCGAGGAGATCAACGTCACATTCGACGATGTCAAGGGCTGCGACGAGGCCAAGCAGGAGCTGAAGGAGGTGGTCGAGTTCCTCAAGAATCCCGATAAGTTCTCCAATTTGGGCGGCAAGCTTCCAAAGGGTGTGCTTTTGGTTGGCCCGCCGGGCACTGGCAAGACCCTTCTGGCCCGTGCCGTGGCCGGTGAAGCCAAAGTTCCTTTCTTCCATGCCGCTGGCCCTGAATTTGACGAGGTCCTCGTCGGTCAGGGCGCCAGACGAGTGCGCGATTTGTTCAGTAAGTTAAAAGTCTCATCACTAGGATGCGTTTCATAAATTTTTGTTGGTCTTTTATTAAAGAGGCAGCCAAGGCCCGGGCACCGTGCGTGATCTTCATCGATGAAATTGATTCGGTGGGCGCAAAGCGAACCAATTCCGTGCTGCATCCGTATGCCAATCAAACCATTAATCAGCTACTCTCGGAGATGGATGGCTTCCATCAAAACGCTGGCGTTATTGTTCTGGGCGCCACCAATCGACGCGACGACTTGGATCAGGCTCTGCTGCGTCCCGGACGCTTCGATGTGGAGGTGATGGTATCCACCCCAGACTTTACCGGACGCAAGGAGATCCTGGGTCTCTACCTCACTAAAATTCTGCATGACGAAATCGATCTGGACATGCTGGCACGCGGCACCTCCGGATTCACAGGAGCAGACCTGGAGAATATGATTAACCAGGCGGCGCTGAGGTGAGGATCCTCGAGTTTATGGAAAATTAATAAGTTTTAAATTCTGATTTTCTGTTTCTCGCAGGGCTGCCATCGACGGAGCCGAGACGGTGAACATGAAGCACTTGGAGACGGCACGTGACAAGGTACTTATGGGGCCCGAGCGCAAGGCTCGCCTGCCGGACGAGGAGGCCAACACCATTACCGCTTACCATGAGGGCGGACATGCCATCGTGGCCTTCTACACTAAGGAGTCGCATCCGCTGCACAAGGTGACCATCATGCCGCGCGGACCGTCACTGGGCCACACCGCCTACATACCGGAGAAGGAGCGTTACCATGTCACAAAGCAACAGCTGCTGGCCATGATGGACACAATGATGGGCGGCCGTGCCGCCGAGGAGCTCGTCTTTGGCGCAGACAAGATCACGTCGGGAGCCAGCAGCGATCTCAAGCAGGCCACCTCGATTGCCACGCACATGGTTAGGGATTGGGGCATGTCGGACAAGGTGGGTCTGCGAACCATTGAGGCGTCCAAGGGGCTGGGCACCGGCGACACCCTCGGACCCAATACCATTGAGGCCGTGGACGCGGAGATCAAGCGCATCCTCAGCGACAGCTACGAGCGGGCGAAGGCCATCCTGCGGAAACACACCAAGGGCCACAAGGCGCTGGCGGAGGCGCTGCTGAAGTACGAGACGCTGGATGCCGAAGACGTCAAGGCAATACTGAATGACAACCAGACGTAGTTTCCCAGTCGGTGTGGATTGCAGGGTCAAGGGATACAGAGGGAGACCAGGACCTTTCATTGGACATTCAGCTGAACTGCTAAATATTATTTAGTTACAATATAAACAAATCGAGGATGGAGAGCCAAGCAAGAGCGGGACGCAGACGGAAAGTTAAGAAATAAAATGTTACACATATTTAGTTATGTTTTCCATCATCCACGTAGTATTAAATATTAGTTTGGAGTAATGAATAAAATTGAAGTCACATCCCATCTGAATTTCGCGCTTTTGAGGTATAAGTGTGGCCAGCATGCCGCGAGGGTATATTAAATTAGATTTAGAAATAATAATAAAATAAAATATTGAAAATAAAATATATATTTTTTATTTAATAGTTACGCGTACGTAAGTTTAAAAATCAAATTGAAAATAAAATTTAGCTGCATAAAATAAAATCTAAGCTATCGCTATCGAAGTCAAATAATCGATATATCAACATATTCGATTTATCGAATAGTTTTGTGTTCAGCACTAATTTCCAATTCATGTTTTTTTTCCTACAAGTAAATTGAGAAAATAATCAAAGAAAATGTGCGACTACAAGATCTCGGATCGGGCCTACACCAAGCTGATATTCCATGCGGCCAAGTATCCGCACCTGGCGGTCAACGGGCTGCTGCTGTCGGAGAAGTCCACAAAGGGTTCTGCGGTGGAGATCGTGGACGCGATTCCCCTGTTCCATCAGTGTTTGCATGTCACCCCCATGGCCGAGGTGGCCCTAATGCAGGTAATTATCAATTGCCGGTCTCTGGAACATGTGTGTACTTTAATGAGGACGTTGCCCAGCTTAATGTGGAGCTAGATGGTATGTTTCTCTACTCCCTGCTTGTTACACGTACTGCAAATGAGGGTACGAATTCCAAATATTAAAGAGAATTGTACATTTCAGAGAATTTTTAAAATAATGTGGTACTAGTATCCATTAAAGCAGGAAAATATTTAAGTAAACTCATGATTTGCATAAAATATTTTGCTTTAGGTAGAAATGGTGAAGAATTCCAGCCTATTCTGTTTCTTAAAGGATTACATTTTGAATTCCCTGATTCCTTAAGTATAATCCTTATAAAATCATTCTAATACGAAGTTAGAAACCAATTTTGAACATTAAATAATTGCACCTTACCCCACCCTTTCCCTTTCAGATCGATGCCTATGCCGAGCGCGAAGGCCTGGTGATTGCTGGTTACTATGCTGCGCCGGAGAACTTTTACGACAATCAGGTTGACAAGACCCCGGCCGCCAAGATAGCGGACAAAATTCAGGAGAACTTCAAGAACGCCTGCTTCGTGGTGGTGGATAACAAGCTGATGACTCTCCAGCACGACCGTGCCGCCATCCAGGTGTACAGCTGCGCCGGAGAGCCCGCCACCCGTTGGTCAAAGGCCAAGTTCACACTGTCACAGTCATCGCAGACACTGGAGGGCGTATCGCTGCTGCTGAAGCGCGGTGCTATGCGCGATGTGGTGGACTTTGATAACCATCTGGACAATCCGGAAAATGATTGGACCAATGACTTCCTGAACAAGTCCCTGATTGACCTGCAAAAGCTGTACTAGTCGCCTGTTTTTAACGTACTTTTGTTTTAGTCTAGCAAATGGAGAACACGCCGAAAATTCAACCTTGCAATTTAATTTATTGTAATTACAATTGGATTTCAGTAATCTTTAGAATAATGCATATAAGTTAAATAACATTCAACTAATTAATAAATAATCAATTCTTTCATCTTGTATGCGTCGCAAGTGGTCGAGTGTCCGTGTCGGTCTGTTGGTTTTAAGTAATATCTCATGTACGTCCCAGTTCGGTTCTGTTCTGTTTTTTTGTGTGGAGTTAACCTAAGCGCGTTACATTTATCGTTAATAAATACAGATGAATATATAATATGTATATAATTTTGCTCTTGGTTTGTTTGTTTGTTTTTTCTTCATCTCGTCGTCTGGCTCCTTGTAAATTGAAATATTTTACAACAATATTGTAATTATCGCGATTGCTGATTATACATAGGTATACATAATACGTACTTATGTGGATATATCGGAGATCGAAAGTATCGCAAAAACGTTTATTAATTTCAGTGTAATGTATGTATATTTTCGTATATATATATAATCTGATCTCAACGCATAACGAACTCTTTACACCGTGTACACTGAACGTATATAGTAGGGGTACGGGATTACAGGATAGCGGATCTCGGAACTCCAACTGGATGCCATCCTGCGTACTTTACTCGTATTTGATTTGCCATTTATTGTATTCTTAATGCTTTTTGAGTTCTCTGTATATGGGGGAGTATATGCTTGTGTGTAATATTGCGAGCTCTGACTTGGTTGGATTGTTTTCACCCGGTGTCCGCTGGAAGGGTTGGGCAGGTGTGGGTGTGGTCGTGGACGTGGACGTGGCATGGGGGTACGGGTACTCTGTTCTACGTGGGGGCGCCTTTTTGATTATATCCTAGCTATACAAGTGCGCCTGAACACGCAAGCATTGTCGGTATGTACGAGCCCGAGACTCTGTTCACATCGCGATGAATCTGGATTGGTGTGTCTTGTGTCCTGTCATCACATCACATGCTATGTTAGTTGATCTATAAGAATGCAATAGAAGAGGCAATAATGGATCAGTGAGATGCTGCGTGGGTGGCGACCATGTGGGAGTGAAGTACACCCATAACGGAAGATGTTAGGCAATTTGGAAAATGTCTATATAAGGTTAAGAGATGTACGCATGTTTCGGATGAGCGTGTGCCACTACGGATGTGTATGTTAGTGTCTTTGCGGTTTGGAATAGGGGGGGTTTCTGTGTGTGTGCTGTGGATCGTATCTAGAGCTGGCCACCTCCGATATTTACCATTCCCGCGGACAGAGAGTTGATGGCATCTTCCACCGTCGGCTTGTGTCGATCGATTTTAGATGAGTTTATGGGCGAGAAGTTGTCTACGATTGCAAGCGTGAACGAATACACATATACAGATAGATATAGAAACACAAAAAGCGATTTCAAAGCAAATCTCAAGTGCCAATTACCGAGATCACCACTCGAACTGGAGTCCGTAAAACTGGGTGTGCCCTCTGTCCATGTGGGAGTGGAGCCCTCACCTGAAGCGGGCGGTGTCCAGGCCAATCCCCCGCGGGATCCGTACTGGCTGCTCGATGACGTGTCCACCGCCAGCAGTGTGTCCAGGTGAACTTCCGAGACGCTATCAAATAAAAGTATTAATTTTAGTTTAAATTTTATTGAAAATAGACTCACCTGACGATGTCCTCTTTGTAGGAGCCTCGGTAGGCCGGTCCAATGTTCATCTTACGGTCCAGATAGTACGACTGCTGCTGCGTCTGCGACTGCGATTGCTGGTGATGGTGGTGGTGATGATGGTGGGACCGGCGACCCATCGACGAGGTGCTGGTGCTGTTCTTGTTCGAGCTGTCCTCGGAGATGTCGTCAAAGGCGGGGGGAGGAGTCGAGCTGCATGATGGCGTTGTGCCTAGCGATACAATGGGCAGAGCAGAACATACAGCGGAATGAGTGACAGAAGAACCTAGTAGTAGAATCGGGGATTAGGATGTGTGTGTGTGTGTTCAGTTAGGGGAAAGCTAGATGCAAGCGGGGAGCTACTCCCGTCTCAGTCCCTGTCCCTGTCCCGTCGATCCCTCGCTCTCGGGTATCGTGGATGGCGCTGCCTTCGGCGCCCGCCTCTTGCCTCTCCTCGCCTGCTGTGGCGGAGGATTCCTTGGGAGCGTTACGGCTGGCGGAGGATCCATTAGTTTGGGGAGCGGTCTCTTTGGGCGATGTGTCGCCTCCAGTTCCCGCTTCACCTCTAGGAACGCACTAACCGACTGCAGCAGATTGTCCTCCTCCTGCTGATTCTGACAGTCATCGCCGCCCAGCGCTAGATCCGCGTAGTGCAGGTAGCGATTCCTCTTCTGCTGACGCTTCAGCTTCTCCTGAACTCCACGCCTGGGCGAACGCTGGCTGGGAATGCTGCCCGAGGATCGGGAACGCCCGGTTCGGTAACTCTCAGCTCGGATGGGTGGAAAACTCCGGACTATGGAGCCCACGGAGGATCGCTCACTGCGTGCCACGAAGCTGTTTTGTCGATGAAATATATCCACGTGGTTGAGCAACCGCGGCTGCTGACGCCGGTAGCTGCTCTCCGAACGAGCAGTGGAATATGCCGAGTTCAGGGATTCTCGGCGCCGGAACGAGGAGCTCCGGAGCAGAGCCACTGTTGGATCCAGCAAGGGGGCAGGTGGAGCACTGGGCTCAATGTTAACAGGCGGATCGAAGAGATCGTGCAGCTCCAGCCAATCTTGGACGTTGCTGGGCGAACGACGATCGCCGAAACGCGGCATGCCCTCGTGCTTGGGCACCTGGAGGGTGTGGATGTGTGCTGGTGCCGGGGAAGGATTAGTAGTGTGCGGTTGTTGTGTACCTGGCGTCGAGCGATCCTGGGCATCCTTGCGTCGCGGTGAGCCACGCGGCGGAACTGGCGGTGGAACCCTTGCCTTCAGGTTGCTGGCCGCCGAAGTGCGTTGCTTGACGGGTGGTGGAGCCCGCTCATTGGCGGCACTGCCGCTAGCCGAGCCTGCAGCAGATGCACCTGCTCCTCCCACCGCACCCGCTGGCGTGGGCTCCGTGGTGGGCGGCTTCGCTGGCTGGTGGATTTTGCCACTGCTGTGCGAATGGGAGGTGTGAACCGCTGAGGAGAGTAAAGTGTAAACAGATTATATTACTAATGTATAGAGAGTGCAAGGACCCTTAGGATTCGTAGGACTGAGCTCTATTGGATCTTTAAAGGATATAGTTTCCACTTACGCCTCGTGACCGCCTCGTTTTCGCTGTCAATGGAGCGCTGTATGGCCTTTGACAGGCTTTTTCTCTTCGAGGGCGAATGCTTAAGCGCTGCAAAATGTGGTTTAAATCAAGAATTAGTTATAAACCTTAATAAAGGACATTTGGTACAAAAAGCTTAGCACTTCCGAAGCAACTACGCAAAGCCTTGGAGCAATACGGCTGCCGGGAAGCCAAGGATGCCAGGGTATGTGGACTTAACTAACGTGATATAGAGAGGCATGCTTGGGCGTCCATTTCGAAATCATATGAAAACCAAGAGGTGGACAATATAATAATAAAATTGTTATTTAAACCGCTTAAAAAAGGTGTTAAGTGAAACTCAGGTGAGATATAATTAAAAATAGAGACAGAAAGAGAGAGACATCGATCATTAGTTTCTTTACCTATATAGCTGGTTACCAAGGTACGAAATTTTCTGTGATTCCCCTTGATCTCGGGGAGATCCACTATATGCGTACGTTAGAGTGAGAGAGTGAATGCATTCGAGACATGGTCAAAAAGAAAGCAGAGAACAGAGCGGTTGTTGGATATTGATTTGATTCGATGTTGGTTCAGATGCTCCACAACGGCGTCTACTCAGGCCAAGTGTACCATATTGCATTTTTGCTGCCACCGATCAATCGATCAACCAAAATTAGCAAGCTACAGGTGAGTGTCTAATGGTGTTCGGTGTGTCTGTGTGAATGTAATCGGTAATTGGGGGTGTACGAGTGTGGTTTTTCTACTCAAAAACAGTCTGCAACTGGAACTCGAACTGAAACTGTAACTGAAACTGGAGGAGTGCTTGCATAACTCGGCCAACTGCACACAAAAATGCCTTACAGTACGAGTACTTAGCCCGACTTCCACGCCCACGGCCCACTTACGGGAGGGTATCTTGCGGAACACGGTCTTGGCCATAAAGTTTTGGAATCTTTGAGCATAGAACGAGGGACGGCACACCGAAACGGTTTCCTAAAAGAATCAAAAAACAGGGAGTTTTCATTAGAAACATCAGGAACGAGTTCCTTTAATGGTTTTTTAAGTGATTTTTGTTTCCTGTGCTGCCTTAATAGCTCACCCCATCGTGTATGATGCTTTTGAATGTGTGCTCCAGCTTCTTTTTCAGCCTGTAGGATTGCAGAATGTCTATGATGCCGATGTAGAGGAGCAGGCGTTCGCCCTTCTCACTCCTAGCTGGAATACCGCCAGGTCTGAAAGTTATATAAATCATTAAGTCCAGAGGTCAAGGGAATATAAACTTCAAAGACTCACGGCACATCCTCCTCGTCATCGATGGGCTCACTCTCCGCCTGAATGCTCTCCATGGCCGTGGAATGGGCCACCAGTCGCTGGCGATTGACAGACCTGTAAGCCATACTGGATTAGCTATACAGATCGGTTCCAAGACAACCTATACAAGAGATACCCACTTATTCCTGCTTATGCCCGTGGCCGTGTCACGATCTTTGCCATCGCCCTCCAATCCGTCCAGCGGTTCGTCCACATCCACATCGGAGTCCTCGGCCAGCGGCGCCCTCACCGGCTTCCTGTGCTCACTCTGCTTCTCCTTCAGTGCAATGTCCAGGTTGTGAACGCCCAGGAGCAACGAGTAATCCATGATCTTGAAGGACTCCAGTACCGTGCAGTCGCGCTGAATGGTCTTGATCAGCGCCGAGTACGTCTCGGCCTCCAGGAATATGCCATTGGGATGCTGTTCCATGAAGTCAAGGTCCTTGTACGTGGGCGATTTCTTGGCCCGCTCCGCCTTGTTGGCCTTCCGCTTGAAGGTGGACCCCTTGAGATCGTACTTCAGGTGCATCTTCACGGACGAGGGCAGCAGATTGTTCATGACCACCAGGCGAATATTTTTGGCGTTGCTCGTCTGCAGGCAGTACAATCCGAAGAACTTTGGCAACAGAGTGCGCGGATTTTGATTTAGATTCATATAGTAACTGCAATAACGGTATATTTTAGCTGCAAATATTGGTTGGATTAACGGAGGAAACCCACCCAGGCAGTAGTTTCTGTAAGAATTCACCCTCCTTGTGTTGCACCGTCTTGATGATGAACTCGTCGTCGTCCGTTAGGTAGAATATTGAACCGGAAGCACCAGGATTGGACAGTTCCCGCAACGGGGACGTGCACATGGACATCTGCAAGGGATCGTTAATGGATTTGGTTTAATTACAGATGATTAAGTCTTACCATAAAATCATCTGGTTGGATGCCAAACAGATCCCGAAAGTAGCGGAAAGCGATGGGCGCGTAGATCTTATATCTGAACTCGCTGTAGTGGTGGGCAGGTGTAAGGCTAGATCCCTCTGGCGGAAAGGTGATGCTCTCGATCTCCCAGAAGTCCATCATAAGTAAGTCCCGCTTGGGCTTTGAGGCAAGACTGCCGACCTGTCAAGTAGATAATGAAGGGATTATTCGGAAGTTTTTATAGAGAAAACCTTCAGAAACTTGAACTTGTAAATCGTTTTTTTTTAACTTAACAAGTTGTTAAAAAACGTAACTTATTTAAGGTAATACCGATAATAAATTAATTATCCTTACAGTGTGTTGAATTCCCAACTGAATGGAGCCCATGATCTGCGACGTCTGTATCTTCTTGTACGTAATCTCGCCGCCCTCACCGACTCGTCTGTGGCCAATCTTCCGCTCCTTGTCCGACTTGTTGTTACCCGCACGTAACGGCCGACTGCCCAGCTGGAGGAAGAGTAAGTGAACCGGGATTAGGCACGAATTAATTGGCCTCCGGTGTCCGCTGCCCGGATGTACTTACCTCAGGCGATGAGTTGTTGCCCACATGGTCGTTGGAGGCTAAAAGGAGAACGGACAGAGAGCTTATTATTAGGCATCATGTTTAATTCAGGCCATGACGCAGTCGCCTGGTCAATCACCGCAACTTGAACTTGGCTGGCCAGACCCTCGCCTCCACCTGCTCCTACGCTAGCTCCTGCTCAGCAACCTTGTAACTTTCTTTTGTTATCAATCCAAGAATATAAATATGAACCGATGGAAGTCAGTCGTCTGTCAGGTGGTGGATGATATGGGGTTGGAAACATGCGAGGGCCGGGGTGTAGGTGGCATGCGGGGGTGCGTCGTCGTGCTGCTTGTTCTGCTTGCCCCTGCCTCGCTTCCCTTCCACGCCACGCGAGACACATGCGCCAGGGGCGCACTTCCATTCGCCTGTCATTGATTTTTTGTTCGCTTTCGACGAGACGGGGAAAATTATGTGACGGTTGGTGGATAATAGTTACCATTGCTGGGATCCACCTGCTTGGCCTGCGACGTCGAGGAGCTGTCCATGTCGATGGTGTTGATGGTGTCGCCATCGCCGGAGGCCATTGTGCTCCTCCAAGTGTCCCTCGCTCTCTCTCTCCCTCTTCCTCCCCCTCGCTGCCTGTCTCTCCTCGCCTCTGCTAGGACTTCACTAGGACATGCTGTTGTCGTCTGGGTGGAAATCTGAGCTATTGGTAGCCGTTTTTCGTTTTTCGCCTTTACAGATCTGCAGGGATTATCCAATCGAACGGGTTAACTGGGGGCAGGAACCTTGGCTCTCTTGTCTGGCGCTGGCGTCAACGTTTTTGCCTGTCTAACGGTGATGTTGATGGCTCCTCTGCCACTGCTGTCATTTTCACTGCATACTCATAGGCTCACTGGAAGCGCCTGGAACGGCTGGAAGGGTGTGCGCAGGAAGGCGCGCAGGGCTGAAAACTCACGCAACGCAGGGTTGCTCGGGTTAAGGATTCAAATTCGAAATCTTTTTGATATCGAAATTGGGCGCAAATATTAGCATTCCTATAAAAATAAATAATGCAAAAGGATATAACTTAAATATAGACTATAAAGTAATTATCTAGGTTATAATGATTTAATTCTTTTACTTGTTATTATGATTTATAATTTTCCTCGAGTCCCATCTTCCTTTTTTAAATAAAAAACATTTTGTTTTGGCAGTTAAAAGCCACGACGAAAGCGTTCAGTCTAATGCACTTTTACTTGTTCGTTTCTTTTTTTATTATTAGCGTTTCTGTATCTCAATTAGATCTATACATCAGATATAACTATCATATATATATATATATATATATATTTATTTATTTATGTGGTAAATACGTATGTATATGAATACAATAATTTCTTGTTATGAGTGTTTTCATTTTGTTTCTAATGGGTTCGTTTGCTTTCGCATTTTGAGTTTGGTTTTTTGTTTGTGGTGTTTTCTTGTTTATTTGTGTTTCGTTTCCCTTAGACATTACATGCATGTACAAAATAAGCGCTTTTTTTTAAAAATACCGCAAAAAATTACGTTTATCCGTTAAAAGTCTATTTAAAAATGAAATATCATTAAATATTCTAGTCATCAAAATATATAAAAAACCAATATTGCCTACATCGAAGGACACTACCAAACTAACTGCTTAGAGCTAAGGATGCTATGGACATTACGACGGCGACCGTTGTCCATTTGCGTTGTATAGTTGAGGCCTTATCTGTAAGGAGAATTGGGGTTACAGCAACAGGTATTTTTTGGCCTTTGAGGCAAGTGTTGTTGCCTGCTTTTAGGCGCCAAAAGAATTGTTATAAAACAACGTCAAATTTCAAATTTTACATTCAATTTATTCAATTTTAATTTTTAATACAGAACTCCAGGTTCTATACTCTTTTCTCTCAGCTTACCTGTACTTACCATAAAAAATAGTCTCTCTACGTTTGGTATAGTTGGTGCCAATAAGGATAAACGCACAGGTGATCGGGGTGGGGGATTCGATTTGATCTTTAGGAATGCGCGTGCGCACGGTCATGCTATAGAGGCCACTGGGGTCCTGGTCCAACTGCGTCAGCACCGACTCCAGTATGTGAGTGTCAAACCTGCGGACAAAATTCGTAGTTATTCGATTCCGTGGCAAAGAAAAAAGAAAAAAGCCACCAAATTGGCGTGCTCAACTTACATGACCGACAGCATAGGTTTCGGAAAGACGTGCTGGACCGCACACATAATGTCCACGTCCGTACGCGCGACACCCATCCGCGCCTCCAGCATGAAATCCGACTCAGGAACTGCCAGTTGGGGGGAACCATGGGGGATTCGGATTCAATGCAGACAGGAGCCAAAAACAAAAAAGCCGTGAGAATTAATCAAGTGTCAAACTAAACAACGAGACGAAAAGAAACAACATAAAGGAGTCGAGTCTTCCAAAGAAAAACACAGAACAGGACAAACAAGCGCCGGTGGTTCCGGCCACCGCAGAGACTGCCACATGACACGCATGCAAATATGAAGGGAAATCACACGTGCGCCAAACAGGCGGGGAATCAACGTCTGCACAGCGAGAAAAGTAGCTACCCTTCCTTAAAATTAATAATAACTAATCGGAACTATCAGTTGGGCATTCGGCTTTTTTCTATAAAATTGCATACTCTTAATCGATTTCAACTTCTATAAAAATGTAATATTACTATTATTTATATCCAACATTAACAATAAATATCTTGACCTGATTTTAAATTTAATCTGCAAAAGTGCTTCCAGCTTGAAACAGATTTCTTTGAGTGTATAATGGACGTATAGTTGTGTTTGCTTAAATAAAGGAAAACAAATATTTTTCATTACCCTTGCAAATGGTATGAAAATATTCGCGAAAAGTATAAAAGGGAATGGATTCGTTGAAGGCTATCAGAAGTGAAATTCCAATAAGACTTGAAGTAAATAAAATAAAATAAGACTTTTAGGTTTAAAAATAATATTTTAATTGTGGAAACTGATTCTGGAAATTGATATTCGGTGGAATTTTTCATGTTCATTAGTGAAAAGAAAAGCTGTAAAGTGACCGAATTTTGTGGAACACACAAATAAGTTACGGAGCAAGCTTAAAAGGAAGCGACTTTAATTTATTACTGACGTCTCAACTTTTTATACTCTTGTTTATTACTATGTAACTCATTAAGTTTTCCCCAAAATAGATGAGCCAGCAAAAAAGAGCGAAGGCAAACTTAAATGGAGTAACATGGCATACAGCCAAGATGCGTTCAAAAAGGGGGGTGGGGGGAGAGCGAGTGGGATAACCAGGAATGAACCAAGAATGTCCTACACTAAGCTGCCTCCTGGCTGGCTGGCTTGACTTGACTTTTGTAAATTGGCTCAAAGTACATAAATCATTACGTTGTTCTCTCTGTGTACACATTGTCCCAAAACCCCCAACAAACACCTTTATATGCAAACACACAAGTCAAGACGGCAGTGGCAGTGGGCGGGTCACCCGACTGGGCCACCTTACACCTAACTCTTTACACCTCACACCCTCTACCTACACCATACACCTGGCGCCTGCTCATAGCCCGACACAACCCACACACAGCACACCCTGGATGGAACCGCACATCTTTCAGGTGTACACCGCCGATCCGTGACACCCACCGATTATTTGCAAGCGGGCACTCCGCTTATCCGTGGTCTGAAAGGTCTGCACCGCACACGTGTACTCCCCCGTCATGTTCCAGTCGGGATTCTTTATCGATATAACACCGGGACTGCCCTCCATGGCGAATAATTTGGTGTCTATCTTCGACTTCATGAAGCCCTGCAAGCGCAAGAAAAAGACAAAGTCGAGGGGGGTTTGTATTATGTTAATTAATTTCGTGACCCTTCGGGCAGTGCTGCCAACGACCTATATCAGGGTACCAGGACAGATCAACAAAAGGGAAGCGGCAAAAAGGATAAGAAGCAGGAGGCAACTTCCTTATTCTTGGTAAATTATGATTAATACGAATTATGCTTTTTTCTTTTATGGTATTTTTTTTAAGGAAACATGCTTGGAACTTTAAATTTATTTGGTTATGTATTTAAATTATCAAAATATCTTATATAAAGAATTTTAAATTAGTAAACAAAAATTAGATTGGCAAAGAAGAAGGCTGGCTGTCTTCCAAGACAATTTCCTGTATTTAATTTTGACAAGTCCTTTGAGTTACTCTTGGCCAATTTTTTTACATAAAACCTGGTATTTGTCTACGCTATAAATATTTTAAATATTTTATGCAGCAAATTTACCTAAGCTCTTGAACCTTTTTTGAAATGGAGCTAACCTTTCAAGTGAATTAAAGCTCTTCAGGGAACTAAATAAATGTTGAGATGTGTCAGGTAAGAGGACATAATGACAGCACTGGCCCTTCGTGGTAAGTGACTCGTGACTCACCATGGCGAATCCTTTGACGGAGGGTATCCATTGGTAGATGGAGTGATTGTTGAACAGCCACTTCAGGACGAATCCCTGCTCCCCCTCTCCGATCTCCACCTCACAGTCCAGGACCAAGGGATCGGGTTCCCGGTCACGCACCAAAGTGTAGGTGTGCGGCACCCGCAGGTTGGTGATGCGCACCGAATGGGACACTGGGGGGATGATAGACGGGATGTGATTACTGTAGGGATTTCCCGCAACACCGAGCACCGTGTTTCTGGTAAGGCTCACCCGTGAGGAGCGTGAGCCAGGCCACCGCCAAAGCGCACAGCCTCCGGCCGCGCCAGACCGCCATGAGAGCGGCCTACTTCGAAACTGGTTTCCTTAAACTCTCCAGATCCGTATCTTGCGAGACTTGGTCCGCCGCTGGTTTCACCTCAGGGCACTCTTAGTACCTAATGCCGTTGGACGCTATAATACTTATCGTTGACTATTGTGGACACTGATTTGTATGGATGCTTGTTGGGGGCATGCAGACACAGTCATTATCACCAATCTCAATCACAGCAGCGGCAGGGGGATGTTGTTTTTTTTTATTTTTAGTGGGGGAGGCCTGGCACAAAAACTTTTCTCGCTCAGCACCTCTGCAGCAGCCTCGGCTCCTTGGCTGGGCGACAGGACATCTCGCTACAACTATTACAAACTCCCTTTATGACCCGGGCCATTTAAAAACTTTTGCACATTGCACACACACAACTAACTCGCTTTTTGTTGTCCTGAAAAATCGACTTTTGCACCCGCAACCGTGCGTTATAGTGTCTGTCTCTGTGTGTGCGGGCGCCCACCTCTATTAGTGTGTTGGTGGAGTCCTTTGGGAGCGAATTATTATGCCAAGCCGAGCGGAGTTCGTACTTGTGCCTGGCGGATACCAATAGCTAGTGTTGGTATCTTCTGCGGAGCTCTGTTGTCCCGCTTCCAGGCGCAGCTTTTAATGTTTTAACACTGGAAACCACACTACTACTACGTCGCGTCCGGAGAGCCAAGCTTTTGGTAGTGCAAGCGAGAGCCGAGCTTCGCGGAGTTGTTGTCTCGCCCCGTCTCGCTTCGTCCTTAGCCAAAAAACAGCTGAGCGGCGGCCATTGCGCAGGTGCATGGAAACTAGCGGCACTGATTTACCGTTGAGCAAGGGTTGCCACATCGCTTGGTAAGTATTTAGGCGGTTAAATTTAAAGAGTAAAAGCGTTTTTATGATTTAATTCTATAAAGTTTCATTAAAAGATAAAATGGGGTACGAGGTTTTAGGAATTAACTATAGGATTAAACTTTCTCGTAATATTTACTATTAAAAATATTATGTTTAAAACACAATACATAATATATTTAACAAAATTCATTTCTTACAATTTAATACATGTTTAATTACCTTTTAATGACTATAACTTAAAAACCATCAAATAAAATACCCCACCACTACCACTACTATTGTTATGTTTGTTGTTTATTAAATTTTCAATAACATCAGCAAAATCCTTAGACTAATTTATAGTTAATAGTGTTCTGTTCCACTTGCTTGGATGTGCTACAATTACACGCACGCACACACGCACACTTACACATGAATAGTACTTGTATGGTATAGAGAGATATGGAAATCCAGAAGCTCGATTCCCTAGAATTCGCTTTAAAAGTATGCCTATAAATGTGCAATGCATCAGATTTACATGGATATACGCGCCGATATATAGTACGTAAGTGGACTGACTGTCAACTATAGCGTTGACTTTGATTTGGTCGCATTTAAAAACTCGTGTGCTGGCCTGCTACATCCTACAGATTCAGATATACACCTACTGATCACTACTTGCTGCTCGGATTCGGTTTGGGGAGTTGGGGGTTTCCTGTGGTAACGGGGGGAGCGTTAAAACGTGCTTAGATCGAAACTGAAATCACCAATAGATTGGACTGTACACAGGACACAGGCTTCGACTGATCCCGCCTAGTCGCTGGCCTCCTCCTGGCTGCCACCGTGCCGCAAATGGTGGCCAATGAGCGTTTCGATGCGGAAGTCCTTGGCACTGGTCTGCTTGCTGGTTCGCAGGCTCACCAATGGCTCACTATCAAAGTGTCCTCGTGTCCTGGGACTGCGGCTGGCGGCCTCTGCTTCGGCGAAGATGAGGGATTCAGGCGGAGCATCCAAGCGATTTGTACAGACACTGTCCACGGAGTCCGAGATGTGCGAGTCCTCCTGCTCGTTGCCGCTTTCCACGTCGATCTTGTCCTCGCAGGAGTCGTCATCCGCCTCGCCTTCGGCCTCAGCGTCCACATCCGCCTCTATGTCCGCATCATCGTTGTACACATTGAGATCCATATAGCCGCCACGCGGCATTCTTTCCGGGTAATTCCCATGGCCGGGAATGCCCGCGGCACTGGCCACAGTCGCCACATCGAAGGCGTAGGGACTTTTGTACTTGGCGGCTCTACTGCTCTCAGTTGGGCCACCACCTCCTCCGCCCGATGCACTGCTATGGGGCAATACATCTAGGACATCCACTCCTCTGCCGCGATTTATGAAAGGCAGCCGGTCGAACTTGTCACCGGACTGGCTGCCCTGGTAAAAGGAACCCTCCGCATTGGCAAAGAAGTTAAACTTTTTGTCCGCCCGCAGAGCTGAATCAAACACATCCGCCGGAGTGTGGCCCACATCAAAGTCTCGGCTACCGTTGAAATTGGGCACATTGAAGTGCACCGGAACAAGGGGCACTGGCTTGCGGATCCAGAACGGGGACAGGGTCCCAAAAACCGCCGGGAAGGAGAAGCGCTGCATTGTGGGAGCTCGTTTGTAGCGCTTGCGGCGCCGCAGGAAACTGCCATTGTCGAACATATCCTCGGCCAGCGGATCCAACGTCCAGAAATTGCCCTTGCCCGGATTTCCCGGCTCACGGGGCACCTTGATAAAGCAGTCGTTCAGACTGAGATTGTGCCGGATGGAGTTTTGCCAGGCGGGGAACTTGTCCTTGTAGTACGGGAAGCTGCGGGTAATTAGGAGGGCTTTAATTAGTTTTGATAGGAAATAGTTCCAGATTTTAGGTCATAAATCAAATATCAACTTAAAAATAACATATTCAAAAAGATAATCAGATATGCTGGAACTTTTGATAGACATAAATAAATATAATAATAAATAATAAGTTATTTCTATGAGATTTATCAGTTAGAGCCAAGTAGAGTTGAAATCCGTCGCTTTAATTATTTTTAAGAAAAATTAGTCCTAAGTTTGTATAAAGACAGTTAATTTTTTACTAATAGTTCTACATTTTACTTTAAATGCTGACGAGTTGTTTAAACGTTTTGTTAGTTTAAGGAGCTCCTTTATGTAATTGGTTTCGAGTTTCTTTTTGAATATTGTTATTTTAGAAAGTTTTTTCAAATATATAATACAAAAAATATGCATTGATGGTTATTTTAAGAAACCTCACACCTAATATTATTTTTTATGATATAAGAATATCCTAAAATTGACACTTTGTTTTACTCAAAATCATCTATGCTAACACTTTAAGATCCGTGATTTTGATTCACAAGGAAGAATTTAATTCCATCTTTTTGTTTTATGTCACATTTTCTATGATGTTTGCAGATTAACTCATTAATTGCGATTTCGATTTATCCAAAACTTTATTTTTAGGAACCACAATTTGAATTTGACTGGCAACTATAGCCTTGACTTTGATTTGAAGAACCATTTTCAATTTTATTATAAGAAATTGAATTTAATGCAGCACTTTTAAAAATATATTTCAGAATTGTGTTATTTTATGGATTTTAAGATCTTTTTAATTTCCAAGTTGTTTCAACTTACCGTGACATGATAAAGTCGCAGATCCCGCTCAGCGTTAGCTTCTTGTGCGGCGACTGTAGAATGGCCATGGTGATGAGGGCTATGTAGGAGTAAGGTGGCTTCACCAGCGGACCACCGACGGATCCGGAACCATCACCGCCAGTGGTGCCGCTCGCTCCACTTCCGCCGACGGCCGACGGTTCAATGTCACTGTCATCACAGCCCATGGACATGGCATCAATGGCGGCGGCAGCGGCTCGCGAGGATGCACTGCATCCGGAAGAACCGCGCTGGCTCTTGTGCAAAGGCGGCGGCGGAGAGAGCGAGACACTATCGTGCAGCGAGTGCATGGGATCCGAGCTAGTGCTGGTGTGCATTCTTGAGGGCGATCACTGTGGTAGCTTGCACTGGAGATACGCGATTTGCTTAATTATTTAGAGGACGCAACACTTGTATTTATTTTATTTGGTTTGACTATTTTGCTCAGGAACTGTTTTTGTTTTTTAATTTTTTGTTTCTTCGCTTGTAGTTTGGCTTAGGAGTTTATACGGGTTTATTCGCCGATAGATAACGCAAACCGATATCGATAGCACTGCCTGTAAAGGATAACGGTACAGATGGCCAGCAGCGGAGTGGAATGTGAAAAGTGGAAAGCGGAAAGCGCGTCGTCCGTCGTCGTGTCCGTTGTAGGCGGAATCCGCTGGCCAAATGTTAACTGAATCGCAACGAAAACGAAAATCTTCTCGCCCAAAATGTTTTTCTACATAACTCAAACATTTATTTATGAAAAACCGCTGCCATTGCCGCTGCCGCCGACGCTTCCCTGAGCTTTTGTGTCGCCGCTGCTATGTTTTCGTATCTCGAATAACTGTGATTCTACTGCCGGCGTCGACGGCGACGCAAGCAGCGCTGCAGCGTCAGGATAGCAGCAGCCCGGCAGCATCCTGTCGGCGAGAGTGAGTACGCCATCTCTCTTGTTCCGCCGGGGGATGAGATGACACGAACCAATCTACGTCGCTTTCGCCGTCTCAGTCTCTCTCTCTCACTAGGGTGAGTGTGTGTGTGTAACTGGATATAAAATGGTGGAGTGCTGCCTGTAAATGTGATATTTGTGTTTTCCTCTCCCAACGGCGGCAAATTGGCAGCGACTGCAGAAGCCAAAACTCAAGGGGCGTTGGGTTGGCATCAGGCGGAGAGCGGGGAGGAGGCGGACGGGAGGATAAACATTTTGCGCAAATTTAGATACCTTTTGCAGCTTTGACGTCGTGGCTCTTAATAATGTTTCATTATGTCAGCCACATGGATGGAGGCAGTCGTCGTCGTCGTCCCATTCTCGTCCTCCCGATGTCCCTCTTCCCACCTCTCCCGACGTCCTCTTCTCCCGTCCTCTTTCCCCGCGTTCAAATGTTAGCATTTTTATGTGCGAATGTTTTTCTAACCGTATGTCGGCGTTTCTCGGTTTCTCCTGGTTTCGCATTCTCGTTCTCATTCTTGCTTTCCCTACCTCAGGACACTTGCAGAATAATAACCCTAAAATTCTGTAATTCAAATGCTTTTATGTTTAGGAGAAGGTCGTAAAAATTGCTACAAATGTTGCCTACTTCTTAGGGAAATTTAAGTTTTCTAAGTTTTACAACTTTAAATTGGAAAATTTTGTCATTTATTCTGTAGGATACAGCAATAACGTGGCCAGGATCAATTTGAAGCTAGAACGCTTTGGGAATTCTAGCTCCAACAGTAAGCGACGGGTCTAGAAAACAGAAAACAAATAACCATATTATTGTCCTAGATTATATTAAAATATTTATATAGAATTTCCGCTCTAATAACTTGTCTCCATAATTAAAAAATCTCTGACATAAAAAGGGTACATTTCCAATACATACACAATGGTTAAGCGTCTCTTTTAAGTTGATTATTTTTATTTT